CCGAGAATTTCATATATATTTGCTTAAGTATTAATTATGTTTATTCAGTTTAGAGATTCGTTTTCTTTTTCTTATGGGGTTTCATTAAAGATATGGTCTCAAATTAAGTGGAGGAGGAGAGATTAGTTTTTGATCTCGTTTATATCTCTTAGACATTGGACTCTATATTTTCGATTGTTGCTTTTTGAGACTAATGTCAGGGATTGAGAGAAGGGTCGCAGTGGATTTTAAGGATTTTGTTGAAATAGTAACTTATGATTATTATTGCTATTATATAATTAAACTTGACCAGAATTCTTTGGAAGGTTGTTCATAATTCTCACATACATTATGGAATTTGTTCATCTTAGCTGATCTATTGCCACACTCGTTACAAGAGCAGCTCAATCTTCTTTGTCGAGAATAATCCATCTCATACATTTTTTCCTTGAAGTTTTTATTTTTTTTCTGCTAATTATTAGTGTTTTTAACCAAATTATCAATAAGCACTGTTTTATGCTAAAAAAGTAATCTTCTTTTAATTTCCTTGCCTTCTGTTTTTACAATAGAGGCTTGAGAAACTCTATGTCTTGGAACTTCGGAGAAAACAAAATAGTGTGATGCATTTAAACTTCGAGCTAGAGTGATGATTATAGCATTTTACATCTCTATTTTTCCTCTTTCAAACGACTCTAACTAAATTTATTAGATTTCATTAGAGGAATCTAATTATAATATAATAATTATTTCAATAAGATGGATATAGGTTCTAAGAAAAAATCATTTAAATTTCATGTTAAATCAGCTAGCACATCTAATGTGTTAGGAAGTCCACAATCAACAAATACACCTGTTACTGGAAGGTCCCTTGCTTAATTTGTCCATGTTCCTTTTCTCACCTTCAAAAGATGTGATATGAAGAAGTATATCCAAACTGAAGAGAGGGAGTATCTCAAAAAAAAGTAGATCATAGAATCAGGTTACTTGACATAGAGAGGCATGTCAAAGTTCTTAAAACCAAATCGTAATTACAACATTCTTTATTTAGGATTGAAATGGTAAAAAAATGACCTAAAACTCCATGATACCAATCTAAAGACTAAACTAAATATAGCTGATATTATTTTAAATGCCAAAGGAGGATAATCTCGTAGAGAATTATTAATTGAAAAAATACAGAATTAGATTGAAGTCCCTAAATAAATTATTAGTTAGAGATCTATTCAAAGCGAGCATACTGTTTAATTATTTATGGATAGATTGAAATTTTAATCAATGCCATAAAAAATAAAAGGAGATGCTTAATCTCCTCTGAAAACAATACAATCTCAAAAGTTCATCTTCAATTCTTCAACAACCTATTAAACAGAATGATTTCTATAATAATATTAAATAACATTTCATATATTTTCTGTATCGATATATGAATAATTCAATGAATCCTTATTATTATTATTTTTGGTAATTTAATGGAAATTTCAAAATTGACAAGTGTGACATTTCGCATATAAAATAATATTTCAATACGATTAAAACATAGTCGCAGTATCAGTTAAATTGTATAAATTTACAATAGAAAACTTCGGTTGTAATCCTGTCCTAATGTAATATGAGTTAAATTTAAAAAATTTCAAACTAATATAAATATAGAATAATTTAATGACAAAGTTAATTTCATATTATTTTTAAATTCGGATCCGTCTCTTGTGCTTCTTTAGGATAGTTAATTTTATTTGATTAAATCATAGACCTATTACTTAATCCTTAGGAATTATTTTAACTTTAATCCTTTTGTAATTGATCATGATTATTTTCCTGAACTTAAACCACCATATTTTCAGATGATTTAATTTCTTTTAATTGATCCTAGGGTATATTTATCTTATTATTATATTCATGCACAAGTCCTTTTTATTAGTCCTCATTTACATTGTTTTCTGACTGTTTTAAATCAACTTAATGATTTTACTCCACATTTTGATTTCCTTTTATTTAATTTATCTGACTTATTTTTTGTATCTTTTTACTTTCATTTTCTTTGATTTAATCAGTAAGATTTAGTCCTTATTATTTATTTAAGCTTAAATATATGGATATTATTTTACTCATTATTAGCATAGATTTAACTCTATTGTAGACTTTTTGGTTTGTCACCAAGTTCTCCTTATTAATTCTCTAATGAAAGACTTTTAACTAAATCATTTCTCATTGTAATTTATTTATTCCTTTTATCAGATTTTTAATCTTAATCGTGAGCTTCATTAATTGAGCTCATTTTACTTAATTGATTCTTAGTATTTTCAATTTACAGTAATTATTGTGTATCATTTTAATTTAGAATTTTTTAATCCAATATTCCTTATTCTACAATTTCTTCTTTTTTCTGTACTAAAATGCTTTTCACAGTAGAACTAGTTTTGTTCATCAATTGTTATTAATCTTATAAATTAGTATTAGGCTAAAGCTTTGAAATTACTTTTGTTTCTTCTTCAGGTTCATAATAAAATTCTTTATTCTCAAGAGTTTTATTTTGATTTTGAGATTGGGTGTTAGAATTTATTTTCGAATTCTACTATTCAGTTATTTAACCATCTTATATTTTATTTTAATCCATCTCTGCTTAAGCATCTTAGAGTTTATTCTAATTCATATTCTCATCATCTTTATTATTCTGGATTTGTTCTTCATTATTTTATGAATATCTTTATTAATTAGAAGGAATCTGTTCCTCAAAATTTGAAGTTCCATTTAATTTATCAGATTTTGATAAGGAATTGTCATTTTATTTGGAATTGATAGATAATTCCTAATTATCAATTTAAAGTGCATCATTATTAACTTAATTTGTTTATTTTATATGTATAGGTCTTTTCTTAGTTTTTTGTTTGATTTCTATATTTTAAGAATCTTCTTTCTAAATTGAAACAGGTTAACTATTCGTGTTTTTAACTTATGATGTTTGAGGATCAACAATATAATCTTGCTTTTTATCTTAATTGACTAGTTCATTTGATGTTTTGCTTAGAATCGATTAACTCTATTGTTCCTATTACATATTTTAAGGATCATCCTTCACTTTTTTTGTTTAGTGAATCTAAGACTATTATTTCTTTAGAATGTTATTTTATTTTTTTTGAGTTTCACCATCTTGGTTTATCTTAGATTGTTTAGGAGTGATGACACTCTATCGGCTCTCAGATTAGTCTGTCTTGATTCGAATTTACTATGAAGATTCATTAGGTTTATTAGATACATCTGAATAGGATTCTTAATTGTATCCCTTGATATGTTAAGACTATATTTTGTGGTTATCTCTTTGATTTTTAAAATTCTAGTACTAAATAACTTATGATTAAATTCTGTTTTTCGTCCCATCTGGTAATATTTTACTGATCTTTTATTTTACTGTAGAAGATTATTGCTATATATTGGGTAATTTAAATGATTGTTTTTCTGTGGTATCACTTTCCTCTGAGAATTCAGTTTTTAATTTAGTTGCTTTAAATCCTTTTAATTCGCTATCTTAGTAATATGATTGAGTTCTCTTGGGTGTTTAGGTTTTTTTATTTGCAAATTGAAATTTATTTTGTTTTTATTACTAAATAAAAGAATGATCTGTTTATTATTCTTGGGCAATTTTGAATTTGTGTTTTTATTATGCTATATTATCTGGCAATTTATCTTGGACACTTTCGGGTTGAGACAAAATACATTAAACATTTTCTACTGCAACAGCGATTTATTCTAAGAATTTTAGCATGTGTTCCCTAGTTACAGGCTATTGAAGATAATTATTTGTTGTATCAAATTTTGGTTAGGAAAATTATTGTTTTCTCTTAGGAGTTATTTGTTGTCTTGATTGCATAGAAGGAGAAGTTGATTTCTCATTCAAAGGGAATTTTGAGTTAGCTCGACTTATTTGATTATTTCTCTGACTTGATTTTTTGTTCTGTTAATACATTTATGAGAAATAATATAAATAATAATAATTTATTTCATGAGGTTTTTTCTTTGACATAATAGAGGGGTTTTAAAAGTTTTAATAAGTATTAATTGAAATTATCATCTTAAGAGTTTAATAAAAGCAAGCTTTTATTTTTTGTATTATCTTGAGTAGAAAATTCAAGAGTTAAAAAATTTCATATTTGAATTATATAATAGGCATCTAAAGTAATTTCATTCTAATAATTATTTGATTCGATTATAAAATCAATGATATTTATTTTATATACCAAACACAACTATATGAATGATTGATAGATTTCATTATTGGTTTCATAATTACACTTAATCATAATATCTTATTTTTGTTTACATTTTATGGTTATTAAATTGGCCATTAAAAGTTGTAGAAATTAAATACAAAAATTTTTTTTAAAATAACTTATGGATTAAGAAAATCCAAATGATGATGGAATAAATTAAAAATTGAATGCTTTAGCCTAAAAATTGCAGGAGAAAAAGATTGAATTATCATACTTATTTTAAGATAAATGGGTGTCTAAAGAAGTGAATAAAGTAACAGTGACAGTAAACTCTAAAATATTGTGTTTCTATTTGAATTGGTTCTGATTCATATGGAACTTGGATTTAGAGGGGTGCAATATCTATTAACTAAAATAATCAGGTTGAAACATTTTCAAGAAAAATCTACGACGATTATACTCTTTAGGGAGATAATGTATTAACTTATTATGGAAAATATGATGAAATAAATTAAACATTTAATGGAGAATGGTATTGAAATAATATCCAAGAAACAATCTATACTACTTGTAGAGTGATGAAAGAGGAGATTGGACTTTAAAATTTGAAAGCTTATGAATCTTAAAATTTATCAAGTTAATATAATCAAAAATTAGATTTTTTTTAATTTCAAAGTTGTTAATTATCAGTTCAGATTAATTCTTATGGATAAAATAACTTTACTAAGTATCAAGAGATTAATATAGTAATCATGTACTTTATGAATAACTATAGGATCTATCGTATAGTGGTTAGTACCTGAGGCTTTAACCCTCAAGACCTTGGTTCGAATCCAAGTAGGTCCTTTTTTTTCATTTCTTATAAATTTTTTTAATTATTTTGATTCTATTATTTTTATTTTCTAATGAATAATTTCAATATAAGTAATGCATATAGAAACAATAATTTCTAAAAATGGTTAAGAAATGATAATATTTAATTATTAAATTCATACTGTAATAAGCAAAGTAGATCTTTAATTTTAGTTATCTTATTAATTGCGGTTAGTAAAAATGTCATTCTAGAATATTGATTACAATGAATTCTTATTGCTACGTCTGAATAACTATAAAAGCAAATTTTTTTTTACATTTTTCTTGATGAGAAAGAGGATGGCGAGTGGTTCTTTATAAGGAAAGATTAATCATAGTCTCTCCTTAATTTTGAATCAACAATACTCTTTGACTGAAACTATTTAATATCTTTAATTAAATGTGTTAATATTTTGAAATGGATTATTAGATTTAATAAATCCTATTATTTAGCTGAGAAGATATCATAAAAGAGGTTTCATCTTTGAAATAAAAAGCATAACATATTATGAGGGTTAAAAAAGAATTTATATACCTTGAATGTAGTATAAAAATGCAGATTAAAATAGGAGGAATAATTAAGGTAGCCAAAGTTAATAGGATGGGAAATAAACATGTGAATATGGTTTTGTGAGAATGAATTTTTGAAAATATTAATTAATATTTTATGGACCCTTCGAAAACATAAATGTTAAAGTTATCATAGTCTACTAAAGAGAGAGTGGAAGCTGCAAAATAGTATATCGAAAAGAAATACCAAAAGTTACTTTATGAATAAAAAGAGAAGAGAGAAAAATGGGAACAATTAATTCAAAAGCTGACTAATCTGAATTATACACCAATCGAGCAATAAATTATCAAGTAAGACTTGCTTCACAAAGAGGCTGAGATATTGAGATTACAGAGACAAAAACTAAGCATAAAAGACTTTGAACCAATAGAAATCATTGGAAGAGGGGCTTTTGGTGAAGTAAGATTGTGTAGAAATAAATTATCAAATGACATAGTTGCAGTTAAGAAAATGAAAAAGTCTGAAATGCTTTATAAAAATTAAGTATCTAAAGTAATTTAGCAAGGTTTGTCATGTAAGAGCAGAAAGAGATCTATTAGCAGCTTCAGACAATGCTTGGATAGTTTAATTAAAATGCTCATTTTAAGATGAAAAGTACAAAATTCTATTATCCAAGATATCTTTACTTAGTAATGGAATACTTGGCAGGGGGAGATTTGATGACCTTATTGATGAAGAAAGACATTTTTACTGAAAAGGAATCATAATTTTATATGGCTGAATCAATAATGTATAATGCAAATAAATAAACTATAGGGCAGTTGATTCGGTTCACAAATTAAAATACATCCATAGAGATTTAAAGCCAGACAATATTTTATTATAACCAGACGGACACATAAAATTGAGTGACTTTGGATTATGCAAATATGTGGAATCAAGAGGAACTAGATTAGACGAGAGAATTAGTGTCCACAAACCAGAGGATAAAGGAGGAAACACAACAAATTTCAAGAGAAATAGAATTAAGGCTTATAGCACAGTCGGCACTCCTGATTATATTGCACCTGAAGTGTTTGGGAAGTCTGGTTATAGTGAGACAGCCGATTGGTGGTCATTAGGAGCTATTCTATTTGAAATGTTAGTTGGATATCCACCATTCTTTTCTGATGATCCCTCTTCAACCTGTTAAAAGATTATTAATTGGAAAAAAACACTTGTTATCCCACAAGAAGCCAAACTATCTCCAGCTGCTACTGATCTAATATTAAGACTTATGACAGACGCATAAAATAGACTTGGAGTAAATGGAGTTAATGAGATTAAAGCTCATCCTTTCTTTGCTGGTATAGATTGGAAAAATCTAAGATCCAAGGTATCACCTTATATCCCAGAGATTAAATCTGAATTGGATACTAGGAACTTTGATAAATTTGAAGAATAGGAACCTTGGGTACCCTAAGAGTAAGTATTTATTTCAAACAAAGCTCTGGTAAATCAGTTAGAAAAGATGTGAATTTTATAGGATACACATTTAACAGAGAAGTCGAAGTTCAAAGATCTTATCTACTTTAAGCTTTGCTGGATCTTGATTCTTTATAAACACAAAAAACAGTAGAATTTATATTCATTACTTAGGTACCCACTGAGTCAACTTAGAGTAAATCTTAAGAAAAGAAGGATACATTTTTCATGTCCAATTTACCTAATAGTATTTCTTTGGATCCAGAATTGTAGAGCAAACTACTAAAAACCCAAAAACTATTATAAAATGCTAAATCAAAGTAAAACAACATATCATATACCAAGACCTCTCTTGAATCAAAAGGAATCGACCAATACTTAGAAATAATAATAACAATTAAGTTTGAGTCCCACTCACTAAAACTTCAATCAATAAAACTATTTGAAATAATTAATCAGTCCACAAAATAAAAAGAATGCTATTTCACCTTAATCAAAACCTTTCAGCGAACATCAAAATCCAACCTTTGCTTAACTATATAAGTAATTTGAGGTACAAAAATAAGTAAGCAATACTTAAAGAGCGCAACCCAAATCGCAAATTTAAATGCCTATAAATAGTAATATAAATAAAAAATGATTAGTAATAAAAATATCAAATATATAATTATCAATTCTTTCCCCAAAATTATTTGAACAATGCTAAATATGTAGATTTTATAACTAAACTCTAACATTTTATCAATAAATTACATTATGTTAATAGCAATAGTGAAGGAGTCCAATCAAAAGACTAAACAATATCAATTCAAAGTTTTTCATCTTCAATTTTGGGAATTTCTTATGAAAATGATTATAAACAGCCTCACAAAAACGAGGGAACAGTTGAAGAGTCATTTCAAACCCTCTTCCATCAGATTCCAAAATAATTGAGGTTCCACTAAATGAACCTATTATTAATCCATCGATTCCTATTAGTACGTTTAATTAAATCTACATACCTCCTAATGGTCTCTAAAATCTTTTTAAAGTGCAAATAGTTAATCTTATGATGCCAACCATCGAGGAGAGGAAAAGTAGAGACTTTAAGCAGTTTAAAGAAGCTTTTTTAATTGTTGTCAAAGGACTATTTAAAATTAATTCTTACTGGGATCTAAGTTCTTTTCTCTTGAAAATCAATATTGGGATAAAGTGCATTGGAATGAAAAATATAGAGAATCGCTTTCCAGTCAATAAGAATCTATACTCTTGTTATTTTGATACTTCAATAAGGCGAAAGAAATGCATCCCAATCCTGGATGTTGTAGATGACAATCAAGCACTCTTCCTTAAGTCATTGCTTTCTAATATTCTATTGATAAATCGCTCCTATAAGGTTATGAATATTTATGTGTACATAATTGAAGTACTTTAGTAAGTATATAAAATTAATATAGTTTATTTATTTATTAAATGTTTTTTGGATATAATTCAGCTCCTAATTCTAACATTTCTTAGACTCAAAGCATTCTCCACGAGTCACAAGTGCTTTCACTATAGAGGGAAAGCGAAAATTACATAAGAAAGGTAGAGCAAGACAAAAAACATCATTATAATATTGAAGAAACTTGGGTGACAACCAAAAAAGAATGGTAACAAAAGAAAGAACAAATTAAAAAAGTATCATCATTCTAAATTATCCTAGATCTAACATGATTAAACATTGCCAGCTGCTAAGCAATAATTAAATAAAATAAAAAATTTATAAAATGCTTTAGAATAATCAATACTTAAATACAACGAATCGTAAACCAATAATTTAGAGTTGAAAAAGTAGATCAATATGTTGAGAAAGGAAAGACATCAATACATAAATATTCATTAAGACCTAGAGGAAGAATTATTGAAAATAGATGATGAAACTGAAGCAAATGAGGCATATCGTAATTCAAATGAAATATAAGCTCAAAAAAAGAAGGAAACTATTGCTGAAATGAAGAAAAAAAATGATTATGAAAAAGAGAAATATGTGGAGTAGTTTGACAGATTGAAAAAAGAAGTTATGGAAGAGAAAAAAAAGCATGACTTAGATAATTTAGGATTAAAGAAAGAGAAGGCTGCAAATATTGATACGGCTTCTACTTTAAAACTAAGATTAAAAAAATTGATATCTAATAATAAGGAAAAAGTTAAATTAATCGATACTTATTGGAAGAACATGAAAGTTATTGAGGATGCTTTCAATCAAATCAAAGAAGCCTCAGGTATCTAAGATATTGAAGAAATTATGAACACATTTATTAAGAGCGAAGAGTAGAACTATTCACTATATAATTATGTGGACATCCTATCTTAATAAATTGATCAATTATAAGATTAAAATCAAGATTTAAAAAAAAAAATAGATTCTCAAAGAGTTGAAAATGAAAGCAAAAAGAGATTGCTCATGGCAACTCCCTAGGCAGAGAGACACAGAAAAAAAAATGATTTAATCATCAAAAAGAGACAGGAAGAAATCAATACTCTCAGAAAACAAATGGAAGAAATTGCTCCTACTTTAAAGGATGCTTTAATCGAATTATCTTAAACATAATTGGTAATTTATAGTGCTATCTCTTTAAGGCATCTGATCCAACTGCACATTTAGATTATAAATTGTCATTTAATCTTAACGAAAGTTCTTTAGAGAAGTATTTATAGGATCTTGAAAGATTTATCGATCTTGCTGTTGCTAAGTAATCAATTTTATGAATTTTAGAGAAAAGATTGCATAAAACTAAAGCATTGCTCAAAGTACCCTACTTTTAGATGAAATCCCCCTCAAAGAATTTAAAGGATCCAATAAATAATTTAATGATGATGAGTTGCTGAAATAAGAATCATAGTAACAACAATACAATAAATTATTGACTCAAAAAGCTTTGAGAGATATGGCCGTGGAAAGCTTAAAGAAAAAAAAGTGAATATTTACATAGAATCATTAAATTTAATTATATAATTTTTATATTGCCTGAAGCATATAATAATTTAATTATTTTAATAGTTTTCTTAGAATTAATCAACTTAATTAAATAAACCATTAAATTATCTTTTACTGTTTTTACTTAATGAATATAAATAAATGCACATTTATTTTTATGAAATAATATTCATAACTCAAAACTATTGGTCTTAGTTATTTACAGTCTATTCATCATTATGTTTTTAATATTTTTGGTTGTTGCCTTAATAATTATTATTTTACTGATAATTATTTTATTAGTAATTATTTTAATGATAATTATTTTGTTGATAGTTATTATAATATTTCTTTTAATATTTTTATGGTTATCTTTAATAATTAGGATTTTGATTATATTGCTATTAGTCATATCCATATTTGAATTAGTTATTATTTTATTAATACTATTGTTGTTATTAGGGATAATAGTATTGATAATCATAATTGTTGTACTATTGTTTGTTGTCATTTCTTTAATATAAAAATATATATTACTTATACATCTATTGGTTTTAACCTTAATACTGTGAACCTGCATATTGTTGATTAGCAGAATAATAGGCTAAGAAAAGATTATGATGTTTAAATACCTCGCATGTACATCATTTGATCGGCCTATTTAGATTACCATCTCTGTTGGTTTTATCTCTTGTGATAGTTTTTATATTCAAAAGGAGATTTTTCAAATAATTATTACTCATGAGATTGTTGGGTTAAGAAATTTTAATCAAGATCTCTTTGTTATTTTATTTATTCCTAGCTTAGATAATAAAGGTTACCTCTCTCCTGTCCATGTTTTAAAATTGCTGGAGCAAGACATTAACGTTGGTTTCATCCTCTTGTTAATCTTTGAAACATTAAAGTACAAATATCCCCAATCCATTTGTAATCTCAGTGCAATCGGTTTGCTCTGTTAAAACTATTGAACCTAGATGGGCTGGTTATTTTTCATCGAGTGTTTTCTACTTCAACTCATTCAAGAATAACTAAATTATGATTTTCGAAATACGCATTTAATTTAAAATGAGCCAAACCATCTCAATGGTTCATCCCAATAAAGAAATGAAGCTGTTGGGTCAAAAGGGCCAAGCAATTTCGCGCATGCTTAAAAGGCTTTTGTGCCTACAACCGAATATATTAAATAAACATCCTCTGATTCCTTAAATAACTCATCAATCCTTGCATTCGATTTTGGAGTACTATGAGATTATTGAATATGTTACCTAGTCCACACTCCGTATTTCATGCCTTTATGAATATTATCTAAGCTTGCACTTCTCAATATCAAAAATATTGCTTTTTTTGAAATTGAATTGAGATTTATTGCTTTATTGAAATCAGCCATTTTTGGATATAGGTTTTATAATTAAGCCACACTCATTACTGCTTATAAAACAGGCTCATCGATTGGATATCCCTAGAAATTTTTATAATGTTTACCCTTTGTTTGTGGTGTTATTTCATTTCTTTATTATTAATACATAAAAATATTAAATTGATAATTTATTGTAAATTATTATATTATTATTAATGGTTGAGAACAAAAACTGCATAAAAGATTAATTTGAAAAATTGAAGAAATAGATATATCTTCTGTAGCCATTAATCAAATTTGTTCTTGAAAAGTTTCTTAAAAATGAAATATTCATATCATTTTTTAAAAAATTAATTAATACTTCTATTTTTTATAATGTTTTTATGTTTTTGTAAATATTTTGAAATTAATTCATTCAATTATTCATAAATAAAGCAGAATGCATATGAAAAAAAAGAAGGCTGAAAAAGAGAAAGTAAATTACAAAACCCTATATGCTTCTTTTGTTATTTAAATTAAGATATTTATGGATGATGAGATGGTTCACATCAATTAGTCATTTTAATATATTGTCATTATACTTTCCTCATTTTAACAATTGAGTTTTGCTTTTGAAAATTACTTCTTCTAAAACTAAGAGCATAGTGGATTCAAGAATTTTTTTTTGAATATTTCAACATTCACAAGACCATATGTGATGTTGCCTAAGAATTTTGGAGATTTTTCATTTATAATTCCTTTGACACTTTTACTTGCATACGAAGCCATAATTTTCTATATTTTCATTTGTTTTGCGAGAAGCAAGAAACAAAAGAGGATGTCCGAGATACTCCAGCAATAAAATAGATTATTTTAAATTATATTGAAAGTCTATTCTTATAAACAGGCATTGCTATACTATTTAATTTTGATCCCTTAGTTGGAATTAATAACATCATCAATTCAATATTATTCTTAAGAAGAAAACTTAAATTTAGTTGCCTTACCAATATCAATCATATCTTTTATTTTGATAATTTTGAATTTGATTTTTTACTTATTTTGCATTCAACAATCCAGCCATATCAAGGTGAGAAATTTGAATATGTTATCGTAATCCTTTAATCATTTTTTGAACCCAATCTTTTCAATTCTAATTTTATGCCTTAATCAATTCGAAAACAACAGCAAATCATTAAGATTTTACTTGATTGTAACAATTTTATTGGTAAAGTCGGCATTTAACATTTATAGCATCTTTGCAACATTTCAAAACCTTTATAAACGATGCATTATTGAGTTGTTCTCAGAATGTTTTTAATTTTCAATGTCCTTAATATTAGTGTTCATTCAATTATCGTAATTTAAGTCTGAATATAAAGATTATGAGACTGCCTTGATTCTCATAATTATACCAATTGCAACCCTAATTCCCATAATCCTATATAATAATCTCCATTACAGTATCATCCTAAATAACAATCAAATGATGGCTAGTTAGTTGATGCTGTACAAAATTGGTTCAATAATTGATGAGTTTGGAGATGTAAAACATTCTTACTTACACGATAATCGCAAAATAATACAAATTATTTACTTCAAGTAAATTCATTTACAGCATTGTTAAACACCAAAATGTTTGTGTACTCAACAATAATTAACTTTTGAGTAAATTATAAATCTATATTTAAAAGATTAAGTCAACTATTTTAACCTAACTATAAATAAGCTTAAGTAATAATAAATTAAATAATTATATTTTTTACACTATTTATCTCTAATCCATTATTTAGGATTAAGTACTAGAGCATTTTAATAATCAAATATTGTAGTCTATCAAGAGAGTGAAAATTTGTAATTATCAAATATTATATTGTTGTAGTTCATCTCAGTTCAGCAAAGTGTTAGTTGGAAAACCTGGAAGTCAAAAGGCTGGATCTAGCAATAGTTTAGACCAACAGAACAGCTCTGCTTAAAAATCAAAAGTTGATAGCAAACCAGATGAAATGATTCACATCAAAATCCAGAATATAGGATTCATATACAAATAGAGACTGGTCTTAATGCAAGAATTGATCAAGAAGACTATGAGTACTGGATTGGGTAAATAGAGCAATTAAATACTATCTGACAATCTTGAACATGCTGTTAAACTATTTTTAAGATCAGAAGACAGTAATAAGAAATTGAAAAATAAGATCATCAAAATGATCAATAAAAAGAAGGATTTCTTTGTTAATTTAACTTTACTAAACTCTAGTTTTAATTTATTTAATTCTGCTAAGTAAATGATTCTGAAATTAACAGAACTTGAAGATGAACTACTACGATTATACTTCTAATTTCCAAGTAAATATAATTATAATAATTATAAGGTAGGAAAATGCAAGCACTCAATACTTTTTATTAATCAGAAGTAATGAATAATTATTTTTAAGCCTACAAATTAGCTACCGTTACTTCGATTTCAGATGAAAAACTATTTAAAATGTAATCTTAAATTAGTTTTGATATGTTTTCAAGCAAATTGGATTACATAATTGTAGGGTTTGATGAAAAATCACATAAATTATAAATCCGATAATGTTCCAATTAGATCCATGATTTCTTTGGATATAATTAAGAAAAGTTTAAGTTAATTAAAACTATTGATCACCTACTTCCAAATAATTTTGATTCAATCCATTAAAAATTTGTTTAACATTTTCTCTAATCAGGTCATTCAAATTTCTATCGTTAAATAAACCAGAATTATTGCAGATATCAATAGAAATATATAAAGTCCATTGATTTCTTCTTTGATATCAATGTAAGCAATCTGGAGGATTTAACATTTGCTTGCTTTTTCTAAAATAAAGATAACCAAAATGCTTTTATGTTTTGTTGTAATAATAACAAAATTTAGAGTATTAGCAAAAACTTTATAAGTAAAATAGGGTATCCAATTAAATTAATCGCAACATTAATGGAAGCACTTAACAAATAGCCATTATCAAAAATCTTTCCTAAATTGTAAACTGTTATGGAAATGAATGCTACTAAATTTTCATATGAAAATGAGGATTATGAATAAGATGTAATGGATTAGAGTGAGTACTAAATCCATATGATTTTACCAGAGATCGATAGTTTGCTTAAGAATTAAAAGTACAATTGGGATGTTGAAACAAATTGTTAATAGTTTGTTGTAGACGCAGTATTTCATTATAGAAAGTTGAAATAAGATACATCCAGCAATTATGTAATAATAGAGATTAGAGAGGCTAAAAGATACATGAAGAGCTTTAGCACACCATAACAAACTGAAAATGTTACTCCAACACCAGGAGCATCTTAAACTTACTATTAGGATAATTTAGAGGATTTTGAAGATTTGGAATTTTTTGAATAAGATGAATTTTATGCTAATATTCCAAGAGCATTGGAATTTGATTAAACACAAAATCAGAATTAACTAATGAATTTTGAATAGGATTAATCAGAGAGTGATGCTTAATTTGGTGTAAGGGCATTTAGAAATTAGAAGAATTAAAGTTAGTCATTTTATCCAAATGTTTCTTTAGTGAGCCCTAAGGATGCAGGTTAAAAATTGATAGATGCCAAGTCTAATGAAGGAGGATTATATGAAAGCAATAGTCGAAGAAATCATGATGCTAGATAGTAATTTTTTTCAGCAGTTGATTAAAAGGATGTTTCATCGAATGCAGAGGATCAAAGTATAAATGATAATGAGAAAGAAATTAAACATTAAAATTAGATTGATAAATTATAATTAGAAGATATTGATCAAGAATTACAAGAGAATATAAAAATGTAAATGTAATTAGAAGAATAGGATCAAAATGTTATTTAAATTGATGATATTGGATCATAAGTAAGTTCAGTTGCAGCATTTAAAAAGTCAAAATATTCTAAAAAATATGATTTGATATAGAAATTGGTCACTTCTGAGAAATTCTCATAGCATTACTATTTGGCTAGAATATTCTTAACAATTTTGTTTGTGTTGTTCATAGTTTTTTCAATCGTTTAAATGATATTTTCATCTGATGATTTGAATAGATTTCTGTAAGAACTGGACATGGTTCAAATAAAATCGAATATAGTAGCTCCAATTGATAATTACATAGTGGCTTAAAATGCAGTTATGAATTATGCTATTTTGAGTATGATTGGACTGATGAACGCATCGACTGCAGCTATAAAGTTAGAATATTCAAAAAATGATATAAGTTACAATTACGAAGAGTTGAAGGCTAGTTATATAAAGCAATTATCAAATTAATACTTAAATCCTTTTTTTTAGGATAAAAATTTTACTATAATGCAATCTGAGTAAACAACTACATCTGATAGAAACGTATCAGCAAGAGAGGCAATTTATCTTTCATTGGAAGCAGCATATTAATTTGTATTGTTAGATTATTTAAACATATTTACTTCTTTGGATCCTACATCTGGGTTTTTTGTGTATCTATTTGGAAATTATCAGACATTTTATGATTAATTAACTATAGTCAATTAGGATATGTTGTCTTATTCGGTGCAGAGATCAAAGACTGTAAAGGATAAATGGATGTCTTTGATGATTCCTACATTGATCATCGGTTTTCTGTTATTGCTAATAGTTGTTAAATTCCATGGTTTTTACTTACAATAGTATGATCAATTTATTCAGCTGTTTTCCATGTTGGAATTAGTATGGGTTTAAAGAGACATTGATAGATACAAAGGCATATCCTCTTTAGTAATCAAAGATTCTGATGTTTTGTTCAAATATCAATTTGATATTGATTTGAAAGAGAAGTTCTTAGCTGCTGAAGATATAAGAAAGGAAAAGATAGCTTAAAATTAGAAGGCACATAAATCAAAACAAAAAGCCACCAATTTAAGTTTTGATCAGAAATCTACAAAATTACCTTCACTAGTAGTATATTCAACCATTTACGCATTGTGCTTTGGGTTATGTTTCGTATCGACATCTTTGGGAGAATCATATTTTGCCAAATATCCAGATACCACAAATTTCTTCAACACCTTATGTGATGTCAGTATTGCTTCAACTGGAGTTTTTAGCTTAAGACAAATCATATATGTTGCGTCTCCGAAAGATTAATAAGCCTTCTTTTTTATTAAAGATACTGCTTATTTTATTAAAACATTCTTCGAGCACATCGATACGATAAATGAATTTCTGGCTTAGATGTCAGAATTTGATCCATCTACTTTGATAACATCTGATGCATTCATAAATAAGATCGAATCACTTATGCAAAATGATGTTTGTGAGTTTCTTCCAGAAGTATTAATAGTTCTTATTATTTTCATTAGTTTAAAAAAGAGAGTGCTTAGATACATTGTGATGCCGTTTATGATGGTGTTGTTAGAAGGGGATTTCAACTCTCCTTAAACACTGTTAGGAATGAATTACTTAATGAATATAAGAATTCTCAAAATTTTAGTGTTTAGTAATATTCACTTAATGAATAACTTGAGATTGGACTCATCAGTTATGATGCTGTTTCGAATATCAAGGCATAATTTTAGGATGAACTAGTGCGATTTACGAATAACCTAATTGATTCAATATTGGTACAAATCAAGCTAAATTTTAGATCATCAACATTTGTGCAATCATATTTTATTTATTATCAATTGTAATGATGTATCACTTGGTTACATAAATGTACTACCAGGAATTTAAGTTAGTACTTAAGTTTATATTGTTGATGCCATAGACTTCACTGTTTCTAGACAATCAACTTGATAGAACTTTGAAATAAATAATAATTAAGCATAATTTAACTTGAAATATTTACATATAAGTTATTAAAAATGATTATCATTCTTTACTTTTCTTATAAGGAGTCAAATTCTTTTACTCGTGAACTAGAGATGTTTATGAAAGCAATTCTGATTTTCTCTGTTTAGCCGATTAAATAATAGTCTTAACATTGTTGTATTCCTTTCTGAGAATCTTTTATAAATAAGCTTTTCTAGCTAATTCGAAAATTGCCTAACCATTCTTAACTCCTGTCTAAATAGCCATCATAGCAAAGACAGATTCCTTGTCTATTCCCGAAGAAGTTCTTGGATTAGTAACTAATAGCTCAAAAGGATGACCTTATTCTAAGACCTTCCCTTCTTCCAACACAAGTATCTTATCATAATCTGCAATCGTATTGAGTCTATGAGCTATAGTAATAATAGTGCAATCACTAAATTTCTCCTTGATAGTGCTTTGAATGAAAGCATCTGTCGCCATATCTACATTGGCTGTGGCTTCATCTAAAATTAAAATCTTTTTCTTATTCAACAACACTCTAGACAAACAGATTAGTTATTTCTAACCAATTGAAAATAAATCAGGCTACACTTCAGATTGCAGTTGTTTTGGAAGATCTAACACATAATCTTGCAGTCCAGTGTCTTTAAGAACCTTCCAAATTTTTGAATCATCAAATAAGTACAAGGGATCTAGGTTTTCTCTGATAGTGGCTCTGAATAGAAATGGTACTTATGGAATGATAGCAATTTCTGATCTAAGTTTGGCCAATCCTATTTCTCTGATGTCATAATTATCTATAAAAATGTTACTAAAAATTAAATTCTTAAATATACCCATCTGGAGTTATTTCTGCCATTCTCAAAAGAGCCTAAATTATGGAAGATTTACCAGCCCCTGTTCTACCGATAACTCCCACTTTTTCACCACCTTCGATTTTAAAACTCATGCCCTTTAATATGAACGGCATGTCTGGACGATATTGCATTTCGACTTTTTAGAATTGAATAGTTCCTGTTTCAGGCCAGCCTATTACTGATAATTCATCATCAATCTGTTGAGTCTGTTAAGCTTCCAATTCAATATCACATATCTCAAACATTCTATTCACACTGTTCATTATCGAATCAAAGGCCATAAATTATCTAAGTGTACCAGCTTGAGTGTTGAAAGTAGACAGCAATAAAAGGGCCTACGAAAACAATGTAGGGTCTTCAATCATGGCAATAATAAGAAATATGCCAGCTATGTTAGTAAATTAACCAAATATATCTATGTAAAATCCAAAGCACCTCTGGGAATAAGAAAATATCAAATTGGCTTACATTGATTAATTGCAAAGCTAATAAAACTACTCTCTAATCCAATCTTAATTTTTGTTTATTCTTATTTAGGTAATTCCATATAAACAAACTTTAAATTGATCGAATAATGGGGATCTTTAAATTAAGTCACAAATCTTCAATTAGGACACAACCTGTCGAGAAATTGAAAAAATAATTATGGTCATACTGATGGTAAACACTAATGGGAAAGTAAAAAAGGGTTGTAAAATGGCTATCGTGACCAGGGAGACAAGGAATTGGGATCCTTATTCGAAAATATCAGTAATAATTTATTGAATTTAGTTATCTGCCAATGATAAGTCAGTAGAAAATCTATTAATTAGTCTCCCTGATGGATTAGTGTCAAAATAGCTTATTGGTGCTCGTATCAATCTTGAGAGCATTTCATTATGAATCTTATTATTAGAAATAAGGACTCCGATGATATTTAAGAAGTATTTGACTATGTTGTTGCAATAAGCAGCCAAAACTAAGAGTCCAGCGTTGAGGAATAGCTAGTTGTTAGACTCTCTGTCTGTTTCATCATACAGAGCCATTTCTCTGTAATAATAGTTGTTGATGATTTCAGTAGCCACATTCTGACCGATGATAATGAAAATTAAAAAGATGGGAGACCAATAGCTGAAGTATCTTTTATAGGTTGTCCATCCAGCATCAGTCTGATTTTGTTCCTCTTTTGAAAACAACTGGACTATTTCTTTCTTTTCAACTTTCTCTTATTGTTTGTTTAATAGAGTTGCTAATCTAGTTTATTTTCTGACTAATTATTTCTTCACTGGTTCAACAATATCAGAATTAAACAAGGCTAAGGTTTCCTTGACTTACTTGTAAGTTCCTTGATTTGCAATGGTCCCTTTATCTAAAATAATAACATAATCGCATTCCAAAGCGAATTATATTTAATGGGTTGACAATATCACAGCTGGAATTTGAGGCATATACTATTGATGAAATTTCGTATTCTTCTCTTATAGATATTGTGGCTAGAATTTAAAGATGAATTCTTTTATGGCGTATGTGAATATTTTCCTTGCCACTTTGGCATCTACTGCTGATAATGGATCATCGAACAAGTACAAGTCAGGCAATGCATAAAGAGCCCTTGCCAAACTTAATCTAGCTCTTTGTCCTCCTGATAAATTGGCACCCTTTTCTCCTATCTGAGTTTTATCTCCATCCTAAAATGATAAGACATCTTAATCTAAACACGAGACTTGCATCACTTTCCTATACAATTCATGCTCAAATTCTTTGCCAAATAAGATATTCTCTCTCACAGTTCCAGTGTATATAAATGGATCTTACTCAACAAAGGACATTTTAAGTTTCTTTTTTACATAGAACTCTCCATCTATTTAAGGCAATTCTTCCAAAATAGACTACAACAAAGTAGTCTTTCCAGAACCAACCCTGCCTATCAATCCTATGAGTTATCCTGGAAACACTTCCAAGTTTAAATCTGACAAAACTGGGAATGATCTTGGTTTCCATCTCAGATTCACTTCCACCATTGTAACATATGGAACTCTCTTGATGACACAACTCTGTTTCTTTATTTATTTAGATGAGTTTGCTTTGCCATTCACATTTATTGTATTGGACTTTCTAATAACTTAATTTGGAGTCTCAATATTTGTCAACAAATGTCTTTTCTTTTCACTGCTTGACCCATTTGAAGTCATTATAGACACCACTCTTTTAAAAATAACATTCAAATTCATGAATGCTTGGAATGCATATGAAACCTAAAATACGCAATAATATTTGATCATGGACATCAATTAGATGGTTCCGACAATTGAGGAAACATCGATGTAAATGTCATTGAAGTAGATGATCAGTAAAAATAGATATGATCCCCAGATATGAACACTATAATTAAAGGATCTATCAATTAAATTGAGGAAGTGAATTTTAAAATAGTTGAGAACTTCTTGTCTCCTTATTGCTTAAATTTTATCTTAGAATGCCTTTTCCCACACATACATTTTGATGAGTCTTATGCCCTCGATTAATTGGTTTTAGAAGGATATTCTGTTGTCTTATTTATTTTTAACCTGAGTCAAGACTTTCTGGACACTTTTTTGGATCAAAACTTGCAAGGGATAGATTATGATGCAAATTAGAATTGCAATCAATCCTATCGGCCCATTGAATCTTAACTACATAAAAATCAATTGATTACCCATAAAATGACCGAGGCAAATATGATTGATCCTGGAATTATGGCTATGGCATATACAAAATTCAATTAAAATTCAATTGCATTGATATCTCCACTTACTAGGTTCATGATATTTCCCACACTGAATTCCTTAATCTCATACGCTTTCAGTTCTAGAATCCTATCAAAAACAAAGTTAGTTAAGATCATCCTCATTTTCGTTGAGAAATTATTGATGGTGTATCTAGCACATTTAGACTTAAATGATGTACAATTAATAATGCTTGCTCAATAGGGCTACCAGTGACAAAATACCGAGGGCGAGTGCTTAGTAGAAAGCGCTGTTCTGGTTTCCATCTTTGACTGCAGCTATGAGAGTTTGGGTTAGAATGGCCATTACGAATCTGGAATAGGTTTCACTCATAGCCAACATGACAATTTTGAAGGTTAACCATTTATTATCTCCGAAGAAGAAGATTCGAAATAATGATAATGAGGTAATTTACTCCGAAATCTAAATAGTAAGGGATTAAATACTTTAAGATTAAATAGCTTTTTGGCCTTTTGATAATTGGGTTATATTGTATCCTCGTGGTCTTAGACTGGGAGATGAAATATTCCCAATTTAATTCTCTATTCTGAAATCAACTGTTGCACTTTCCTCATAAATGAGAATATGTGCAACAGTAAAATCTAGGATAAAGTTGAGAAATTTTAATAAATAGTAGACTAATAAAATTATTATGGAGTCGAGGTTTAAGTTTTTGTAATAGATTCGGGAACTACTTTCCGGTTGGCGCTTTTACTAAAAATTTCCAACAATCCTTATTCTGTTCTTTGTGTTTACTCAATGCTCGTTAATTGGGTGGTTTAAGGTTGATGCTTCAAAATCGTCTAATTCTCTTATTTCAGATAGGTGGTGTCCTTGCTTATAATGTATTGATTTTCTTGGTCTTGCTCTTCGATTTACTCCGAAGGTTAGGATCGAGGTATATTCGGTTCGTGCATTATCATTTCGTGGCTGTAAACTTGAGCAAAATCAATATTGTTAGAAGGAGAATCCTCATCAGAATTATTTTCACTCAGCACATCATCGTCAGAAGGACCATTATATGCTTTTACAAAATCTAAAAGTGATGATTACAGCATAGTTTAAGGATGAGATTCCAGAGCTTACTAAGCTAGAATGTATTTTACTTATTCATCGTTTTGTTTGGATCCGCTATTAAATTCTGTTTTACCAAGGGAAGGCTATCTTGCGAATTGCGATTTATGGTCTTTTTTTATCATATTTAATATGTATTTTGAAAAATTGAATTGAAAAACTTAAATATACTGATCATTAATTATAGAAATTTGAATAAATCGAACATGGACTGCTCCAATTAAATTAATTGAAACACTTGATCTATAATAATACAAATTATTATATTTTCTAATGAGTCAAAATAGAGAATTTAATAAAATTTATCAGGCATCCCAAATCAGTTGAACATGAGCAAGAACACAAATGAAACTAATTATAATAGATGAGGAATAACATAATTTCTATATTCATTTTGATTTTTAAATAAGTGAAAAACATATTAGAAATGAATGTGTTCGATTGTAACTTTGAATTGATTAGAACAAATTATTACTTCAAATATAGTTCTTAATGCAATTACTTCTGCAATGCAGAGCTATTATTTTTTGAGTTGATGGAACTTCTAATCGATCAGATTAAGAATATGTTGACATTATATGGAGCACTACTATATTGTAATGGTACTTAATCAGTTGATGATTACTCATTTATGTAGTATAGACCCAGATGACCCTGAAAATGAGTATTTTGCCAATCCTATCATTAAAAATATCACCTATTAAGACATTTTAATTCTTGAAATTAAATTACTTTAATGAGCATAAAACTTATTGTTAAAGGATGGCAATATTTATTAAAAATTGATTTTGCTTTAACTATCTTATGATAATAGTCTTATTAACAGTTTTCATTAGAGTAATATGAGTCTATTGATCTTTTAAAAATATTAGAATCATGGTTTAATAGTTTCATCAATAACATGAAAGATATATTTGAAATATTATTTTATTATAATGAATGAGGATAAAGAAATTCTTATAAAGAGAGTGAACATTATATTTATGAATTCTAATGTGCACATGGCAACTCTCCAGAAATAATAATAAATACGTAGGACATTCAATATCTAATTAATTAATTCTGATCATTAAATATGTGTGGATAATTTACAATATACATTTATATAATAAAGAGTCAATATTTATGTACTTTCAGTTTCATTATGTCGGGACTTAATGATATACAATTTTTCTATGTTTACATTTACTTTAAATTGCAATACTCCTGGAAGTTGAACTTGGAATTATAATGATGACTCGATTTCACTATGGTTCTCTAACTGTTAGATAATTTAAGAATTGGGAACTGATTTCCTTTGTTCATCATTACAGGACTGCTACTTCTGAAAGTGATGAAGGGACTATTCTATTCATCATGATGAATTAAATGACTAATAGTTCCGATTTGTCTAGTTGGGGTTTCAAATAAGGGTGGACTGTTTTGTCTTTGATTTTCAGTTGTTAATCCTTTGTGAGATTTGAGGAATATTTCGAATAAACTATTAAATCTTGGGATGCTAGATTTCTGTCCAAATTTTCTCTTAGATTGTTCAATCATTGTATCCATTTTTTGCTTGATTAATTGATTTCTACTTTTACGGTTATCATTTTTAGATTCTTTATTTCTAATGGTTTTTACATATTCCTCTGAGATTTCTTTGTCCTATTCACATGATGTTTTAATTTGAAAATATCTGGGGTATTTAAGATGAGTATTCTATTCTTAATGAACTTTAAAATGGACATAAGAATTAATTTCTTACATATGTTTATCTAAATCTTAGGTGTGTCCTTCAAATATCTTCTCAATCAAAGAAGTTCTGTGTATTTTGTAAATTTGCCCTTTAGGACTGAGACAAATAATTGAGTATTCGTATGGGATCTTATTAAAGAGATGGTAAAATCCAAATACTTATAATTCTCCAATTTCAAACAACTATGATGATGGGGGATATTGATTACGATTAGAGGATGTGATTTGTTCATGAATTTACGCACTTAAAATAGACCGGTCTTGACAATGAGAAAACTGTCGGATTTGTCTCCTTCTTGTAATACAGTTTAGTTCTTTTCATATTCATAGAGAAATGAATTCAAGTAGATTTAGGTTAACTGAGCTCTATTAAGTTGGTTAAATATTGAAATCTAAGAAAAATAATCAACATTCTAGGAGATAAAAATAATTGGATTTACTTATTCTATCTTTTTTGTTTGCTCATAATGTAAAATTGATTAAAACTGTTGTTTATCTAAAACAGCAAAGCAAGAATCAGTCACACAACGTATAGTTGCTAATCTAGGTTGTCGATGAATGAGAGCCAACTCTCCAAAAGATTCTCCTTGTCTCATAATTCTTACAGATTCCAATTCATCATAACCTCTTCTCTTTATCAAAACCTCCACTTGACCATCCAGAATCACATAAAATTTAGTACCAATCGAATCTGCATTATTAATAGAGTCTCCATACCAACATGAAATACAATATCAGTTGCTAAGAACCGTTCAACAAACATGTGCTTACAACATTCCCGATGAATTAATAACCCATTTTCTTGTTTGTAGTATTATTTAAAAAAGGGAAGTTCTTAAGTAAGATGAACTAATAGATCAATTTCCATTTTGCATCGATGTTGTGGTTATTTTTTCAATAAATGCAATGCTTCAGCCAAGTGATCTTCGAGCATATTTAACAATTTAAATATAAAAATAAATTAGTCAAATATATTTTGCTTGATAAAAGACTATTGTATTTTGATACTCAACTATTTATTAATTAAAAACCAAAATGTCACAAATCCCATTATCTAAATATCATTTGCTTACTAAAATTGGTTAAGGTCTCTACGGTGACGTTTACAAAGCCAATGTCTTAGGAACCGATTAATATGTGGCAGTAAAGAAAATACGCAATTATGTATTATGAGGCAAATTATAGAAGGATATTTCTGCTGGAGTGCCTGTGACAGCCTTACGAGAAACATCGCTCCTACAACGCATCCAACATAAAAATGTCGTCAAGTAATTCAAAATTAGTATGTTTTAGAATCCTTGATGTTGAAAAAATACATGGTCAAATAAGAGTGATTATGGAGTACTTGAAATTAGATTTGCAACAATATTTGAATGAGAATAAGGACAGATTAAGTCTGGGATTACTGAAAGTAACGCATTTGCTATAATAGAAATTTATGCATGATATTTTATAAGGAGTTGGAGCATGTCATAGATTAAATTGTATACATAGAGATATACAACCAAAAAATATACTCATTTAAGAGGATGGTATTGTGTCTTCTTTGATGAAATAAGGAACTCTTAAGATCGGCGACTTCGGGAGTGCCAGAGTATTTCAAAAGTGTCCCTAGTTTTTCACATCAAATGTCTGTGCCTTATGGTATCGAGCTCCGGAATTACTGTTGGGGTCAAATTATTACTCCACAGCCATAGACATGTGGGCTATAGGATGTGTCTTTGTTGAACTACTACTCAAATAACCTTTGTTTCAAGGAGAGAATGAAATCCATTAATTCAAATTGATCATTCCGAATGCTCAATCATTTTAGACTGTTGTAAGTATCATTTCCAAATTTAGAATCTTAGCGATTCTGATCTACAAATATAATTTGACAGCTGCATAATAAATAAACTACAAGACCTGATAGATCATGATGGGTTGGATCTCATATTAAAATTGCTGAAATTAGACCCAGAACAGAGAATATCCTGCTCTCAAAGTCTTTAGCATGTAATTGTGTTATTTTACTCTGATAGTCCTTTTTTAGTTGATCTAGATTTTATATTTCAAATACTATATAATATATTATTGCATCTATATTTCTACCATCTCTCGTTTTCATAGAATGAGATTTCATTTCATTAATGGGAAAGTTAAGAAAAAATCATAGAAATTTAATTAAAATGATAAAACCAATGAAAATGTTCATAAGTTAAGACAAAATTCATGTATTAGATTGATCTAAATAAGATTGTACCAGACCCTCATATTTGTGGATTTGACAAGTCCCTCACAATTGATAAATAAAGTTTTACCATTCAAGTCAATTCACCTATGATTGAATCAATCTAATAAGAAATTGGAATTTTTGGAATTGTAGGGTTCTACAGATTTTATGGCAAACTTAACCTACTTTATATCGCTGAAGCAAATGAGGTTTGCAAAATAAATGGTCAAATCGTCTATGAAATAATTACGGTATCAAATATTTTATAGAATCAATTTTCTTCCATGGAGTAACAAAGCATTAAAAATATTGAAACCTATTTTAGTAAATGCACCTATTTCTCACTATAATACGATTTGACCATCCCATTGTCATAATAACATCAACCTGAATAAAGTGAAAGGAGTATGAGATTTTGGTGGAATTTTCATGGTTATAAAACCTTTTTGGCCAATTCAATTCCAAAGTGTTGGTGCATCAAAATAATACAAGGGTATGTTGGGTTGGGGCTGTGTGAAATCAAAACTTAATAAAAACAGAAGCTGACCTACATTTTAATCTCACGAAGAGAGACTCTAAGAGGAGGCACTCGATACAATCATAGAGGATTGAATGCGGAGGGAGCAGCTGCAAACACAGTGGAAACAGAACAATTGGTTGAGTATTAAGAGAAATTGTATTGCCATCTGTAAATCAGAGGGTCTGTTCCAGTGTTTTGGGAGTAGGTAGGTATTCGTGCAATATCCTAAATCACATCAAATACTGAATAGACAAAAATGGCTATAACAAAGCATCTGATGAATTTGAAGAAATATTTCGGATCGCTTCTATTGATTGATCTAATGGCTGTTGACAAACCGAATGAGGCAATCATCAGTTAAACTTATAAAGAGTACTTAAATGGTTTATATTTAGAATGATCAATATGCTCAATCTACCTTAAATCCAGCATTAACAAATTGATTTTAAGCAATATTGCAAAAACTATAAGTTTGAAAAACTCAATCCTCTAATTATTCAGAATAAAGAAATTTTAAATTCGTAATCCTATACCAAATTTTAGAATGGAAAGCTATGTATGTATTTTGATTCTTAAATTAGTGAATATCTAGAATGGGGTAGTAAGAACAAATTGCTTGGATTGTTTGGATAGAACTAACGTCTTTTAAACTAAAATCGCCTTTTTCATTACCAATCTTATATTAAATGATCTAAGTATCAATATACCGAAAGAATTTAAATGCGAAACCATTTTAGATTTGGTAAAATATGTGCATTAAATTATAAGTCAGATTAGGAGAAAGTGCATGATCTCATTAAATTGATTAAGATTCTATGGGGGGAGAGTGGAGATAACATATCTAGAATCTATGCCGGTACCAATTCCTCAACGACCAAAATCCAAAAGACAGGAGGGAGTAGTTGGACTGGGATGATCGAACATGGCTTAAAAGGATTTCAGAGGTACTATGATTCCCCTTAGATGTTAGATTTTACAACTAGAATGTCACAGACGAGGAGAAACAGGGTATTTATTCTTTCATTGTCGGAGAGAATCAGCAATAAAATAAGTAGTATTTGGGGATAGTGGAATAAATGCAATAGCAATCCCCCATTATTCACAAAAATTTATTGTTAATGGTTATCGGGTATGATGCTAGGGGTTAAACAATTAAAGATTTCTTTCATTTAATTGATTCTAGATAGTAAAATTAATAGCCATATCTTATAGAATACCATAATTCATAATAGTAATGTTTCAGAACATCGTGAAGCAATGTTAGCCTTGCAATTATATCAAAGATTAGATGCAATCGACAATTCGATCTTAATTAGGGCAATATGAATGTGCTTTCTATAGTTAGAATGTAATGACTATACTATTAGCTTATAGGAAAAATAATACAGTTTCATATTCACGAAATAATGTCTTTAAAATGCAGATTTCAAAGATTATATTCTAAAGTCGGAGGATAGAGAAATTGGAATTGTGTAGAATTTTAGTTATTAGGATCAACGGTTTTAAGTTGTCAACCTAAATGTCAATTGTTAGGAATTATTGATGTATGAAAAAAAGATAATTGAAGAGATGAAAAATAAGAATGCCAATGCCAACATATAGATTCTCGGGGGGATCTGCAATTCCCAAATATTAATCGAGGAATCGATTGAGGACTTTTGCAGTAAGAATAAGAAGGACCCTATTCCCTAGTTATTTTTAAAAGATTAGTTATGCTAGTGTCTTTAGACATCCTAGATATTGAAAAGCTACCAAGAACAAAACATTAGTTTCCTGCCCAGAAATGGTTCCAAAAGCTGGCCAAATAGAATCTTATATGGGCCATAGGATTCATAGGTTGGCTTCAATATCTTAGCGTACGAGGAGTCAATAAGCAATGGTATCAGATTACTAATGGCAATTGATTTTGAAATACTTGGGTTGACTGGCGAGAAAATCATAAATAATGAGGAGGATGATGATGATATGAGATACTCATAACAATTCTACTAAGTTACAGACGAAAACGATGATTTCGAAATAATTACATGATGGTTTGACTCAAAAATATATAACAATTTTATATTTTGAATTTTTAAACTCCTACAATCGATTATTTATATCTATATTCCCTTCTAATCCAGTATTCTTTGAATTATTTAGCATTCATTTTTTCAAGAAAATAAGAAAGCAAATAGGTCATAGATAATTGAATATCATTCCTTGATAGCAGTCCTCAGTAGTTAAAGCACTCAATTTAAGATATCTGAACAATATCTTTGTAAAGATGGTCTAAAATATTTGATCAAGGGTGTATAATATTATCCAATATTATTAAAATGATTATATTAACTTTATTATTAGGCGTATGTGCTCAAAACAATGTAAATGAATTATTGAAGGAATGGGAAATCCATATTGAATAATCGTCAAGTGAAAGTTAATATACATTCAAATAAATACTAAACGAATTTAAGAATGAAATACCCAGACAATATCAATCTAAATTTTTTAGGATGTATGGGCAGTATATCTTTTATGGTTTAGAAGATGAAAATTCAATAGATTTTGCAAGGGTAATGCCATTATATTGAAAATAGGCTCTTTATTACTTTAAGAGGTCGTCTGATCTAGGGGACATTAATTCTCAGTTTTATTTGTCATTATTGACATATTTAAATTTAGATGGCTCTTACAATCTTTAAAGTAATCTTGACCCAGAAACTAAACTCTATCGGTACGTTAAGGAGAAGTATCAGAGCATCTCTTTGGTCGATCTATACTTCTCTGCAATTTAAGGATTTCATCAGAGTGGCGTTGCGATAGGTTTTAGATATTGGAAGGGAGTAGGAGTCAATTAGAATTGCTCAAATTCTGCTATGTTTTATTTGTCAGTATTGGAAGAAGTGGCCAATACACCCATCAAAGCCAAATACTTAAGTGAAAACAGGCAAGTAGCCAAAGTATTGTATGACAGCAATTTCTACATGAACCACGAATTGGACATATTTGGACACGCTCAAATATTTGAGAATTTGAATATAATCACCCATGAATCTGCCATTGAAGTCAAAGAATTAGCGTATAACTATTACTACGGATTGAATGGACTCAGACGCAATTTCGCAAAGGCATATCAATTATTTTACAAATTATATGAGTAATTAAATGAAAAGGAATCTGGCATCAGAGTGGCTCAGATGCATATTGAAAATTTGGGAGTAGAAGAGCCAAATTACTTATTGGCTTTTTAGATTTTGAGTAAAATTGAAACAAAAAACTAAGACTATTTGGGGAGAATCTAGAATGCATTAGGTTATATGTATTACAAGGGATTGGGAGTACAAAAAGACATAATAAAGGCTTAAGATTGTTTTCGAAGTATTATATTACAATTTACAACCCTTAGAAGCAGCAGACCTTCAAAACAATGATGGTTTATTTAATCTTGGATCCTTGTACATGTTGCCTTCTACAATATAAAGAGAGCGCAATCAATAAAAGGGAGTTTAATTGATTGAATAGGCAGCTGTAACTGGACATGCCATGGCTCAATATAGTCTGGCATTAATACTACTTGATGGAGTAGATCTATTTTACTCCTGTGATTTGGCTGCCACTCTATTGCATGCTTCTTCATCAAAAGGACCTTGGGCTGACACTCTAAAAACAGCTAACTATCTGTTCTAACAGGAATAATATGTTTAATCATTGTCTAAATATTTTGAAGCTGGATATAGTGGATTTAATGTGGCTATATGTAAATGCAAATTAATACTTTTTAGAGAATGCAGCTGTTGTGATGGAATAGAATGATGCCTTTTATTATGATACTCTACACTTTAGTGAAGTTCAAAGTAGACTCGATAAAGATCCTGTTTATTAAATTAGAGGTGTTGCTAACAAGGATGCATTTGAATATTTGTATTCGGATTATTTACAGTTTGTGAGTTACTCCACTCTTTATGATTTATTACAACTAGATAGTTTTTAATTAAATGGAGCATTATAATATAGGTTCCTTACACAATGCGCTAAAGAGAGGGAAGCAATTTGTCATATGAAGCTTGGTGATTATTATTACATTGGAAAATATGAGGATGTGGATTTCATAAAGTCATTTCGGCATTACAAAAAAGCATTGGATGGCTAATTGTTAGATGCAATGAAGGGTCATGTGTACTTTAATTTAGGATTGATGTACGCTTTGGGTTAGGGGGTTAATATGAATAGAACGAGGTCTAGAGAAATATTTGAGATGTCAATTAATACTTATTCGTTAATTCCGATAGTGCCTGCAATTGTTTAAGTTTAAATAATCGATTTTTGGGTTAACGTATATAGGCAGATAGATCAAAATGGAATTGAATAGTTTTTGGATGTGAATTATTGGGAATTTGCGAATAGCATGATATAAGGAATTGAAATGTGGGTTATGGAGAATTGTAAGGGGATTGCAAATGTAGCTGCGGGGTCATTAATAGTGATTCTTTTTGGATGGCGTTTGAAATTAATTAATTAATAAAACTGATATAAATGTGTATATTAAATTTAAACAATAATATTTCTTAAAATTAGATGTCAGAACATTTGGAAGTGGCATAGATAGCAATAGTTATTTTTTTCATCTTCGTCGCCTTAACAATAGGAGGATTGGTGAGTGAGATAACAAAGAAGATTATGATTCCATATCCTGCTGCAGTATTTGTGGTGGGTATATTGATTGGATCTCAATTTAATTCAATAGAGAATCATTTACTGCATAGGACTGTTCAAGCAGCCTTTGATATAGATGCTAATTCTAACATGGCATTGTTGCTGCCAGCCTTAGTGTTCAGCAGTGCCTTCAATGCAGATATTTATATCATGAAGCAATAGATTATGCAAATCTTGATGCTCTCAATTCCCACTCTCCTCATCTCAGCATCTCTAATTTGCTTGGGATTGAAATTGCTCCTGGATTATAGTGATGAATACTACAGTTGGGGATTTGCATTTGTATTTGGAGTGGTGGTAACATGCACTGACACACTTCAGGTAGTAAAACTATTAAGTAACGCTGAAGCTCCAAAAAGATTCATATCTTTGGTTCAGGGTGAGAGTCTAATCAACAATTGTGCCTCCATGGTATTGATGTTGATTGCAGTGAATTGTGCAAGTGGCGATTGTGATTTGCTTACAGTAGAATTGTCATATGGGTTATCTTTACTATTGGGGGGAGCATTTGTTGGTGTCATGTTTGGACTCTTTACTGTTTGGTGGATAAGAAGAGTGAACCACAATTCTATATTAACTATCAATCTCACAATAGTATCAGCCTATGTAACATACTTTGTGGCTGAATCTGTAGATTTGGGATTTAAAAAAAATGGATTGGTTGCAGTCATATCCTTAGGGTTGTTTATGTCTGCGTTTTCAAAAATCAGAATAAGAACAGAAGTAGAACATCCATTGCAAATCTTCTGGTAATACACTCAATTTGCAAATGAGACCATCATCTTTATCATTACAGGAGTAACTTGTGGATATAGGATATTCGATCAAAACAGTCCATATATAAGAAGACAAGATTACATTAATACTCTCCTGCTTTACTTATACATACTCTTATCCAAATTCATAAGTGTGTTGCTACTCTTACCTACTATCAATTTATATGGATAATAAGTCAAAATGAGTGAGGCTATTCTATTTTCATATAGTGGTACTAGAGGTGCTGTGCAATTGATGTTAGCGTTGCTCGTAGTCAAAGAACCGTCCTTCAGTGATTAATGGAGTGACATTTTTCTATTTCATACTACTTTTATTGTAATACTAACTATGTTGATCAATGGTTCAACCATACCGTTGTACATCAAGTTTACTGGGTTGTGCACTACTGCTTAGTATAGAGCCAAAGTGAGATTGAACTTTTTATAGGAGATGAAGGAGTAGATCGAATTCAAATTAACTCAGATGAAGGAGGATTATAAATATAAAAACATAGATTGGAATAAGGTGGAATACTTTTCAGGATTAGCAGAAACCGATGCTTAAATTCAATAAAAAGATGATAAACTCAGTAAGAAACAATTAGATGAAGAAAGTAAGCATAAAAAAGAGAAGGAATCCAGTATCATTGGACGCTTTTAAAAGTTACTCAAGAGCAAAGGGTTGCACGATAACCTCAATGACGATGATGTTGATGCTGATGATATTATTGAAACAAGGGATAGATTCTTGATGGCATTGAAACAGACCTATTGGGATCTGTATTCATAAAACTAATGTGGAGGTAAAGCTTACAATTTATTAATTGAATCTGTCCGATGGGATTTAGATACTGTTGAAGGTAGGATGTGTTCTTGGGATTTCATTTATAATGTCTTCTATTCACCCATCTACATGAGATTCTTGTATAATTTGAACAAGTTCCCAATTATTCGCAGCTTCTCTGGTGATCTATTATTTGATTGGGTTGCCATTGGATATGAGGTCATTTCGACATATGCTAGAGCACATGAAGGTAAATTTTAAACTATTAGAATAGAAATGGAAAATATGATAGAGGAATTTCCAATTAATGCCGTTTTGAAGTAGAAATTGTCCAAAGAATCCAAAGAAAATAGAGTAAATGCTGAAAATTTTATAGAAGGATATTTTTACGTTAGTTTTCCAGAAATCATCAAATTGATTCAAACCAAGAACTCAGCCCAAGGGTGTCTGGCAAGTTAAGGGAAGTATCTATTGAGAAAATATGAATTGGGAGAGTTAGATGTAATGAAATAAATACTTAATATTCTTAGTTCCAGTAATATTAGAAACTGAAGTTGCAATTAAATAATTTTGTGTGTAACGTTGAAGACGTAAGACCAATTTGGCCATAAATATCCATTCATAGTAAACTAAAAGTTCTCCCATTATTTAGTGAATTTAACGATGACTTGCTTAAATAATTAGCATTACAATCAAAAGAACTCCTGTTTGATAAAGATGAATGCATCTTTAGAGAAGGTGATTTGGCTAGATATTTCTATATCATAACAAGAGGTAGAGTAAACGAAACAAGTTCACAAAGCAATACCTATATAATTTCTAAAGATATCAGTTAATTACTATCATGCCATCACATAGTGTTAGAATCAACTTTGTATATCTCCTCAGTAGTTGCAGCATCTTTGGTTGAAGTTATTCAAATAGAAATTGAACTGATGGTATCTCTCTATAAACAGAGTCTGTACATGCAAGATTTTGTATGGAGGGATAGCATTTTCAGTTTAAGTAGGTTCTATCCAAAAGAGTTACAGATATTCTCACTTGTTGATAGGGAGATCATTGAAAATATCCTAACCTTTGTTGTATTCAAGAAGTATTAATCCTATACTAGTGTATCCTTTTAAGCAGGCATTCTTTTGTAAGGAAGACTGACAGATGTGAAATAGGAAAAGAAAATCAGAATGGATGAAGATTAATTTGATATTAATTGTAATGATGGTATATAGGGTCCTTTGCTATTTCCATTTATCAATTAGACATATACCTATTAAACAGAAAGTGTTTGTTCATTCTTTTTGTTTGATGAAACTAAGAAAGAGGAAATAATATAACTTATTTAGACTGAAAGAAGCTCAGAACGAAGAAGAACTCGTCTTTAGACTGATCTACGTTTTAGTGCTTCTGGAGTGAATAAGTAATGTGCTTTTTTTTATATATAGGTAATCGTTTGGATTTTCTTATCTTTTGAGGCCTTCTAAAGCAAATTAGGACATAAATGATTCTAAACATTGATAAATTATGTAATCATTAATTAATTCTTTTTCTAAGTACGACGTTGCAATTACTTTTCAATGATATTTAAGTAATCTCTTTTTTAACAAGCCTATTTTGTTTAATTTTATCATTTTCCACATTCAACAAATATATGGATTATTTAAGTTATTCGATCTATTTATCTTTTTTGTCTAATTCAAATTTGCTTAGCTTCTTTAGATCATTAGATTGTTCCTATATGAAATGAAATTATTATTTTAATTACAATTGCTACTCATTTTATTTAGGCAATTCCAATATCGTTCTGTGTTCTCCTTGATTGGCTTCTTGCAACTGTTATCTCAAACTGTGAATTACAGCTTTTAATTTAATCAACTCATACAATCTCTAGAAATTCTCAATTCTCTTTACTGATTCATTAAATCCATTTCCTCCTATACTTTTTGCATTTCCCCATTCAAATTGCTTATCTACTCATTGTAATGCTCTTTCATATCCACTTTCCTTTCTAATTGCTTTTGTAACATTTAGTATTCTTATTAAGAGACTAAAAATGTAATGAAAAACAGCAACTTACTCAGAACTACACTCTCAGATTCGGTCTCTTCATTTTCTTCTGTGTATTTCAGTGTTCCAGACCCAAAAAAAAAGTTAAATGATTTGATCAGATGAGAGATACACTTATTTCATAATAATATCAATATAAAGTATTCATATTAATTCTTTGTTCGAATTTCAGTTTCTGTGCATCATCCTTCTACTCCTAAGGAATTGAAAACACATATTGCTAATTGATTTTGTTCTTCTGATTTCCCACCTTCTGAATCCAAATTAAATTCTTGATTTCTTGGTTCTTGATGTCTCCAAACAATTTCAACACAGTAATCAAGGAAAAGAACTACAAAGTTGATGATGCATACAAGTAACCCAACACTCCAATGGGATCTCGAATTAAGTCTGTGATCAACACAGCTATACTCAACCCCCCAAATAGAATTTCCAACAATATGCCAAAGTAAACCAGCAACTAAATCTTATACAATATTTTTCTATCAATGGCTAAATTAGTTGATTTCAAATTAAACTTCTCCTAATCCTCATCAGATTACTAATAAATTGATGTTCTGTAATCCAATTGACTACCACTACCTAAGTAACTCAACTTTTTTTGATCATGTCGTTCTTTTTATCTTTAAAAATGATATTATTATTGTAAAGCTTCCCTTCTTTTATCAGCTGAATCCTTGGTCTCCTTAACTGCCTTGATTTACATTTTCACTGTCTCCTGATACGCTTGTCTATCCTCCTTATTCTCCCAAATTATAGAATTGGTCTAATTCTCATTCAAACAACAACTATTAATTTCGGCATCAGCAGGCTCCTCATTAAACTAATTATCCAAATCCTTTGCAGATTAATCACTATTTGAATCCTGATTCTATTGATTGGGCTTATTGGATTTGTTGGATTTCAATTATTTCTAACTCTCCTATCTGAAAAACGAAGATCCCCTGATTCCTTTGACAAATGTACGTGCAAACGACACTGACTTTATTTTTGTTTGCCCTATCTTTAATTTAGGTTCCTCCAACTATTTCACTTCATCCTATATTTCATTCTTTTGTTCTTCAATACTCACCTACTTAGACATTCTCACAATTCTTTGAACCGACTCGGGAGACTTACTTAAGCTCTCATCCTTTTACACATGTTATGGCATAGCTTGATCCAATCCTTGCAATTGCATTCGAAACTACTATCGACATATAAGGATCTAGTCCTTTATGCAAGTCTGCAATGAAGATCCGTAGATTATGAATTCGATTATGAACAAAAAGAAGTTGGCCATCAAAAATATGTAACATATCATTAAGAAGATTGGATACTACACTCCTTTCCTCAAACCTTTCATTATTATCTAATTTACCATTTAACGTGCTTACGGTTATCTACACCAAAAGCACTATAAACAATCGCATCTTCAGCGCCTCCTTGTAGTATGTAAAAATCCATTTCCTCTCCTTCTTTAATTCTCCTTGATAGATGTTAAAGGAAATCTCATCATACATCGTATACCACACAATCAATAGGCAACCGTAGATATAGAACAGTATCGTGTAGACGATTTCAGCTAATAGTCTTTCAATGACTGTTGTATTCCCTTTCTATTTGTCTTATGACTAAATTTAGTTACATAGACTTCGAAAGGATCCAGAATCAACCAGATCAGTTTGCATGTTGATAGCACCATCGTCAACACAAGGATGTAATTCTGAGGGGACCCAATCAACGCAGATGCATATTAATAGCAACTAAAATATCATACATCAGATTACGTATAATAAGATGGAATTCTTTGAGTCTTTAAAGAAGTTTAAAATTGTCTTATAGTTATGAAGAATATCAAAAAGAATGCGACGCAATAGATCCCAACAAAAGTATAATAAGGGGCAATATAAATGTCCTACAAATTTAGAAAACAATCATCTCCAAACGATCCTATGTCGCACTTACACTTGTCATCAATCATTATACCTTTGTCGCAACACTCCTCCACACAATGCTTCTATTTCATGTAATTGTATTAATTTGAATGAAAAATATAAATTTTGTTAGTAAATTTATTTTCAAATTTTTCACAACTTACATTTCCTATTAAATTCCTTTTCTACCAATGCATTATTGTTGTTCTCCACTTCAAATCCTACCAGAACTTTCTCGTCAATTCTCATCCTCTTTAATTTAGCATCTCAATCCTATTCCAATTAACATTTGATCTCAATCGTATTAATTTATTCCTTGAATCCCCTTTATTCATAAATTCATTAATATTTTGTTCAATCAATCTCGAAATTTTGAGAATGTTTGCTTGCTTAAATTATATAACAGGCATAAAATTTTTAAATTATCAAATTATTACTATTTTTTGAGATAAGAAATATCTGTATTATATCTCAATTAATATCTCAAGATATCATTTAATAATTATTTATCTATATAAGCTCATTGCAATTATTTGAACGATAATATTAAATGAATCATAAAAGGGATAGATGAATTTGATTGTAAAAAAATTTCGAACAAGATTGATTGGTTATTGTAGACTAATATCTAAAAGTATCCTTACACTGAAATTTAAATAATTAATATAAAATTATAAAAAGAAACGATTAATGAATTGGGATGAAATAAGATAACATTGGAGATATTTTAAAGACCATAAATTAAACAACAGATATCGAATTAGTGAATTGAGATTGTTATAAACAATTTATTAGAATAATAATAGTAATTATTGCAAGGTTAAAAATATACTCAATTTTTTGTTAATATATTTTAATAATATTAATCGCTTTCATATATTAAACAAAAAGAATTGATAAATAATATAAAAGTTTGGTAATAATATAATGGTAAATTGATGGCAAGCTGATTATTAAGAGAGCAGGCGTATGATAGGATAAAGGAATATATTTATTAAGATTCTTTAGGTCTATCCAATTACGATTATGATAGAATAATATGAGCTTGTGTATTCAAAAATACAGTAATAATGCTCTAGACTATGAATTCATAAATAATTTCATAATAAACTAATCTATTGATTTTACCTAATTCTTATGACCACCACCACAGATTTAAATTATTTGAATTTGGGTAAATAAATCAGCTATAAATATGTCCTTGATTTTAGATTGTAATAAATAATAAAAGTAGTAATTAAAAATATTTAAGAACTTTTTTTAATTGTTTGTAAAATATTTTTAACCTATTGAAGTGATTCATTCTATTTTCTAATGAATATGGGATTTTGATATCTCCTCTCATTGAATGGCATTTGAGTGCAGAATAAAGAGAAAATAATGTTTCAAATCAATATTCCTGTTGATACTCATAAATTACATATTATCTTTAATATTCTGAACTCTTTAAAAGATAAAATAATAAGTTAGCTGTTTGAATACCATTATCTATAGATTAATTTGAAAAGAAAGTCTTAATTTAATTGATGTTATTTAAGCATAAATATAGTAATTTTCAATTTTACAGCTTTAAATTCAAATTACAATTGACATTCTATAAAGACTAATTAATTATCTAATTTGTTGAGTTTAATCAAAATTTGATATATGTAAAAGGGCATAGCGCAATATTAAATTGAGAAGTTGGAGTTTATCTATTTTCTGAAATAACAAATTTAGTTAAAATATTTAATATTATAAATAAAATTATTCGTTAATGTCCCTTTTGTATGCAAACGAGCAATAATCATTAAGAGAACAGATTTTTAAAATTAAAGATAAATTGTTATCCTTATCTTAAGACTTAAGCAACTATCATGCAGATATCTAGGAATCAAATAGTACTGCGCATTTTAGGACTTAGGAAGATGAGCAATCTCCTTAAAAAGTATCTCATGAAAATGAAGAAAAGTGTATCATAACATGATAATTAGCATTTTCATAATTGAATTTTGTTGATAAAAATAAATAAGTATCAAACTAATGTCATCAATTCAAAAAACTAAAGCCCCTTTTTAAGGTTCCAGATAGGTCCATTAAAATTTGATCCACTAATCAGGAGTTCAATTAAGAAGCAACCTCGCCTAGAATAAATGAGAGTTTATTCCTCTGGAAGACCGCCATAGATTTTAAGATACAGTTTACAAAGAGAAGCAAGAATATACTTGATGTCACCTTAGAGAATGAACTTTTCTTAAAGAATTTCTTTTTCCCCTGCAAGAAGATATTGATATATTATTACTTTATATACATATATTTATTCTATCTAACTTACTTTTGTTCTCATCTTTATAACATTGAGATATGAAAGTTTGAAAGAATAATAATTCATGAATATGCTTAAATATATTTAAATTTGAAATAGTGTTAATATAAGGGTGATTGAATATTTTTAAATCGATAATTGATTTGATATTAGTAACATTAATATTTTAAAAATTATGCAACTTAAGTATTCCTCTAATATTATGCCAGCATTGGATGGCATGCAAAAAGTGAGTGGGCTAGCATGGTCATACAACGGTCTAAAAGACTTCGGGGTTTGTACGGCTGATAGGGTAAGAGATGTTGATGTATAATTAGAAAATATTATTATTTAATGATCAATTGGGTAAGGAGGACAATTTCCCAACCAAGCCTTCAGACAAGACATAATAGAAATCATATGTAGTGAGGGCAGTTGAATTTTCTCCAGATTCAACCAAGATAGCTGTTGCTCAATCTGATAATATAGTGTATGTATATAAGATTGGAGCAAAATTTAAAGAGAAAAAGACAATCTGTAATAAATTCCCAGCCTCTTCCTCAATTACAACATTGATATGGCCAGCATAACGAGAGAATGATATCATATTCGGATTGGCAGAAGGAAAGGTAAAGATTGGATTTTTGAAAAATAATAAAGTAATCAAGTTTACCAATGTTATTAGTCTCAAATAGCATTCACAACAGAATCCTACGTAGTAAGTATGGCAACCAATAGGGATGGAGATGTGGTTGTATCCGGCCATCTTGATGGATCAGTGTACAGTTACAACTTAGACACCCAATAATCATAGAAGTTAGTAGTTCATCATTCAATACCTTATGCTTTGGCTTATGGATAACATGTGGCAGCAGCTGGTAATGATCAAAAGGTCTCATTCTATGATAATTATGGTAATCTGGTTCAAAGATTTGATTACACTTAAGATGAAAGATGCAAGGATTTCTCAGTTGGAGCTTGTAGTCCTAATGGAGATATCATAGTATTGGGTAATTTTAATAGATTTTATCTTTACACATACAATCAAAAGAGATCTCAATGGGAAGAAATAGGAGTAAAACATATTGAGAATTATTACACAATTACAGCATTGGTGTTGGAAGAATGACTCATCAAAATTGATTACTGGATCTCTATGTGGATCAGTAGATGCATGGGATATTTCTATGAAAAAGATTAGATTTAAGGGGAAATATGATTTGAATTATATTGGTCCATCATAAATTGTCATTTAAGTGTTATCGACTAATTAATAAGCAGTCATTAGATCATCATAGGCTGAAATATCAAAGATTGATATAAAGAAAGAGAGATTTGTAGTTGCTAAAACACATGAGACTTTGATTGTGGGAGATTTGGCTACAGGGAAGACATCAGAAGTCAGTTGGAGAGGAAGTGGAAACGAAAAGTTTGATTTTACAAATGAAAATATTTGTATGGTATTCAATGCAGGAGAATTGACTTTGATTGAATATGGAAGTGATCGTATTTTGGGTACTTGCAGAACTGAACATATGAAGAATTCACTTATCAGTGCTAAGGTTAGTTATACTGGGTAGAACAAGACTAAAGTGATTGCCTTTTTATTGGATCTACAAACCTTATAGATATAAGATTTAACCACTAAGAGTATTATTGCTACAATTGCACATGATACTAAGATTGATTTCTTAGAATTGAATTCTCATGCCAACAGATTAATATTTAGAGATAAGAGAAGATAATTGTATTTATATTCAATTAAAAATGCCTTCAAACACACTCTTCTATCATTTTGTAATTATGCATAATGGGTTCCTGAAAGTGAAGTTATTGTTGCTTAAAACAGAAACAATTTGTGTGTTTGGTATTCAATTGAAAACCCTGACAAAGTTACACTTTATACAATTAAAGGCGATGTTGAAGAAATCGAAAGAATTTCTAGTACACCTACTTAAGCTGGTTCTACCTCTGTCATTGTGAGTGAAGGTTAAAATAAAGTTGCTTATAAATTGGATTAAGCCTTAATTGAATTTGGATTTGCAATTGAAGGAAGAGACCTTGAAAAGGCAGCTTCAATCTTAGATAAATTAGAATTGACATCTGATACTGAAGCCAATTGGAAAGTGTTAGCATAGTTATCTTTGGAAGAGTAAAATTTATCAGTATCTGAACACTGTTATGCTGCTTTGGGAGATGTTGCTAGAGCATCTTATTTGAGAGGTATTAATAGACTCATTTCTAAATATTATGAAGAGACTGGTAAGAAGGATGGAATATCATATTACAAAGTCTAGTCTAAATTGGCTATCTTAGATAAATAGTTTACTAAGGCTGAAGAATTGTTGCTTAATCATAATGAAGTGAATGAGGCTATGGGAATGTATTAAGACTTACATAAATGGGATGAAGCTATTAAAATTGCTGAAAAGAGAGGTCATGAATAAGTTAAAGTGCTCAAAGATAATTACTATTAATGGTTAATTGAAACTGGATAAGAATCCAAGGCTGCTGAATTAAAGGAAAATGAAGGCGATTTTATTAATGCTATTAATCTTTATTTGTAAGGTGGATTACCAGCCAAAGCTGCCAATATTGTATTTAATTGCAATATGTCTTTCCCATAAGACTTATTAGAAAAGATTGCCTCATCTTTAGCCTAAAGTGGTATGTATGAGAAAGGTGGAGAATTCTATGAATAGATGGAAGACGATCAACAAGCCTTGAATTGTTACATTAAAGGTAATGTATTCAAAAAGGCAGTCGAATTGGCTAAAAGAAAAGATCCTAAATTGGTCAAGCAATTGGAGGAAAGTTGGGCTAATTATTTAGTTGAAAACAAAGAAACAGAAAGTGCCATTAACCATTATGTCGAGGCAGGCAAGTTTTAGAAGGCTATTGAAGCAGCAGTCTACAGTAGATCTTGGACTAAGGCCATTTAATTATTATAAAATTAATCAGCTGAGGTTTCAAGACCCTATTACAGACAAGTGGCTAAACATTACGAGGATGTTAGATAATATGATTTTGCTGAAAAATACTATATTAAGGCTAATTCTCCTATTGAGGCCTTCGAGATGTATGTAAAGGCTAGCAAATGGGATAAAGCTCTCTCAATAGCTAGAGAATATTTACCTGAAGAAATCGTTTAATTATATTTAAATTAGGGTAAGAAATTTGAATAAGCTGGTAAATACAAAGAGGCTGAAAAGTTATATTTAACAGTCTAAGAATATGACACTGCTATTTTGATGTACCAAAACCTATCATAATATGAGAGTGTTATAAGAATTGCTAGCAAATTCACTCCTTAAAAATTAAAAGACATTCATTTGGGAATTGCAAAGAAATTAGAAAGAGAAAATGTCCTCAAGAGAGCTGAACAACACTATATTGAAGCTGGTTCATGGCATTTAGCTATGTAGATGTACAAGACTCATAATCAATGGGAAGAAGCAATAAGATGTTGTAAAATGTATGGATCTGAGAAAGAGACATGTTAATAGGCTAAATTATGGGCAGAATCTCTAGGTCCAGATGCTGGATTGAAGATGCTTCAAAGATTAAATCTGGTTGATGCTTTGATTGAATATCAATCAGACAGACATGAATTTGAAGAAGCATTCAAATTGGCTAATTTGCATGCTAAACATAAATTATAAGATGTTCATTTCAAATATGCTTGTCATTTGGAAGATGAAAGAAGATACAAAGAAGCTGAAGAGAACTTCATTAAAGCAGGTAAAGCATCTGAAGCAATAAACATGTACGAGCATCTTGGAGATTATACCAGTGCATGCTATAAGAATTGCTCGTCAATATGAACCATAATCTGTCACTTAAATCTTAATTAGCTAAGCCAAGTTCTACATTGAGAAGAAAGATCTTCAAAAAGCAGAACAAGCTTATATTCAAGGTAAGAGGCCAGAATTGGCAATTAAAATGTATGTTGATTAAGGCAATTACCCCTTGGCTTTGAAAATTGCTAAGAGTCATGCTCCTCATATGGTTGCAGAATTAAATAACAAATATGGCAATGTAGCCAATACTTATAACATGACAGGAGAGGACTTATATTAAAGTGCTTAGACTTGGGAAGAACAAAGAGATTACTTAAAGGCTATTGAGATCTACTTGGAAGTCACCCCTTAAAATACTTAAAGTGAAGATGTGATGACAAGAGCATGGGAGAGAGCTATTCAAATAGCTGCCAATTATGATAAAGATAAGTATCCAAGAATTGTATAGATAGTTTGCAAGAGATTAATCGAAATCAAGAAATTAGAGACAGCAGCATTTCTTTATGAATAAGTTGGATAATATTAAGAAGCAGTTACTACGTATGTTTAAGGTAGAGAATTTGAAAAAGCAAAGTAAGTTGCACAAATGATTAATAATAAAGAATTGAATACTAAATTGATGGATTACATCACCAAAGAGTAACGTAAATACGGAGCATCAACAGGATAAGCCAATGTAATGATTGAAACTGGAGATGTTGCAGCTGCCATGGAAATGCTAGCTTAAAAAAATGATTGGGGACAATGCTTACAATTAGCAGATAAACATGGAGTTGAATACTTAAACAAATATCTGATGAGATATGTTAAAATCACTATGTAATAAGGAAGATTCAGTGAAACTATTCAATCATTGGCGACTTATGGAATGCCAATTATTTAATAAAATTATCCAATCTATGAGAATCTCGCAATAGAAATCTTTGTTGAATGTGATCCTAAAGAGTTGAAATTACTTAGATAAGCTTTGTTTGGATTTATCTAAGGATTGGAAGCTGCTCATGAAATTAAAAGTGAAACTGGTAAGAAATTTTTAAAATTTGGCATTGTTGCTCATTTACTCAATCTAAGAAATTAATATGCTTAGGATGGTATTGTCAAATTGCATGCTCAAACTTGCATTTCATTGTTGAGATACTGTGATTTAGTTAGAATTGATTAATTGTATTTGGATGCTGGAAGAGTTGCTAAGAAGATCAATTAGTTAGGATTAGCATTTGTTCTATTGAATAGATATTTGGATATATACGAAGTTATTGAAGATCCTGATAACAATAATGGATTAGGAGATGGAGCTGAATTCTAAAATAGTGATTTACCCTCACCTTATGATGTACCAATGCCAGAAAAGAATTTGATAAATGACAAAGAGAAAGAAGAAATAAGGGACTGGTTACTCTAATTAAGTGTAAATCAAAATTAAGATCCAGTACTTCCAACTAGACAATGTGATTGTGGATATTAAATCTATGATGCTTCATTGAGGTAAGGATATATAGTTATAATATTTTAGATGTTTCAAATGTAAGTAAACATGGGAACCTTGCATTATAACTGGTATGCCACTTCTTAAGAATTAAACAATTAATTGTTAATCCTGTGGAAAAGGAGCACTCAAAGATGCATGGAATACATATTTACAAGCATATCCTACATGTCCTTGGTGTAATAAACACGCAAAATGAAATTATATATTAAAGAAAAACCAAATAAATTAGTATTTATGATTTTATAAATTAAATTTTAATATTTTCTAAACATATTTTATCATTCCTCATTCTTGTTGTTAGTGTTGTAGTTATTGTTCAGTGATGTTCACTTTGAAGAATTCATTATCTACCTTTTGGGCTCTAGCAGCCATCAATTTGGCTAATTTAACCTTCTTGTAATATAACAATCCTGAGATAAGGAGTGAAACGCCAATTACTGAACAGATTACTGAAACAACAATGATCACTGTGGAAGATGATGATTCAGTCTTTTTGATAGCTTTTTGAATTGTTCCTGATGTATTGCTATCGATATTATCGCTAAGATCCTATTGATTAACACCTTCATCAGTAGTCAATACAATTTCTGTATTATCAGATTAAGTGGAGTTATTGTTAGTATTTCCACCTGTTGATCCAGTGTTACCATTGTTGTTGCTATTGTCACTATTTCCATTATTATTATTGCTTCCATTGTTTGTATTGGTACCATCACTAGGAGAGGTTGGAGTCACTAATAAAATTATGATTAATAAAAATACATGATGTAACTTCAGTGCTTGCGAAGTTTAATTTGTTAATAGCAGTGATTGTGGTTGATTGTTCTAACACTGTACCAATTTCAGGGGGAGGATTGAAGGATTCTAATTTGCTGGCTAATTCTGAAAGAACCTACTAAGAATTAGAGGATGCTTCTGTTCCAATTTCAGCACTATCAACTATTCCCCAATCAACGGTAACTTATTAGCTGACGCTTTCATCCAAAAATCTTCTAGTTGATTTCTTGGTTCCAATAATAAAGTAATTATAAGGATCTCCGCCTAATTGAGCTTTTGCGTATTGCAAGAATTTATCACCAAAGAATTCATCTGTTGTTATTTCTAGTCTTGTTGAAACTTGGAGTGTATTCTTAAGTGAAATCTTAACTTTGCATCCAAGTTTTGCATTGACTACAAAATGAATAGTTCTATTTTCAAAGAAGTAGTTATTGGCTCCACATTAGTCAGTCATAGTCAATAAATCATGATGTTTAGAATTTGTGGTCAATCCAGGCAATATGACTTTATTGCCAACCTATACCTGAACAATTTAAGGCACTGAAAACTGCCATTTCAAAATTACGTAATCTTCAGGACTTCCAGCCTCACTTCTTTTTGATAGCCAATATTCAGATGCAGTTGGGTTCATACCTGCATTGCTCATATTAATAACTGTATTGGCTGACACCAAGGCTACGAATTTAGATTCTCTCAAATTCAAAGGTTCCGGTCCATCCCAATTCCATTCAAAGAAACTATTAATCTCATTGAAGAATAATCCATCAGTCAACTTGATTGGAGAATACAGTCTCTTGTTGTAATCAGCTGCGACACTCATAAAACTCAAAACTGTAATCTTTCTATCAGGGCACCAATATCCATTCCAAGTGTTCTTTCTAATACAATGAGTTACGTTTGGTCCAAAGTATGTATTATTGGTTATGGCCTACCCAATTTGTCCAAAGAAGTGACCTGTTTGATCTTCAACCAAGACATTTTTCTGACCTGTGCATTCAAATGAACCACATCCTCCGAACCATCCTAATTTAGACCAATCAGAATCTCTCATCTAATAAAGAATGGAATCAAATTCACAGTTGGTACAAGGTGAATTAACCAAATAGTGCTATCCTGTAGAATCATGTGCCTTGTGATTTGTCTTGAATACTGCATTTTTACCACATCTAGGAGCAGAGTCATGAGATAATCTGAAATTATTGAATTCTACATTATTGACATAAACTCTTAGATCAACTCTTTGAATGGTGCAAAGAGAATCAAAATTGTCTGAAGGTTTAGTCGAAATAGGAGGGAAAGCAGTTGAAGATAATGTACCCATCTTAACTCCATAGACATTACTGCAATAAGGATTCAAAGTTGCAGAATAACACTTAGGACATTCTGGTCTCACAAATGCACTCACAAAACTATTTGAAAACTTCATCTAATTGTCTTAAATGCTTTAAGGAGCACCTCTTAAGACAATACCTACGTCGTTTTCAGCAGCCAATGCTTTCTCCAAACGTAATTCCTCTGCAAAAACTGCGTACATTATACCTACTCCACTATGATATGCAGATAATCCTTATATGTATGTGCACTTTCCTTCTGGGTCTTATCTGACTCCAAAACAAGCCAACACAGATCCTGAACAATGATTATTATAGAATGATGATTAATATGCATCTGAACATCTACTTGCCATCACGAAGAAACCTGTATCTTATGATCCTTATCCGACATTTCCAGATACATCAACAACATCTCTTGTCATTTAAGTTGGTACTAATTCATCCATGTAAACAAAGTTACCAAATACTGCCCAATTTGCAATACCTCCTTCGTTTAATATTCTCTTTTTGACATAAATCAAAGCATTATTTTAGAATTTCACATATTAACTGTTATTGATCTAAACCAAAGCCTTGATACCAGTAAAGAATATGTTATTCTTGATTGTAATGTATTAAGAATTTTAGATTGTCATCAACATACCTGTAGTATCATGGAATGAGCAACCAATAACTTCACTTGGAGTCTTAATGATCTCACTATTAAGATTTCTAAAATCTAACCCACTTCTTTAAGTATCATATTGACCACAATTGTTAAATTCTACACCATGTAAAACAGTGTATCCTCTTCTTGGGAATCCTAAATTAGCTTCTGGTTCTTCGAATTGATAAATCAAGACTCTACATCCTAAACCATGAACACTAGGTCCTCCTTCAATCTTAATCTTTCTAGTTAAATGTCCAACAACTGCTCTCATATCTAATTGTCCAATTCCAGGTTTATCAATAGTTACTGATGGAGCTCCATAGTGATCAAATTCAAGGGCTTGATTTAATGTTATAACACATCCAGAAATGGCTGCTATTGATCTCTTCTCTCTTTATTCAGGGTCACTACCTGATGGACCAAATACTATTTCATCACCAACGGCCCAATCAGCACATTCAGCTACAGTAATAGTGGTTGCACCAGCATCAGCATATGCAGCTAATCTAGTCCATACTGTTCCAGGTGGCTTTGAGTATAATTCCATAGCTCTTGTTACAGCAAGTACTTTATTACCAACATCAAGATTAGCATCAATTACTAATGGATTATCTCCAAATTCTCCATTCAATACAATGTTAATCTTTCCAGGGAATGGATTAGTTGAATTACCAGCCAATAATTTTCCTGATCTAACCCAGATTCTCTCTGCTTCTAACTTAGTTGATGCTCTTTTCTCATCAAAAATTAAAGATCCCAAAATAGTTAAATTAACAAGTTTAGGAGGATCAACATCTAAGATAACTTAATATGCTGCTTATACAATTGGACTATCTCCTTCAACTGGTACTTTGTTATCTATCCAAGTAGCAGGATCACTCCAATATCTATATCCATCTTCTTATGGTACATCTCCTAAACTATCGCATTCTTCTCTGCAAATAACTCCTCTGACTTCAACATATTCATATTACTTCTTATTCTTACCAGACAAGCAAAGGAAGAATAGTTTGTTTGTTCTATCATTAAACCAATCACCTTAATTACAAGTCTTAGTATTTGGAATCTATTCCAATTTTGTGTAATTTACTGGGAATTTTCCTCCAATGTTTCTCATGATATCAAATGTTTCCCTATTGGCAGAGTAATTAAATCTAAGAATAACAGCATCATCATTTTAGTTGAAGTATGGAGACGCAAAGATACCCATGCTTAATGGATCACTTGCTCCAAATTTGAAATGGACATTATAAGTGAAACCAGTTGCAAATATACTTGCAAATGATTATTTAACATCATGACTTTTCTTTATAATTTTCATTGTTTCTCCTTCTATGAATTTGCTCTCGTCAATATTAGCATCCATTTTGAGTGCAATATTAGTACTGTCCAATCTATATAATTTCATATCAACTCCTGTGAAATCTTGTTCTGGAGTAGGATTATTAACCAAAACATCTCTTATTGTGACTTAATTCATAGCACAAATGATAGAATTATCCCAAAAATCTTCTGGATGATTAACACATCCTGGAATTCCATCAATATGCTTCTTATATGGGATAATATAGGCACCTCCTGACACTCCTGAAATTGAACCATCTTAATCCCAGAAGATTTCTCTTCTATGTTTCTACCAAAAGATACGATTAGCTGTATCAGAATGATATGCTTTGACATTAAAGAATTATGTATTTTTGCCTCCTTATACCCATAATTTAACATTCCAACATACAGAGCATGATTCAATTAAAGCAGTATTACTTCCATAATTATAAATTCTGATATTTTTAGCTAAAAATCCATTTGTTCTTGGAACTACCATTGCTCTTGATCCATCATAGTAAGTATCATCTGGATTTGCATTATGATTTGATTTACCAATGATTACTGCATTATCCAAGACTGCTCCTTCAGTTGAGAAGTTACCTTTATGAGCTTAGAAACCGGCAAATTTGGAATCAGCAATCATAATGTCCTTGAAGTAGATGTTACCCAATTCTTCCCCTAAAATACCACATTCATTATTTTTCCATGTATAGAATTTTTCAAAAACGGCTTAAAGACTTGGATTATCAATGTATGGTTAATCATTGACCCAATTAGCAGGATCGTTACAAGGGAACTTTCTTGGTGCCATTTAGAAGATACGAAGACCAAATCTACCATTTGAATGTGACCAATTATCCTTAAACTCAAGGATGTTTAATCCTGGAGGACAAATATCTGAAGTAGCTGATGGACCATCTGGATTGGTTTTAATTTCATACCAAAATCCATACCATTCTGAACCTCCAGATCTATTTCTTCTTAAAATATTTTATGGATTTGTAACCCAATAAGTAGCCACAGTAATATCTGTTTGTAACATGATCCAACTTTATTTGGTACTTGCAACAAGATTATCTTCAACAACATTATTTGTTTCAATACCATCTTCAAAGAAATATGGCATGTCCAAAAGTATTATAGCATACATTCTTCTAAACCTTCAAATAATGAACACCATGAATAGTCAAACAACGAGCATAACAATCATGAATAGCATTACCAACAACATATGATTCATCTACTTCTCCATTCAAGTGGAAATGGACAGGATATCTACCAATAATTCTTGGTTAACCACCATATCTGAATTCTGCATATGATATTTTACCAACTGATCCTTTCTCAGCTCTTCCATGAATCATCAAATGATAACCATATTTCAATTCTGATTATTCACCTTGAATAACAATATTTCTAGTCAATAAACCAACTTCAACCTTCATAGGGAATGAATCTGTTTCAAATGTTTCAACATCTGAATAATGTTTATAAGTAAGTGGTTAATCAAGAGTTAAAGTCTTTTTATCAGCACTAACTGCTGTAATGTATCTTTTTTCACTTTGCATGTGTTCAACTTCACTGGAAGTAATAACAATTTATTCTCCAACTTACCAGTCTACTGCATCATCTACTGTAATTTGAGTTGCTCCAACTGATGCTGTACTTGATAATAATGTCCAAGTTGGAGTTCTTTCTTTACCATGAATAGTTAATTAACATTGATGGCATCCCAAAACTTTGTTACCCATAGCAGGCATTTAAGTATCTTCTTCAACTCCATATAGGGTAATCTATACATTGTGTTAATGAGCCACTAATTCTGTTCCTATATTGAATTTTCCTTCTCTAATAACAATAAAATGAGCATCCAAAGATGTATCTACTTCATCAGAGAATGTAAGTGTTCCTTCAACTAAGACTTGCATCATCTTAGGAGTTTTAACATCAACAATCAAAGTTTATCCAGCATTAACAATAACTGAATCTCCATCACCTGGATATTCATACCCACCCCAAGTATTGATATCTGACCATTTGGTTGCATAAATGAATTATTTGTTATTAACTGCTAAATTTCCATTAACTCTAACTTAAAATACTCCATTTAATTGAGTTTATTCTAGATCTTTGACTCCAGTTTTACAGACAATTTAGGTTGTTGAAACACTCTAAATTGCACATGTGACTCCATCTATGGTTACTGTTAGTTTATCCATTTACAAATCCAGTACCAGTAATTGTAATAACTGCTTCTTCTGTAAATCTACCTGTAGCTGGACTGACAGCATTAACAATAGGAACACTAGATGAGGAGTAACTAACAGCATTTGATACTGTACCAAGAGATTAACCATTTACTGAGATTTCTGCATTACATGAAGTTGGAACTGAGTATGCATTATTACTATTTGACAATATCCAACCTTTCAATTCAATTTCAGCTAATTAGCATGATGATCCAGTTGATCCTCTTGAATCAAACAATCTAACTGCTTTGATTCCTGAGATATCAGTTTAAGGAACGTAAATGTTCCAACCTGTATGCACTGTTTAATCAACAGTTAACAAAGTCTACCAATTAGTGCCATCAGTTGTATATTAGAACACTGCATCTTTCAATAAAATTGCTTATTTGTCTATTCTTGGCATGTATCTTAATTAATGTAATTTCAAAATTCTACTTGATCCAAAGTCAACTTAGACATAACAATTTGAAGCAGCACTAGAAGTATAATAAGTTGATTAGAGTAAATCAAAGAATTTAGAAACTGAGGTTGTTGAATCAGCTAATAATGTGACTTCTGATGGTTTAATATATCTTGCAGGTTCTGATAAAGCAGTATATTAACTTAAAACTGATGATGTCAATAATTTTGGAGTTTCGCATGAAAGTGTTGTGTATGTTGCACTTGTAATTGGGCAATCAAATCCGCACAGTTTGACTGAATTTTATTCATTTACTGTATCGAAACCGGTTCCTGTAAATGTAACAGTTGCACCACCAGCATAGGATACTTATGGATTAGTAGAAGTTGGTGCAGCAGCACTAACAATTAATTTTTATTTAGTAACATCACTGATGTATGCATATTTATTATCAACTAATAAATTAATTGAATAAACTCCTGCAGCTAAATTTGAAAAGGTAGCTGTTACTGAGGTATCAGATAAAGCTGAAGAAGTTCCAGCTATCTTATGACCCATATGTTCTAATGTGACTACAAGTGTAGTGCCGGTAAGTCTACTACCAGCGAATACAAGAACAACATTTCCTGCTGTAGCTAAGTAAGCCTTTTGGGTAGAGTCATAGGAGGCACCGGTAATTGCTGTGAATAATGGAGAGCTAGTAGATGGGCTTATAGTCAAAGTAAATGTTGCTGTAATAGGAACTGCTGAATTATTTTCAGAAGGTAATTGTGAGAGTGTTACTGCTGCAGATGTGGCTGATTGTCTAGCCAGTCTACATTTAATTTAAACAGTTGAGACTACTTATAGTTCAGTACAGTCTGTTGTTCCTACTTTTACACTTGCAGATTAATCCGCATTAAATCCAACTCCGTTAATTGTCAATATTTATCCACCAATAACAGCAGTATCAATGGATGTTATGCTTAATCCAATTACAGTAACCCAAATCTTATCTGCATAACCATTCTTAGTTAAAACATAAGTTTTATATTAGCCCTAAGGTAAATTTGGAATTGTGTAAGTGAATGATGATCCAGAAATTGTTGCAGTTACTTTTTAGGTAACTGGACCTTTGAAAACAATAAAAACTGTATCTGTTAATCCTGTTCCAGTTAAGGTTTCTGTATCTCCTGGGGCATAAGTCTTTTATTAACTTAAAACTAAATCAGCAGATGACAACATATCTCTTCTTGGTGATTTACCAAGGTTTAAAATGTGATTGATGCCTTATTTCTTTGATTCATCTGTCCATAAAAATCTCTTTCTTTAGACTAATTTTTAATAATCTGGTTTTTAATGATCAGACTCTGTCAAAATTCTTGATCCTGTATATTAAGTGCTGGATTCTGGATAGTTTTCAATTGTTGGATTTAATGTATTATCATAAGTAAATAAGCAATTATTTGTGGTATCAAGACATGTTGATTCAAGAGTTACTTGTACTGTTACAACAACTAACTAAGCTTATTAGTTATAGTATTCACATTTTGGTGGAACAGAGCAATAAATGACTTCACTTGTGAATCTAGTTTCATCAATTTCACAGATCCAATTAACAGCTTAACCAACAAATACAATAGTTTCTCCCAAAACAAAGTTAGATCCTGTTATTTTAATAACTGTTCCTCCTGCCTCTGATCCTTTTGCTTAGCTAGTGCCATCTTCCAAGGTAACACTAGTGACTGGAATGATATATTTAAATAAGTTATCATTCGAATTGGCATATGAATTACCATAATTTTTTCTAGTAATAGTAACTTCTATAGTCACCAGGGCATTCCTCCTCTTAAATATACTTGAATTGAAGTATCTGTCACAGAAATAACTTTAGCATTATAAGATTTAGATCCAACTAAAGTAACTTTGATATCATCAACAACAGTTCCGAAATTGGTTCCTGTGATTGTCATTTCACCTTTGAATACTGGAGTTTTTGAATTGAATTCTAAGGATTACACTTAGATTCTTAAAGCATCATCGTATGAAAATAAGCTACTAGTGACTGTTTTTTAATTGTATGAGAAAGAAATTGCTCCAGTTCCCCCACTTGCTTTCTTTGGTGTAACAAAAATAATCTAGGTATTAGTAATTGATAATGGATGAACATCTTAGCCATCAATTTAGAATGTAAAATCTCTATTTAGATTTTTAGGGAATCCAGTACCAGTAATAGTAATAGTTGTACCTCCATCTGGTGAACCTGTTGCTGGTAAAATTGAAGATATAACCAAACCAACATTTTCTCCAGTTACTCCTGCTTCAACTTTAGAGAAACCAATAGCTTTATGATGTATAGCTGGCACTTAATTATCACCAGTTTCCTTAATGTTTTATGAATTCAATTATTCTAAAGTACAAGTGATTGAGTAAGGTGATGTGAAGGTGGAGAATTGAATATTTGTGCAATCAGCTCCTTCAAATGAAATATCTAAGTCTGTCTTAGTTATTGATAAACCAGCTCCTTGTGCTAGAGTTAATGATAATTGAGATCCGCTAACAGAGTAAGCTGTTAATGTTGGTGTCTTTTCATCACTTAAAGTGAAATCACATGCTTCAAATTATTCGCAACCAGCTAAAATTTATTCTGTTTCTACAACAACATTATTTTCTTTTATTTGGTATTAAACTTCAACTTAAACTTAAGGGTGTTAACTATAAGTAAAGAGTATTTCATTTGGTATAGGTTCAAATAATAAATTAGTACTATCTGGTATGGGTTTAGTAACAGCAGCAGTTACATCTCCATTTCCTGAAACAAGAACATTGGTTGAAACTGAAAAATCAGTTAATTAATCAACATTAGATCTTAAAACAACGAACCATTTCCATCCATCTTATGCTCTTCCAACTGTCCAAACAAATGGTCTTTCTCCAGTAATTCTTTCAACATTATCAGCAATCAATGATGTTGATGCATCAAAAGGTAAATCATAAACATTAGCAGACACTTAGAATAAATTGTCAATTCCATTAATAGTCATTGTTAACTAGAATGTTCCACTGATTGGATCAAGTGGTTCTTGAGTTCTTACAATATCTTTAACAGGAGTTCCTCCATTTAAAGAGAATGATACAAACTTTGGAAGTGCTCTATAATTGGTCGTACCTCTATGAGAATCAAATGTAATTGTATATTTATATCCAGCAAACGTTGTTGCAGTGTCATCTAAAGCAACTCCAGTATTATCTAACTTAGTAGCTATAACAGTTACTAAATAACCTGCTCCACAATTTTAGATTGCATTCTTAATAGCATTTGCATTGGCATTTGGTACAATATCTCCAGTAGTGTATGAGTAAAATAAAGTAGTTTGTGGTGTAGTCTTAGTGCCATAAGTGAATTAAAGTTAATACTTACCTGCTAATAAAGTATTTCCAACAGAATTATATAAAGTGATTTCAATCACTTCTTTAACTGGTGTGTAAGATGTTGAAATTTCATAGACACTATTTAGTGAGTTCGATTTTCTAGTAGCACTCTCAACTTCCATAGAAAGTGTAAGATATCCGCCTGATGCTCCATTTGAGATCATAAGCTTCAATGTAATAAAATTCTCCTTATTATAAAGCAACAGTTTCAGATATAGATTTGATGTTATAGGAATAAGTCAAATATTCATACCAATAGTTTCTATAAGGATTCCATCCACTTGCAGCTGTTGCAGTATCTGGTCTAATTGGTTATTTAACTTAAGCTGTTTAAATAAAGAATTAAGCACAGTCATCTGAAGCAACATAGAATCTATAATTTCCAGTGAATGGTGCTTTTAAGAAACCTCTAAAGTATTATCCATAATATTCTCCAAATTAATTTTAGACATCAGGTTCTGGATAAATACCATCAAATTAAATTCTACTGTTTAATTAAGCTTTGTTAGTAATGATTTATGTTCTAAATGAAGCACAATTCAAATTTAATCCAGAAACATCCCATCTAGTATAATGTAATCCACTTCCTTAGATGAAAACAGAACTCTCAGTAGCATCAGCAAGAGTAGGTAAATTAGTTAGTTTTGGTATTTTGGCATTGATTGTAGTTGGGGTTGATGATAACACTTAAATAGTTTCAGCTTAGCCTGAAATTTTAACTGTGTTCTCAGATGGGATTGGACTAAATCCATATCCAGATATTTCGATAATTTATCCTTCTGGCGATGCGAAATTTGTATTAATCTCTGTAATAATTGGAAGAACTCTGAAAAATATTAATTATATAAATACTTTGAGTCGTATGTTCTGTCAGATTAAACTCTTTTTTATTTAACTCCTACGTCATTAGTTTGATATCCACTTTATGATTTAATAGTATAATCATAGTAACCAGCTTTGATTTCAGCTGAAACCTGACATACAACTTGATCATCCCAGAAATTGATCTCATCTGGATACTTGATCTTGAACTGTGAATCTGTCACATCTGTTAGCTCCCATGAATTGTCCCTCTAGTAATTAAACAACTGAGCTAGATACAGCCCACTTGGGCTCCTCCAATAACTTAATGTTCTTGGATAATTTGATCCTTGGAGTCACATAAAATAATTTTGGTGTATAGTATTAAGAGTATGTGAAATGACATTATGGACCACTAAATGTACAAACAGAGTCTGGTTTACCTGATACCTTAACAACAATTTCTAAGCTAGATAAGTTATTGTCATCTGGATCTGGTTTTGTTGTTTTACAGTTCATGAACAATCCGTTGACTCCCTTATCGGAAATAATACAAGGATACTTTCCAATATATACAGCATTGTTACTAGCTGTTTAATCTAATCCTTAAACCTATAATTCTTATATGATATTATTACTTTCATGTATAATGTTGTGCCTCCCACTATGGAACCTGTAGGAGTAGAGTTTTCTTTACCTAAAACTGTAGAAACAGCAAGAATTACAACTGCATCGGTTGTTGAATCCATTGTTGCATCCATCATTGCTAAAATATACTACTCATTTTTAACCTTCTGATGAATTGGTCAAAAGCATTAATAGCATAGTCGATAGAGTGCTGATAAACATATTTTTTTTTTTGGAAATAAAATTATTAAGTCTTTTTCATAATATCTAAAGAGCCTTTATTACCCCCAGAAAATATCTAAATTAAAAATATCAAAAATTTAAAGTATAAATATAAATTAATAACAGTTTGAAGGTAGGTGTAAAATTAAATAATGCTAGGCTAATTTTGATTCAATTATCAGCTCATCGTAACACTTCTTTACTGTTATATCATTACTAAATTATTTTTGATGTACCCATTTTTAATCCACCCTAAATTTTCTAGAAATCAATAATTGCTGTTCCATTCTTTCAAAGAGAAAACTAGAGCATATAATATCCATATTTTAAATCATCTAAGCATGGAAAATTTTAATATTTTTGTAATAATTATCCCATTGTAGTATAAAATAGAAAAATTGCGGTTAAATAAATTTATATTAATTTATATTAATTTTTATAAAATAAAAAATATTTATTAATAAATCATTTTAAAATACACTTTAAGTTTTCTAACTGCATTATAAAAAAATTCTATATCTAGCATAATAACTGAAATGTTTACATTAATTTAAGTTAGTATGTCAATATTTCCATAAATATTTATGAATTACCTTCATTCATGAATCATTTATTGTTTTTGATATACTCTAGTAAGAATTATTTATAGTGTATTAAATATATGATATGATATTCTTCTTATAAAAATAAATTGTAATTTTTCAACTCTTGCTGCAGATTTCTTGGATTCTTCTATTAGCTTCGCATTATTCCTAAGGTTTTGAAGCAAATTCGAATTTGGATTGACTTACAAATGGATTAATTCCTATGTTGCTTATTCCAAATGGTAAACTTGATTATTGTATAGGTAATTTTATTAGAGGGATAGATTATCTTGCCTTAAATTACTCCTAATAACTCGAATTTGAGTAGACTAATTTGTCCTTACTATTGATGTGCAATCTTTTATTCATAATTTTCGAGAAGTTTGAGAATTCATGCTCTCTTTATTTTTGTCGTAATTTATATTCTCTTTAATATTAAGAAATATTATCCATTTTTGCAGGAAGCAATTATATTTGATTCACTGGTCTTAGCTATTAAGGAGGATCTGTACATTTGTTAGGATATTATAAAGCATATGAATTACAGCCTGCAAAAGGAATTTTTAATTAAGGTAAATGCTGTCTTTCATCAGCATGGCCTTGAGATATTTATTTTGGTGTAAAGTCCTCATCATAAACTGAATTTTATGAGAAAGCCCTTCTTCTCTTTGGCTCTTCTATTATAATAGGTCTGGCTTTAGGTAGGACAGAGTATCTTTATTAGAAATCAGTTTCATAAACACTCTTTAATTTATTAAGGTAAGTTTGTTTTATTGGTTATGCTTTACATAAACAATTTCCACATAAGCAAACACCACAAAGACATGTTCCTTCTGAGTGTTGAAATTAAGGATTTTACTAATTGAGAAGTTGTTATTTGCCTACTATCATTTTTATTAAATTAGAATAGATAATTAATACATTATAAAAATTCTTTGTTCTTTTTATATCAAATCTTAACTCTTAAATCTAAGCATTTGTTAATGGTAATCATTTTGGTTTAGCTAAAGTTGGTCAAATACTCATTAAAAATTCTAGAATTTCCTAATATTAATAAACTTTTTAAAAGACTGTCCTAAGTATAAAAGAATTAAAAAATATGAATAATTTTATTTTTATATAATCTAAAAATAAATCATATAATTGTTTTGATGAAGTTTAAAAATAATCTTAGAAGTATTAATATAATAGATTTGTGTAATAATTTTAATTATTTGAATTTGGATTTTCTCATGAAATATTTACCCCAATAGTTCAATTACATTTCAGGAATAAATTTAACAAAAATGTTAAGTCTCTATAAAAGGAGTATGAAATATTTAAAAAATACATATTATTTTTGGATATTCATATAATACCTTCTTATATTCTATTTTGAAACTTTAATTTACTTTATAAATTCATACTCGTAATAACAATTAATTTTAAGGATATAATTATATATATATATGTATTCAATTCTTTTAGATTAATCCATAAAGGCAATCTAAAATTTATCTTAATTATTCTTATGTTTTTACACTTAGATCAACTGTTCGTTCATCAAGAAATATTGAAAAGCATAACCATAAAATATCGGATTTTGGTTTATACAATCTGAATGTTTCTGTATTTGCTCCTTTTTCTATTTTAGTAATTTTGTTAATCGAGTATGTTTTTGTAATTTTATGTTCTAAATTTCTAAAGATTAATAATTTTAGATCTGGAGAAACTTACAATATTCTTCTCTTTTTACCAAATAATGTTTTGCGACTATATTTTGTAACTTAAATTCCTTAAATTAAAATTTCGATTTACTCAACTGACCATTAACTAATATTTGATTAATCAAAAGATTATTGTTAATTAAATTATTAGCTTAATTAAGCATTAGATATAATTGAGTCTTAGTTTTCATTTTTTACAGATTCTATTGATTTTGCGCTCTGCTAATCTATTTAGGATTTTTAAATACTAAAAATAACTTGTGTCATCCTTTATGAGTTATTATTACTATCTAGTTGATTTTCTTGTATCTAAATATCTTTTAAAATTTGTTCTGACTTTAAATCTGAAATTTTTAATGAGTAATCCTATTAGTTCTAATGATTTGTAACTAAGGACTATTATTTTATACTGTCATTTTTTTCGAATTTACTAATAAATTTTTAAGGAAAGGAGTTTAGGCTTTCTTCACTTGATTACATGTCCTCTGACTATCCCTCATCAATTTTTAATTACCCACTTTCATTTATATATTTTCCTAGTTCTCTTCTAATAAATTTGTTTTGCTTAAAAAATTAAGGAGTATTTTATATTGTAAAAGCAATTTCTGCTTAAATTGGCTACTAAAACTATGCTTCTTGGATTGATTAATCAACTGGAGTGATCGTAAAAAATTGTGATGTTTTGATTAGTATTCTTTCATTTTCATCAAATTGCACAGGAGTAAAATTAGTAGATTGATTTCTTGATAAGGATACTGATTCTGAAATGGGAGAATCAAAAATTCTCTTCCTAGATTATCTCGAATTTTATTGGCTTTGAACCTACATCAATTTAGTTATTTCTTAATGGATTCATTTAAATTATAATTGTTTTAACTATTCTGACTAAAATTTTAGCTTAATTCTATAATATAAAATCATTAAATTATTTAAATCTCATCTCCTGCAGTTCTTAAACAAGCACATCCAAAAAATTCTTTTCCTTCAAAATCTGCCTCTATTTCAAGTGATAAATTTTAAGTTGTATTAATTATTTCCAATAGACCTGCCTCGAAATCGACATTTATAACAATAATATCATTTGTATTGATTGAAAAATCACTTTCTTTTGAATTCTGATCATCCTTGTGATTATTATACATTGTTCCATTTGAAGACACTAGATAGGATCCATGTCCTATATCTTAATATCTTTTTAGAGAATGCAAAGTGGATAATTCTGTTATACCGACAGCATACCATGAACTTTTGACTTGTTTGCATCTAGCTATAAATTAAATAAATACTTGAATTTCCATTGTTTTCTTAATTCTGAAATGGGATTTTTAAATAGAACAAATCTATCTCTCTTTTTAGTTGCTATGTTCTTAACAAAAGCAACTGTCTTATTTAAATTTAGAAAGATTTCCGGATCTTTAAATCGATTGGAGAACCTAAAATCCAATTTTTCTTTACTTTATTATTTTATCATTTTTGGTTAATTCAATTTCGAGCATTTATTGCTTTTTAATTAGATTTTATATATCTTTCTCATGCGATGTTTTGATGTAGATCAAACAATCATTGAATGTGTGATTCTAAAATTGTTCCCTGATAATTTTTTTATTACAATTAGGACATATTTATGGAAATTTTGGACATTTTGTTTAATGAATGTAGTAAACACTGAGAGTAAAACTTTATGAACATCCAACACAACAAATTGGTCTTAATGGACATTCATTTTAGTGTATTAACAATTGCTATAATGAATATTCTCCTCTGCAATGAGTGCAATTATCTATGTTCTGATCACATATCTGAAGATGGCTAGATTGATCCTTTATCTTAATTTATATATGACATTTTGGACATCTGGTAAGAGCCTCATCACATTTGAGCTCATGTGTCTATAATTTAAAATTGCTAAACTAATAGAATTCTTAATATGTATAAATTACTAATTTATGGCAGTGACAACATTCACATTATCGATAACTACATTCATAAATTCTATGTCTTTATATATCCTTCTTAAATTTGACCACATTACATTATAATTTACCATCCATCAATCCACAAATTTCCTCACTAAAATCACACTATTTCACATGCTTATCATAAGAATCATAATCAGTTATTTCTCGACAACCTAAAATCAGAATTAATATCTAACCTTATTCAAAATGATGACATTTAATTTTTAACTAACTCAACAATTATCTCAATAGAGGAAATGCTTTTCTTGTTTCAACTTGCCGATTGCATAAAGGGCATTTCATACTCTTTCTCATTATCATTATATACTTACTTATTTCTATTAGTGGCATCTCTTGCAAAAATGATTCATACACGAGTCACATGATATTGGATCCAAATATACATTTAAACAAATTGGACATTTAATGTCGTATGGATTGACATTCTGATGCATTTTATTATTAAAATTTACATCGCTTTAAACCTGTTCAATTTCTATGAAGTAATCTTCTATGTCATTTTATCCTTCAAATTATTTTTACATGTGATTATTATATAAAAATTAATATCACAAAATCTCCTCAAATTCATTTATATAAAAAATAAAGACCTTAAGAGAGACCTGAAAAGAATTAAATGCTTTAAGTTATATTGAAAAACATTAAGAAAATATAAACGAAATTTTATTATTTAATAGAAAGTATTTAAAAATTTGATTGAAGTTTATATACTTGAAATAATATTGGAATCACTGTTTTGCTTAAGTTATTATGAAAGGGGTTGTTTTTCTATTCTATTTGATCAATAGATTAAAGATATTGAAAATAATTCAAGAGGTCTATCTCTATAATGAATTCATTAAAGAACTACCTAATATGTAACATAATGATTGATTAATAATAATTATTGCACTTTTTTTTAAAATAAAATTTTCCCGCTTAATTAAAATTTAAAAAAAAAACATATAGTTGTGCTAATAGTCCTAATAAATGGACAATTATGGTTTTAGTAAGAAAATGATGGCAAAATTTTCTTTATTAGTTTATCATAAATTCAACATTGGTCCAGGAATTATGTTATCTTTTGCTTCTTCAATTCTTTTGATTAAAGGCAAAATATCATAATCCCCAACAATTTTAATTTCATGATCTGACAAAATTTAGACCTAAGATTTCCCTTCTGTAGGTATGATATTAAGCTATTGTATAATTAATTCTAATACTTTTGCATTTTAAGGTAACTTGAATATCATAATCGGGAATTGATATATTTTAAGTTATTGACCTTGTAGGAAGTCTGACTCGTCTTTTTAGAGACGTCTAATGTGGATATTGTTTAAGTATGATACTTGTTTTGATCGATTAAGGCATTTATTCTTTTTGCCTAATCGGTCAATTTTTAAAATAAGATCTTCTTTCTCTTGAGTTCATCAAATTGTTATTGCTAATGTATATTGATAAAGTGTACTCTCAAAATTTCATATCTGTCTCTGGTATCTCTGGCGTATCTACTCGTCATATGATTCTATTGAAACATCGATCCTTTTGTGATGATCTTTTTCTGCTTTTCTAGGACTCCTAGAGCAACCATTACATTAATGGAATCATAAACTCTGCGTTTGAGGTTTTTACTTTCTGACTAGAAAATATAAAAATTTAATTAATATATTTACAGATAAACTTGATTTACTTATTTCTGAAGCAAGCAAGTCTGCCATCTGTTTATAGGTGGTTTCTCTTTGCGATCCGACAAGACTGTGAACCTAGCGACTTAAATATTTGAGGCTGTGATGTTTTTTTCTTTCTACAGAAATAATAATAAAATATGGCAAATTTTTTACCTTTCTTTTTGTTAATACTCTATTATTAGAAATCGTTTTCTTATTATTCTAACTAAGACTATGAGCATGAATCCTGTCTATTTAAATTTGTCATCACAAATCCTATTGAAGACGGTACATCTTGGTCTGCAAGTCTTAACAAAGTTTTTTTAGAGCCGTCATCTTATACAGATTGACTTTTTTGATCACTTCTACTTGCACAGTGTGGAATGAACAATTGTCTAATGCATTTTTCCTGAGTCTAGAAAATTAAGGAATTAATAACTTGTTATTGCATCGATGGCGCTCTAATAAACAAAATTTTGTTAATAACATTAAATTTATTCAAAACACATACTAGATATTAACACGGAATTTTAAAAATCAAAAGCGATCATATAGCATCGATGAGGTGGCTATTTTTACCCAATACAACATAATAAATATTGATAAGCATGATAAGAAGATCATTGATGATAATCATGAATTATCATTTTTTTAATTTTCAATAAAAAATTATAATTCCCTATATTTAAGGTTAGTACTCTGTGTGGGTATTAATTTTTATTAAGTGAAACACAGCCCTTCCCATTTATTTGATTATGAGATTTAAATTTTTGAAAAATTTTATAACAGATAAAAAATTATAAATTTTAGTTTTTTCTAATTAATAAAAGAATAAAAATTTTTATTTTGAGTAATGAACCACGATTTCTCTCCCAGAAAGTTCATTCCCCCCCATTCGAATAACTTTAAACAAATTCCTTTTTTGCCTTTCGCAAACTCACTCGATTAAAACGAGAATCCCCCTTTGAATTGATCAATCATTAGATGAATCTAATAACTTCTCTTAAATTTACAACAAATATTATTATTCGTTGTTGCATACTAAATAACAATCCCTCAAAATGTATCCAAATTTTAATATGACTTTTCCACTCTCAGAAAGATATTTTTTCATCCATATTTTATTAATCTTTTATTCTTATTTAAATAAATATTTAGTTTTAATAAATGAATTGGGCACTTATATATATACGATAAAAATCAATACTATTCTGTATCTTTTGTTTCCAGATGCTAATTTATTTAACTAATATCATTTAATGATTTAAAGAGGAATGGGATCATTACAGCAATCTAAAAAAAGTAATAACCTGACAATCGTATGAACACATTTCCTATCAAATTGAATTTACAACCACCCTCATATTTAATGTTATCATATTTTCTAAAAGAAATCAAAACAACATTTCATACTTCTATTTATTCAACATGATTCCAGCAATCTCAGCAATGAGCAACAAACCCCAAATAACAATTGGTTAATAATACTCTCTCGTGAAGTTCCAAATCTCATTGTCAAATTAACAATTGCTTATAAAAACCGTTTTCTTAGCAACATAAGGCACACTAGAATTGGTTAAATAGAAAAAGTAATAGAAAACAATCCAAAATAGATGTTCTAAATAAGCACCATGTTTTCCCTTCAAGGATTTCTTGGTTTCACTCATTTTAGTAATGAATTGTAAATCTGGAATTAAGTAGAAAACCCATCTTCTAAGAAAAACTGTAAGAAACATGGAGGAATTGTTAGCCCTCATAATTCCAAGCAATAAAATATTGTACCAAAACTCAAATGTCCAAATATCCACAATGTTTAAAATTCTATTATAAACTATACAAAATACCCTATTTTCATGCCAAGAATAATTAATTGGAGTTGATAGATATACAATTCAGCAAACTAACTCTAGTTGTAAATGTAATCCATGAACATTTCCATAATCCAATCGAATAAGGGATAAAGGTATAGGAAACTCTGCATTCCCGATATTCTACCCTAGCGATCTTGGAGTGATTCCACAACATTAGGAATAGCATAATAAATGAACACCATTAGAATGAGTAAAGCAAAGTCATATAAAAACACTCCTGCCCCTTTTTTAAAAACTATATCCCAATCTTTTACTCTAAATGTATTCAATAAGACTACAACTCCTATGCAATAAACTAATATCACATAAACATAGTCCTAATTATTTTCTATCCAGATAACGAGAATGAAATCAAAGATAATTGTGAACAAAAACAAGAAAATGTATTCTGTAACTGGTTCTTTATGTTTCAAATTGCTTGAGCCCATAGCCAATCTGCATAAGAACTACTTTCGATATACGATCAAACCTAATTTCCACATCTAATTTGATATTGATTTAAATTACTATGAGTTGTCGAGCCCAGGACCATAGTTTAGCTCCGAAACCATTGCAAGTGCAATACTATTCTGGTAGGTAGCAAAATTGGTCGATTGCTCGCTGTAAGAAGCTTGATTTAAAGATAACTCATACTAATTTATGACATATAGAATGAACACTATTAATAAAGGTAGTGCTGTTTGAAGGAGAACATACGTTAAATAGTTGTCAATCATGGGGGGCATAATTTCGCTGACTTGATTCCCTATTCTATCATAGTAAAAGGTATTGGCCTTATTGCGACTATTGGGAGTTGTTCGCTATTTGGAGACATTAGTAAAGACGGAGATTCCATCGAATGATCTGTCTATTCTGCTTTTGGAGGCTGATATTTGTTGTTGTTGATAGGGTTGGAAAGGCTAGAAGACTTGTGATTGTGAGCGAGATGGCTAAAGTTATTATTATTGTTATTGTTGTTTGATTGGGCTTGGGCCCTTTTAGATGGGTTCTTAGTCTTGAATGGTTTGTAGATCGATCTATTGTTGATTGATGGGAGCTTAAAGACTAATATTTTGACTTTCTAATCTTTGATTTTGATTGACGATCTAATCATAGTTGTAATTGAACATTTAAGATTCTTCGTCATATTGGGATCTATCATTTCTGGGGTTTACTTCTTGGATGGAGGAGAGAGATTGCTCAGAATTGATTGATTATTCATGCTCATTCTTTTCTTCGAATATATCGGATAATACTAACTCTCGATTGGATATTGATATTTGAAGGTGGATTGGAATTAAGACTTATTGCTGGAGTACCCTTTGGATGCACTGTTCGAGTTGACTTCTCGGATGGGAGGATTCTTTTATGATAAGTCCATGAGTAATTTGAAAATTCGTTAATATATTATTATTATTATATGAAACACCAATATTCAAAATAGTAGGACTCCCAGGATTACGAATAAATGCGTGGGATTGAAGACTTCAAGGACTTAGTTCTAGTTGACATCAATAAATGATGGATCCAGTCTGCAGAGGGTGTAGAAATGGGGAGGAGACCAAGGTTTGGCAAAACAATTGAAATCCAATTAGTTGGTATACGCAATTGATTAATAAAGACAGAAAGGGATTGATTCGGAAGCCTAAGTGATAGAGAACCGGGAGAAATACGGTAACAATGACCCGATTGAGAAGGAGTCGGAATCCTTATGTGATTTAATTTTGGAGTGCTTCGGAGATACAATGCTTTAAATTTTATTGTTGGCAGCTTTTGTGAGTACGATAATTGGAATGGTAAATGAAGGCGTGGCAACTGGATGGACAGAGGGGTATGTAAAATTGGTTAATAGTTATTTAGTGCAACAATATTTTTTGCTGTGTTTTTGATAGTTTCAATAACAGCTGGTAATAATTATTTAAAAGAAAGACAATTTTAGTAATTGCGTAGAAGGTTGGATGAGGGAATAGTATAAGTAGTAAGAGGAGGAATAGTGGAGATATCAATAAAGGACATAGTAGTAGGCGATGTTCTCTAATTTGGGATCGGAGACATGTTCGCAGTGGATGGTATGAACAATAACAATAACTAAAGGATTAATGATCCAGGGATCTTCAGTGAAAGTGGATGAATCTGCAATGACCGGCGAGTCTGATGAGATAAAAAAGTTACCCTTTAGTGAGATGATTCAACAATCAAAATTACCATTAGACAGTCATCATTGTAGTCCCTTTTTGATCAGTGGTACTAAATGTCTAGATGGGAATGGTTACATGCTAGTATTGTAGGTTGGATAAAATACAGTTTAAGGACAGTTGAAATTATTGTTAAACTAAGATAATCCTCCAACACCACTCCAACAAAAATTGGAGGGGGTGGCTGAAGATATTGGTAAATTGGGAACATTGGTAGCCATCCTAACATTTATAGCATTGATGGGACATCTAATCTATGATGTCTTTGTATTACATAAACATGATTTCTTGACCTTGAAAACATTCTCATTTATCATCGATGCATTTATGATTGGAGTAACCATCATAGTAGTTGCAGTGCCTGAAGGATTGCCACTTGCTGTGACTATAGCTTTGGCCTATTCAGTAGGAAAGATGAAGGATGAATAAAATCTAGTAAAGAATCTTGCATCTTGTGAAACTATGGGAGGAGCCAATAATATTTGTAGTGATAAGACAGGGACACTAACTTAAAATGTCATGTCAGTCACTACTATTTGGAGTGAAAATAGTTTCATTCTTAAGGACTAATTGACTTCGAATAATAATTTGCTATCAAAACAAACAGTAGAAATAATGGCTGAATCTATTTGCTATAATTCGAATGCAAATCCAACCAAAGATAAAAATAGCAATAGATGGATACAAATTGGAAATAAAACAGAGTGTGCCTTGATTGAATTAGCTGATCTCTTTGGGTTCAAGTATGCCAATTATAGACAAAATGACAAGATACTCAGGTAAATACCTTTCAGTAGCAAAAGAAAGAAGATGAGCACTGCTGTTCTCAATTAAAAGAATTAGACTGTTAGAATATTTACAAAAGGGGCTTCAGAAATCATATTGGCATAATGTTTCAAATATGTTTCAAAAGGGGGAAATGAAATGTTACTTGATAAAGCAAAAAAGGATGACATTCTACACAATGTAATTGAACAATATGCTTCTCAATGTTTAAGAACAATAGCCATAGCTTACAGAGATTTTGAACCTCAGAGTTCTAGTTTTAAAGGTTCTACAGTAAATATGAAGGCACATATTCATCAAATTCCAGAAGATGATTTAGATAAGGATTTAACATTAATTGCTATTTGTGGTATAAAGGATCCCATTAGAGCAGATGTTCCAAATGCAATCAAATTATGCAATTAATCTGGAGTGGTTGTGAGAATGGTTACAGGAGATAATATCATTACTGCATAATCCATAGCCAAGGAGTGTGGCATTTTGGAGTAAGGCAGAGCTCAATAGGAATTTGAGGTAATTGAAGGCAAAAAATTTAGAGAATTGGTTGGAGGGTTGATGACTGTTAAGGATGATGAAGGTAAGGAAATTAAGAAAATTAAAAATATGCAGATCTTCTCCAAAATCAGTAGAGAAATGAGGGTTATGGCAAGAGCATCCCCGGAAGATAAATACCTATTAGTTACTGGGTTAATTGAGGAAGGCAATGTTGTGGCTGTTACAGGAGATGGTACTAATGATGCACCTGCTTTAAAGAAAGCTGATGTCGGATTTGCTATGGGAATTACTGGATCTGATGTTGCCAAGGATGCTGCAGATATCATCCTTATTGATGATAACTTCAATTCAATTCTTACAGGTATATTTATTAATGAGTGTAATTAGCTATGATATGGGGTAGAAACATCTATGATTGCATAAGGAAGTTTATTTAATTTTAATTAACTGTCAATTTGGTGGCACTATTCATGTCATTTACAGGTGCTGTGATATTAAAGTAATCTCCCTTAAATGCAATCGAAATGCTATGGGTCAATTTAATTATGGACACCTTTGCATCCTTGGCTTTGGCTACAGAACCTCCATCAATAACAGTGTTGTCAAGACTACCGTATAGAAGAACAGATCAAATAGTTTCCCCAACTATGTACAGAACCATCGTAGGAGCTAGTGTCTATTAAATAACTATACTTTCCTTTATTCTATTCTTGTTACCAAACTACGTAGATTGTTCTATGCCACCAGAACTTGTTGGTTTGAAAGTAAGAATTGCTCATTTATCATAAGTACCCTTCGAATGTAGTGCAAATGAGCATATTTTTCTAAGCGTTTGTTTTGATGCAAGTGTTCAATTCGATTTCATGCAGACAATTAGATTATCATACAAAAAACCCCTTTTCAAATTTTTGTAATAACCCATTGTTTTGGATCGTTTAAACAATTACAGTGATAGTTTAGATATTACTAATTCAATATGGTGGTAGATATGTGAAGGTGTCACATCTGACATCGTCTTAGCATCTACTGTGTTTCGGATTTGGAGTATTTGGAATAGTTTTTTCATTGCTATTCAAATTTATACCTGAGAGCATATGTCAAAAGATTCATCTTTTCAGGGAAGATGAGATCAAGACAGATAAGATGGATGATACTCTGACGAGTAGATTAAGGAGGAAGTCAACAATGCGTTTGCATACTAGTTAAAGAAGTAAAGTCGAGGGGGGGAGTCTATAAAAGATGAGTTCATAAAAGATATGAATATATTTAATATGCATCATTTTGGTATTAAATTTAGATATTTTATTTAATCATTTGACAACTATTGTTTATTTCCAACACTATCGTATATGTATTCTCCATTTAGTAACAAGTAACCTTCATTGTCTAATTAATATTGGAGGGATTGAGACTGCAAAAATTAAAAGGATTGGAGTTATTAGGAGTCATCTAATTCGTTTATTTAGGGTAAGGATAGTTTTTATGATCTGCTTTTGTATTTGGGTGAGAGAGTGAGATTTTAGTTATTATTATTTTTTAGATATATTGACATTTCTTCATTGAATCGTTAGTATTTGTCAATGTCATTGTTTTCAACCAATTTCAATTTGAATTCTTGGTTGTATTCCTCCAATTTAATTCTTAGATCTTCCATCTTGACATTGATTTCTGAATCCATACTATTAATTTAATCTAATACTGTGTATTTCATTTGATTGATTTGTTCTAGGTAGAATTGCTGTGACTTCTCTTCTTCAACAACGATCATTTATTAGACGCTCTGGAGTTGCATTTGCAATTTGTGCATGTCCTCCTAAACTATATTGATGGCATCCATCCATCCACTCTCATAGATCCTTGCAATATGTTGTTCTGCATTATTCATCCTCTCCATTAGTTTGCCAATTTGCATTTGCATATGCTCGTTCAAATCGTTCTGTTAAGTTTGCAATTGGATCACTTGATTTTTAAATTTATCGACTGATTATGATTTCTCTTCCATTCTGCTTTGAGCATATCCGGAACTCACCCTATTTTCCTTCGAATGATTCCTGCATTGGTCTGGATAGAATGTTGCAAACACAGGTTTGATGCGCACATATTAATTCATGTTTGATAATTTAAATTAATTAACAATAGTGAAAATATGTAAAAGTAAACAATGATTTATACCTATAAAGAGATGTTGTGGAATTCACTTTAAAGTGCTTTTGTTTCAAATACCTCTACTACAACATATTTGTTCTTCTGTTCACTCTATTCCAGTATCAAAGTGCTCCCATGGCACTGCCCCTGTTATTGACAATACTGTATGAATTGGTGATGCTGTTGAAATGCACTGAAGGAAAGACACAAAAGAAATTCGATCATCTATTTCACATCCTGCTTCAAGTAACCCATAACCATCAACTTCTTTTAGATCTACGTCATAACCATATATTATTTAGGGCTAAATTATTACATCTTCTGCAACACCTTTTTGATTCTATCCTTCATAGTTAATATAGGATGCAACAAGACTTCAGAAGACTAATATGAACACTCCACAATAATTAGATTGGTATGTTAGAAAACGCATAAACTTAGACGATCATATTTTATCGCTTTTGCTTAATAGTCTCCGTATTGTGTATCACCTTGAAATTGAGTTCCTACGTGAATTGGTCATGGGCACAAACCTTCTGGTGGTACTGGATGTTTCTAAGCGGCCTAGTTGGAACGACCATCACAATTCTATTGATCCTCATCTCAAAACTATTCAGCATTTATAATCGCTAAGAAATTCTCAATTATAAAAGTGAAGGTATGTTTGATTTTAAACCAAGTTAAAACATTGATATGGACCCTATACACTAGCATTCTAAGTAGTCTAATCGCTGGGACTTGGATAATCAACACTCTCAATATTTTAGACGTTGACTTGGATCTGAAGATTGGAGATTGCATTATGTACATACTGATTTCTTTTAACATTGTGATGTTTAGTGCAATCTCCAAATACCTTTTTAAAGACATCGTAGAATTTGCATTGTCATTAAATCAATTGGAATCTCGAGATTCATCACCCAATACTCCATGTCAGGATTAGAGGATCAAAAAAGAACCAACCAAAACATAGATATTCTTACAGAAATTTTCATCAGCCTATTTCAAATAGATCAAAGATCCTGAAATAGTCATATTAAAATGTACTAATCAAAATGAAATTGATACTGAACGAAATACGAATAATAATAAAATCGTTTTAAAATCTTAAGACCCTCAACAACAATCTGATTGCAAATGCATCATTTGTTGCGAAAGACCTCCAAATGCTGTCCTCATGACTTGTGGTCATGGAGGAATCTGCTATTAGTGTGCGATTTAAATGGCCTAGAAGAATAAGGAATGCTTTTTATGTAGGTAAAACATCAAGGAGATCTATGAAATTTCAGACAAAGATTTGAGCATTCTCAAAAGAGTCATCTCTAAAACGAGAATATCTAGTTGATACTTAAATATGTATATATATATAAATATATATAATTTTTAACTGCATATGAAATCTCAATTTGAAGTATACTTGAGATTAAAGCCATCCAATAAGTAATTATTGTAATTTAAGCAGTCAATCTTAAAATGCCATGCAATATCAATTGTATCATAATAAGCGATTATAAGTCCTATTGCCCAGACATGTCAAATTCGGATTAGTCAATAATAGCAGAGATAATCTAGAATTCAATTTCACTCATGTGTTCGATCAAAAGTCTACCTAAGAATAAATATTCAGTACTGTCACCATCCCAGTCATTAACAGGTAAAGAACTTTGTTCAATCTTACTTAGTTTCCTAGATGGCTATAATGCTACCATTTTTGCTTATGGTTAAACTGGATCAGGTAAAACATACACCATGAGTGGTGCTGAAACTTGGCAATTACGTGGAGTGATCCCAAGAGCACTCTCCTATATTTTTGATGAAATCGATAAACGAACCAAGTTCCAATATAAAATCTACATCTCCTTCATGGAAATTTATAATGAAAATGCCTACGATTTATTAGAAAAGAGACATCTTGAAACCCCTTTAGAGTAATGGAACAAAGTATTAACTTTCTGTTAGCCTATTAGATTGCACTATATGAGGACGATCAAAATAACATTCACCTCAAAAACTTGTCAATTCATTAGTGTAATAACGAGCAAGAAGGAATAGATCTACTCATGATGGGCAATTTTATTAGGCAAGTTAGTTCCACTCCAATGAATCAATCAAGTTCAAGATCCCATTGCATATTCACTGTGACTCTTGAAGGTTGTGACACAACTAGTGAAACATGTTTCGTAAGCAAACTGCACTTGGTCGATTTGGCTGGATCTGAAAGAATCAGCAAATCTTAAGTTGAAGGCAATCTCCTAAATGAAGCAAAATATATCAATCTTTCATTAACCTACTTAGAATAAGTCATAATAGCCCTAAACGAAAGGATGAAGGGTGCCAATAGATAACATATACCATACAGGAATTCATTAATGACTACTCTCCTCAAAGATTCTCTGGGAGGCAATTGTAAAACAGTCATGATTTCAACAATTAGTTCTGAAAATGATAACATTGAAGAGACCTTGTCAACATTAAGATTTAGTTAAAGAGTTGGTTAATTAGAAAATGAGGTATTATGAATTTCATTATTATTAAAGATAAGAAGAAACGAAAAAGTGGATTTAGAGGCAGTAGTCAAAAGGTTGGAATAGGAAAAACTCCTCCTTATTAGAGAATTAGAATAATATCAAAGAGGTGGCAATGTCAATTCGAACAATAAGAAATTGTAAACTTAATAATAAATGTTGCCTCTGTCTAATGGATAGTCTTTGAATCAAAAGGAAGTCTCAGAAAAGGTAGAACTCTATTTAAATGAACGCCTTTCTTAATTAGATATTAAAAGCGTAGAGGAAGCCTAATTGTGCTTTGAAGCCATGAAAGACCTCTACAACACAAGGATGAAGGAATATGTTCATGAACTTACATTTATCTCTGAAAAGCTATAGAAATATGATGAACTCTTAACCAGAAAGTAATTATTACTTTAAATATCTTAGGAAAGAGCAGAGTTCCTTTTTAGAACAAAAAGAAAACAGTTCTCCTGAAGTCGAAGTTTATAGAAGAAATGAATCTCCTTAAATCAATTTAAAAAAGAAACCAAACTAGTGATAGACTTCTATATATTTCTTTGATAATGCAATCAATTAATTAATCATATCAAATGCTCAATGATGCGACCTTATCTTGCAATTCTGCTGCCTCCTCCTTAGTCACGTGAGTTTATTTTGCTTGAATTGATGCACTAACTTGGGGACCCAATTAATTAATAATAAAACTCAATCCCTTTTGATTGATTTCAGTTGAGTTCAAATTCAATTACAAATTTACTAAAATTGGGAGACCATGAAGGAACTAAAATGATATATTTCTATTTTTACTTTTCCTAATTTTCTAGCCCCTTCTTCAGTTATTTTATTGTAATGTGCACTTATATTCACAGCCTTTAAAGCACTCCATTTGACACTCTAGAATTGCTTATTCAAAGCTGCTAAAGAACCATCAGTTAATTGATTTCTTCCAACATTGATATTTAATTCAATTAAAGTAGACGAGAAATTTGGAACATGTTGAATCAAACCGATGAATCCATCATCCTTAATATTATTGGAATTTAATGAAAATCCTGAAAAATTTAAGGATAATTTCTTCACTCCTTTATAAGTACTCAAAGCATCGCCAAGTTATTATGCTGATTTATTATCTACTTGAGACTAACTAGAAATAATATGAATGATTATAAAGTACCTGAAGTTCAAAGAGACTCTTGAGACCTAAGCTCCACCAACTGACTTTAATGCCTTTGCAACGTGTTATACTGCTGAGTTTATATTTGATTGTTCAGCAACTACATTGACCTCTTCCAAATTTGGTAATTTGACCTCTTTAAATTCAGCGAAAAAATCCTTTGCTTAATTAGCTTGCACATTAGATGAGAATTCAAAAGTCAATACTTTCAATTGTTCAGCTTGTCCGATAGCTTTAATTATTATTAGCACTATTACCTTGGGCTATGTGAGACAAACCTTAAGCCTTATTAGTGACATTCCATTTAATTGATAGATTCACAATACTTGTCAATCTTGAAATTGACTCAGCAATGGATTTAGAATCAGCTTAATTGAAATCTCCTATGTGTAACACTATCCTAGTTTCAGGGGTTATCATTGTATTTAATAGTAAGGCAAAGGCCTCTGCTGTTTCAATGTTTAAGCTAACGAAATTCTATTATTGTAATGAAGAGTCTTCGGATAAAATATTTAAGAACTAATCTCCCAAACTTTTGATTTATTGGTTCCAAAATTTGAGAGCCAATTCAGATCTATCTTAGAGTTCTTAATTAAGAGTTGATTCTAGATTATTTCTATAAAATTGCTCCTTGGTTTTGTTCCAAACACACAATTCATTTGGAGCCTATCTCCAAGCTCTCAATTTCTTTGTGGTTGAAAATAGATACTCAGGCAATTCTGGAGCTGCTCTTAGGTCGGATATCTTTGAAATATTTGAATAATAATACTTTATTAACAATTTCTTTTGGTTTTGGGATTGAAGCCTCCTATTCAGGATCACTCTTTAGAACTTGTTGTAAAGACTCAAATGCTTTTTCCACATTTTAGGTCTCACCTTTAACACCTTCGACTAATTGGGAAACCACATTGTTGCAGGCATGATCATATCCTTCTTACAATTTTTTATTAAGTTGCTTAAATGAGTCTACCTAGGATTGCACCTTGTTTTTGTAGGCTTTATGTTGGGAATTAAAATTATTAACCAGTTCTCCAGACTCTGCATCTGGAGTATAAGCTAATGGGGACTTTTTTGTTAAGTCTCTTAAATGATAACCGAGATTTAATACTATAAAAAGTCCTTTATTACAACTAGGTCTGCTTTTCCACCAGCTCCTTAACTAAATTGACGAGCTGTCAATAATTTGCTTTTCAAAACGTCCTTCTCATCAGTAACTAGAATATAAGGTTCGTTGTCAGTTGGGTTTAACAATTGAGGGAATTCAAAATCCATTTATTAATTATTTCTTCATCCCGCCCTCCCCAAAATTGAATTACTATATATATTCTAATTCCACTTTATTCATCCAATGAAAATTTAATATTAATAAATATATAAATTGATATTTATAATATATATTTATTATTATTAAATTAAATTATACAAGTATTTTAATCTAATTTATCAATAAAATCATTTTTGATTTCCAAAACTTGTACATTTGTATGTTGAAAATCTAATTCAATTAATGTAAATTTGAGCCCATCTTGTTCAGTAGTTTCAGTAGTAATTTTTTCATAAAACCTATTGATTAATATTCAAAAAACCTCATAAATTATAGCAATCCTTTTACCACCTTTAATGATTGACATCGTAAATATATGATTTGCAAGAATATTTTATCTACTAAATCAAATAAGGCAGAGTTTGGACCGTGAAATTTGTTTGATTACATGATTATTCAATCATTACATTTTCTGATTCTTTTATTTTCTATTTTACCTTCCAACCATCAGAATTAATTTTGTGAATCAGTTAATTTATGACATTAAATATAATGAGCTAAATAATTATTGACTACAACACCTCATTCCTTGAGATGGAGTAAGGTTTTGTAAAAGATTTCATAGTAATCTAGTAATAAATCTGCTATGAGTTTGAATAAATTGAAATATTTGTTAGCTGAACAATATGGTGTTGATTAGTATATTGATGTAAAGCTTGGAAGGAAATGCAAAAGTTCTTCAATTCATTAACAACCTTTATTGCATTCACCGTATTTTTTTCATTCTTAATGTTTATTATAATCAAATTTGATCCAACCAAAAAAGAGTAAAATTAGCTGAATAGTGTCTCTGTACTTTGTATTGTTATAAAATCTATTAAAATTGTTGATGGTGTCAGAAATGTTTTTATTCCCTTCATTTTTGTTGATCAAAATAAAATCTGACGTAATGTTAGGAAGAATATGAGAGTAATAAAAAAAAGATTTGAAATACATAAATACTAAAGACCTTTTTGTTGAGAAAGTTGTTTTTAGATTTGGAAATATAGATTTATAGATTCAAAGTTTATAACTCTATCTTTTGATAAAGGCTTTTCAAAATTAGGGTTTGGAACTTGGAAGTAAATCAGAATACTATTTAGTTCTATTTTATAAGTCAGGGGTTTATGAATGACTTTTAACTCTTCGTTAAACTATAGGATTTTTTTGAATATCATATCTTTTCTACGCTTATATTGCAGAAGGTTCTGCTCTTTCATAAATTTCATATTAAATCGCAGCTCCTTTCTAACTTTACTTAATTTATGCGCATCCCATTTTTATTTTTTTTATTGTTATTATATATTAATGTTGTAATCATAAATTGATGAATTATTCAGTTTATTCAGTTTCTGATGATCGTTTAAAAATACATTAATCTAAAGCAACTGTGATATATTCTAAGATTGAAAATTAATAGAATCAAGATAAACAACTAAATTGCAGAATTTACTTGAAAATTTAATCCATTTATTATGAAGTACAATAAAATAGAGATAATCAAGAATATAATGCAATAATTTATTAAATTAAAAATCCAATAACTAATATTTATATTGATATCTAAAATTGAACTAAATTTGAAGACATTAGTACATTACCAGATAATAGACTTTATACCAACAATTTTTTATCGATAATTTCTTTATCAATGTTGTCTGCTATTAATTTTTATTTATGTAATAATGACTTTTATTGGTACATTTGCTTTTTTGATCAAACTTTTAATATTTTTATAAAAATTTATAATTTAAGGGTTACTATTAAAAGAAGGTAAGTAGAAGCTTGTTCTTGGATGGATGTGTTTGGTTAATGCAAATTTAGTAGAAAACTTTAATCATTTGCTAAAACATTAATCATTAACTAAAAATAAATTATATAAAACAATTTAATTTTGAAACAAATAAACCTCTATTTTATAAAAATAGATAATTAGCATAAATTACTAATATAAATTTTACAACATTGGAATGTAACTTAAGATTTAAGACTTAGACCATCAATTTAAGGAATTTAAGAAAAGCTAACCTCAATATACGTTTATTATATTATATCCTGAAATGCTAGGATACAAAATTTTATGATATTTAGTTTATTAACTATCATTTTTTGTAATGGTATACTATTTCTCTTTGGAGAAGAGCTTAGGAGATTAAGTGTATAAATAGCGTAATATAATCAACACAAAATATATAGAATCAGAACTATTGTCAACCACTCTAAGTCTAATTGTTTCTTTCCAAATAAGAGTAGGTTTATTTGGTGAGAGTGTTCTCTTTTTTTTAAGATAGTCTCCTTTGAAATATAGGATTCTTTTTAATTTAAAATAATTTATTTTTCTCTGAAATCTTTGTTTCATCCTCAGTGGTGTTCTTTTCAAGAATGTTCATAAAATGATCTACATCCTTTAATTATCTGTTATTTTTGGTAACCTTACAACCCATGTTGAAAAAAATAATGATTTTATGGATGTGAATAAATAGAATGATGATTCAGTTTATTTGCATTATTTTTTTCCAAAATTTAATAAAAGTACGATATATGTAATATAATTAAGAGTATAAATATACAAGATAAAATTTTTTTGATATCAAATTTAATTCAATAATTAAAGATCTATGGCTTTTCTACTCTTATTATATTTCCCCATATAGTTCATAAGTGTGAATTCAAAATAAGGACCTCCATTTTTTGTAAATTTCACATATTGAGGATTATTCCTAATCTTAGAAAAATCAATACTAGTGCACAATCTTATATAGCTTCATTTTTTCAATATTAATTCCTGCGGCTTAAAGATCATCATAATGAACGAATACATCTGTTCCATCTTCATCAAGAACTAAGAATCCATATTTCTTGGCATCATCATAGAATTTCATTCTTCCTTTTTGCCTTATATATTAATATAATAAGAATGCCTTTGATGACTTTCATCTACGACATAGGGCAACTTCGATGGTGTTTCAATTTTTGGTGTTCCGATATTCAGTTTCAAGCTCACTCCTGGAGGATTTTATTTCAATAATTAATAATCATCATTGTATTCTTAATCTGATATGTTGATGCGCTTTTGAATATTGACAGGGTATTCCATTTAATATTCCTCCTCATTTTTGCACTCTTCTCTGTTGAATGAAGAGGACCGGTCAATTTTTCTGGCAATAAATTTAATCATTATTGTAAAATAAACTATGTTTTAACGAGAATAAAGAAATACAACAAATTCTGGATATAGAAATTCTTCAAATGCTTATGTAATGGCAATGAAAGCACTTTAAGAGAAAATAAAGGTTATGGAAACTTAAAGAACTGACACATTGTTGCCAACGAAAACAAAATCTAACGATGAGGATTATTTGTTATAGTAAATATCTGAGTTGAGAAATTAGAATGAAACATTAACCATGTAATTGCAAAGATAGCAAAATGAAAAAGAAAACATCAATAATTACATTCTTTAAATTGACTAATTGCAATAAGAAAGATTAATTCACCTAAAGGAATACTAAGATAGAGTGACAGATTTAATAAAAAAGATTGAAGATGGAAAAAAGGATAGGCAGGATTAACAAAATTAGATTGAATATTTGCAAAGATAATTATAGGCTTATAAAGCTAATGAAAGAGGCTTAATGTAAAAGGTTGATTAGCAAAAATAGGAGGAAAACTCAAAATAATAAGAGCAAATCATGGAATTGAGATAAAGAGTAGAATCAGGCGAATAATATGCAAAAAAGTTAGAAAAGAAATATGAAAAATTGTAAACTGAAAAACACTAACTGGAAGCCGAAATTCTAGATTACAAGGAGCGATGTCCAGTATTTAAGTTATAGGAGTACGAAAAGCAAATTCAAATCTATAGATCATAGCTCGAAGAAAAAGAGAAAGCCTACTTGAGGATGATGGAAGAATTATAGATGCAACGTTAATAGACAGAAGATTAATTAACCAAAAGAATTTAAGAATTATTGAATAAAAGTAATGAATATTAATCCACTATTCATCAATTAACAATTGAATTAAAAGATATTACTCTAAAATATTAATAATTGAAATTAAGATTAGAATATGAAGAAAAAAATAATCAACAAAATAAAAAACGAATGAGGAACATTTCCTAATCAGATGATCCTGAATTTGAAATGCTTATCAATAATTAATATTAAAACAATAATTAGCAACCAAATAATAATAATAAAGTATCAAAACTTAATTTAGATTTCTTATCACCACAAATAACAAGTCCAAGATTTGAACAAAGTTTTGTCAAATCAAGTGTTTTAAAATAAGCCATTAAGGATTGTTTAGAGGATATGAAATAAACTACTCCATTTAAATCAGATCAGCACAACATAATACCTTAAGAATAACATCACCAATAGTAGCATTCTAAAAAAAAGTTATTATCCCCTCCCTTAACAGTTCGAAATAGTGAAATCGAAAACAAACTGAAGTAATTAAATGATAAATATGAATAACTAATAAGATAAGCCTAAAAAGAATCAGATTTTAAATAAAAAGCCTAAATTAGAAAGGAATTATTAGATATTGCTGAATAGATAAAAGAAGTAAATAGAAGATAATGAAAAATATATTGTTTACAATATTTATTTAAATTAAAGGAACTATTGTATAATTATATTCATTCTTTATTAAGAAAAGGTTGTTGATATATATGTCTAAGATTTTATTTATTAAAATAAATTAATTCAAAATTACTTTTTAATATAATCGATAAAAATGGGGAATCGGTTTGCAAATGTTGAGGATAACCAATTTTAGTGCTCCTGGTGACCATTTGAAGGGAGAAAAATTATAACACTAAAAATGTATCTAAGCTTTATTAATAATATGATATTTATATATCTAACTTGAGAAATAAGATATTCCTTCTAATATCAACTTCTAATAAATATTTAGTATTTATTTAAGTATTCCTAATATATCATCACAAATGAGACTATATTATGGTTTCAAATCTCTTTACTATATATTAAATTTTAACTAGCAATAATAGCTAAAATATTCAAAGTATCATTTCATCATATCAATAATCAATTTTAAACCTTAAATCCTTAAGTATTAAAAGCTACCTTGATTAACCCAAAAGTTCTAATCTTCATCAGGTGCTGCATTTTCCATTCGTTCATTAAAAGAAATTTGATTAATTGTATATGATTAGTAAATAACAAAAAAAAATTTCCAAATCATTCATAACTTGAAAAACGGGTTGAACACCTATTCTTACTGCAGAGAAGCTGACTAAATTTATTCAGCCTAAAAATGGAAAAAAATGAAGAATTTTGTTTACATTATATACTTTTATTATTCCAGAAATTTCTTAGCTTATTTCATTAGTGAAAGAGCACAAATACTATGAGTCATATAAATGTGTAGCTGTATTTAACATGATTTTTCTGATAAGAAATTCACCACATTTCCAATTAATCTCATACTATTTTTCCATGCTCTTCCTTTTTTTAATTGCTTAAATCAGGCTTTGATTATCATCTGTATGCTAGTAAACCTAATAAAAAAGAAAAAAAAGGTTTTAGACACAAATATTGAAAAAGGGCTAAATTATGTTTCTTAAAAATTTTGTAATAGTATCAAGTCAACTCTAATAAGGAGAAAATCGCTGTTATAAGCAATTAATCTTGTTTTCCTCCTAATATATCGACAAGATACAGTAAATTATTAGGGTATGTTATAAATTAAAACTGAGATTAATCTAGATATTAAGGGGTATTAAAGTGCTCTAAAGTTTTGTAGAAGATCATTATTTTTTATAAAACATTAACATGTTTATCATTGCTTTTACGAATATGTTACTTTTGCTACTTAGCAATAATGTTGATGGTAATCAAATCAAATATTAATGTAGCCATGATGATGGATTCTTCAACAGATTCAACTTCTGATTCAATCGTGATTTTAGCTGCCTCAACTGTTTTAGGATAAGAAAATTCGAGCCTTTAAGGTTCTGTAATGGGAGGAACAACAATTTATATGAAAGTAAGAAAAAAAAATATTCCACTAGGTTCAAGGATTAGATCAGACTGCTAGCAATAATGCAGTATATATTGGTAAATACCCATGCATAATCTCCGATAAGGGAGTAAATGGATTGTTTATGAACTGCAAAACAACAAAGCCTGATCCAGATGACAATAACTTATCTAGCTTATAAATAGTTGTTAAGGTATTGGATAAACCAGACTCAATATGTGCTTCAAAATGCCTTTATACTTACTCTTAATACTATACACCAAAATTATTTTATGTGACTCCAAGATCAAATTATCCAAGAACATTAAGTTATTGGAGAGCCCAGTGGGCAGTATCTAGCTCAGTTGTTTAATTACTAGAGGGACAATTCATGGGAGCTAACAGATGTGACAGATTCACAGTTCAAGATCAGTATCCAGATGAGATCAATTTCTGGGATGATCAAGTTGTATGCTAAGTTTCAGCTGAAATCAAAGCTGGTTACTATGATTATACTATTAAATCATAAAGTGGATATCAAACTAATGACGTAGGAGTTAAATAAAAAAGAGTTTAATCTGACAGAACATACGACTCAAAGTATTTATATAATTAATATTTTTCAGAGTTCTTCCAATTATTACAGAGATTAATACAAATTTCGCATCACCAGAAGGATAAATTATCGAAATATCTGGATATGGATTTAGTCCAATTCCATCTGAGAACACAGTTAAAATTTCAGGCTAATCTGAAACTATTTAAGTGTTATCATCAACTCCAACTACAATCAAAGCCAAAATACCAAAACTAACTAATTTACCAGCTCTTGCTGATGCTACTGAGAGTTCTGTTTTCATCTAAGGAAGTGGATTACATTATACCAGATGGGATGTTTCTGGATTAAATTTGAATTGTGCTTCATTTAGAACATAAATCATTACTAACAAAGCTTAATTAAACAGTAGAATTTAATTTGATGGTATTTATCCAGAACCTGATGTCTAAAATTAATTTGGAGAATATTATGGATAATACTTTAGAGGTTTCTTAAAAGCACCATTTACTGGAAATTATAGATTCTATGTTGCTTCAGATGACTGTGCTTAATTCTTTATTTAAACAACTTAAGTTAAATAACCAATTAGACCAGATACAGCAACAGCTGCAAGTGGATGGAATCCTTATAGAAACTATTGGTATGAATATTTGACTTATTCCTATAACATCAAATCTATATCTGAAACTGTTGCTTTATAATAAGGAGAATTTTATTATATTGAAGCTTATCATCTTAATGGAGGATCAACTGGATATCTTACACTTTCTATGGAAGTTGAGAGTGCCACTAGAAAATCGAACTCATTAAATAGTGTCTATTAAATTTCAACATCTTACACACCAGTTAAAGAAGTGATTGAAATCACTTTATATAATTCTGTTGGAAATACTTTATTAGCAGGTAAGTATTAACTTTAATTCACTTATGGTACTAAGACTAAACCACAAACTACTTTATATTACTCATACACTACTGGAGATATTGTACCAAATGCCAATGCAAATGCTATTAAAAATGCAATCTAAAATTGTGGAGCAGGTTATTTAGTAACTGTTATAGCTACTAAGTTAGATAATACTGGAGCTGCTTTAGATGATGCTGCCACAACATTTGCTGGATATAAATATACAATTACATTTGATTCTCATAGAGGTTCTACTAATTATAGAGCACTTCCAACGTTTGTATCACCCTCTTTAAATGGAGGAACTCCTGTTAAAGATATTGTAAGAACTCAAGAACCACTTGATCCAATCAGTGGAACATTCTAATTAACAATGACTATTAATGGAATTGACAATTTATTCTAAGTGTCTGCTAATGTTTATGATTTACCTTTTGATGCATCAACATCATTAATTGCTGATAATGTTGAAAGAATTACTGGAGAAAGACCATTTGTTTGGACAGTTGGAAGAGCATAAGATGGATGGAAATGGTTCATTGTTTTAAGATCTAACGTCGATTAATTAACTGACTTTTCAGTTTCAACCCATGTTCTTGTTTCAGGAAATGGAGATGTAACTGCTGCTGTTACTAAACCCATACCAGATAGTACTAATTTATTATTTGAACCTATACCCAATGAAATTACTCTTTACTTATAGTTAACATCCTTAAGTTTAAGTTGAAGTTGAATATCAATAAAAAGTAAATAATGTTGTAGAAACAGAATAAATTTTAGCTGGTTGCGAATAATTTGACGCATGTGATTTCACTTTAAGTGATGAAAAGACACCAAAGCTTAACGGCTTACTCTGTAACCGGATCTCAATTATCATTAACTCTAGCACAAGGAGCTGGTTTATCAATAACTAAGACAGACTTAGATATTTCATTTGAAGGAGCTGATTGCACAAATATTCAATTCTCCACCTTCACATCACCTTACTCAATCACTTGTACTTTAGAATAATTGAATTCATAAAACATTAAGGAAGCTGGTGATAATTAAGTGCCAGCTGTACATCATAAAGCAATTGGTTTCTCTAAAATTGAAGCAGGAGTAACTGGAGAAAATATTGGTTTGGTTATATCTTCAATTTTACCAGCAACAGGATCACCAGATGGAGGCACAACTATTACTATTACTGGTACTGGATTCCCTAAAAATCTAAATAGAGATTTTACATTCTAAATTGATGGCTAAGATGTTCATCCATTATCAATTACTAATACCTAGATTATTTTTGTTACACCAAAGAAAGCAAGTGGGGGAACTGGAGCAATTTCCTTATCATTCAATGAAAAAACAGTCACTAGTAGCTTATTTTCATACGATGATGCTTTAAGAATCTAAGTGTAATCCTTAGAATTCAATTCAAAAACTCCAGTATTCAAAGGTGAAATGACAATCACAGGAACCAATTTCGGAACTGTTGTTGATGATATCAAAGTTACCTTAGTTGGATCTAAATCTTATAATGCTAAAGTTATTTCTGTAACAGATACTTCAATTCAAGTATATTTAAGAGGAGGAATGCCTGGTGACTATAGAGTTACTATTACTAGAAAAAATTATGGTAATTCATATGCCAATTCGAATGATAACTTATTTAAATACATCATTCCAGTCACTAGTGTTACCTTGGAAGATGGTACTAGCTAAGCAAAAGGATCAGAGGCAGGAGGAACAGTTATTAAAATAACAGGATCCAACTTTGTTTTGGGAGAAACCATTGTATTTGTTGGTCAGGCTATTAATTGGTTCTGTGAAATTGATGAAACTAGATTTACATCTGAAGTCATTTATTGCACCGTTCCACCAAAATTTGAATACTATAACTAATAAGCTTAGTTAGTTGTTGTAACAGTACAAGTAACTCTTGAATCAACATGTCTTGATACCACAAATAATTGCTTATTTACTTATGATAATACATTAACTCCAACAATTGAAAACTATCCAGCATCCAGCACTTAATACACAGGATCAAGAATTTTGACAGAGTCTGATCATTAAAAACCAGATTATTAAAAATTAGTCTAGAGAAAGAGATTTTTATGGACAGAGGAATCAAAGAAATAAGGCCACAATCATATTTTGAACCTTGGTAAATCACCAAGAAGAGATATGTTATCATCTGCTGATTTAGTTTTAAGTTAATAAAAGACCTATGCCCCAGGAGATACAGAAACATTATCTGGAACAGGATTAACAGATACAGTTTTTATTGTTTTCAAAGGTCCAGTTACCTAAAAAGTAACTGCAACAATTTCTGGATCATCATTCACTTACACAATTCCAAATTTACCTTAAGGATAATTTAAAACTTATGTTTTAACTAAGAATGGTTATGCAGATAAGATTTGGGTTACTGTAATTGGACTAAAAATCACATCTATTGATACTGCTGTTATTGGTGGATAAGTATTGACAATTAACGGAGTTGGATTTAATGCGGATTAATCTGCAAGTGTAAAAGTAGGAACAACAGACTGTACTGAACTATAAGTAGTCTCAACTGTTTAAATTAAATGTAGACTGGCTAGACAATCAGCCACATCTGCAGCAGTGACACTCTCACAATTACCTTCTGAAAATAATTCAGCAGTTCCTATTACAGCAACATTTACTTTGACTATAAGCCCATCTACTAGCTCTCCATTATTCACAGCAATTACTGGTGCCTCCTATGACTCTACCCAAAAGGCTTACTTAGCTACAGCAGGAAATGTTGTTCTTGTATTTGCTGGTAGCAGACTTACTGGCACTACAATTGTAGTCACATTAGAACATATGGGTCATAAGATAGCTGGAACATCTTCAGCTTTATCTGATACCTCAGTAACAACTACCTTTTCAAATTTAGCTGCAGGAGTTTATTCAATTAATTTGTTAGTTGATAATAAATATGCATACATCAGTGATGTTACTAAATAAAAATTAATTGTTAGTGCTGCTGCACCAACTTCTACTAATCCATAAGTATCCTATGCTGGTGGTGCTACTGTTACATTTACAGGAACTGGTTTCGATACAGTAAATGAATAAAATTCAGTCAAACTGTGTGGATTTGATTGCCCAATTACAAGTGCAACATACACAACACTATCATGTGAAACTCCAAAATTATTGACATCTTCAGTTTTAAGTTAATATACTGCTTTATCAGAACCTGCAAGATATATTAAACCATCAGAAGTCACATTATTAGCTGATTCAACAACCTCAGTTTCTAAATTCTTTGATTTACTCTAATCAACTTATTATACTTCTAGTGCTGCTTCAAATTGTTATGTCTAAGTTGACTTTGGATCAAGTAGAGTTTTGAAATTACATTAATTAAGATACATGCCAAGAATTGACAAATAAGCAATTTTATTGAAAGATGCAGTATTCTAATATACAACTGATGGCACTAATTGGTAGACTTTGTTAACTGTTGATTAAACAGTGCATACAGGTTGGAACATTTATGTTCCTTAAACTGATATCTCAGGAATCAAAGCAGTCAGATTGTTTGATTCAAGAGGATCAACTGGATCATCATGCTAATTAGCTGAAATTGAATTGAAAGGTTGGATATTGTCAAATAGTAATAATGCATATTCAGTTCCAACTTCATGTAATGCAGAAATCTCAGTAAATGGATAATCTCTTGGTACAGTATCAAATGCTGTTAGTTACTCCTCATCTAGTGTTCCTATTGTTAATGCTGTCAGTCCAGCTACAGGCAGATTTACAGAAGAAGCAGTTATTACAATTACTGGTACTGGATTTGTAAATGGATAAACTACAGTAACTATAGATGGAGTCACATGTGCAATTTAGAGTGTTTCAACAACCTAAATTGTCTGTAAAACTGGAGTCAAAGATCTAGAATAAACTCAATTAAATGGAGTATTTTAAGTTAGAGTTAATGGAAATTTAGCAGTTAATAACAAATAATTCATTTATGCAACCAAATGGTCAGATATCAATACTTGGGGGTGGATATGAATATCCAGGAGATGGAGATTCAGTTATTGTTAATGCTGGATAAACTTTGATTGTTGATGTTAAAACTCCTAAGATGATGCAAGTCTTAGTTGAAGGAACACTTACATTCTCTGATGAAGTAGATACATCTTTGGATGCTCATTTTATTGTTATTAGAGAAGGAAAATTCAATATAGGAACAGAATTAGTGGCTCATTAACACAATGTATAGATTACCCTATATGGAGTTGAAGAAGATACTTAAATGCCTGCTATGGGTAACAAAGTTTTGGGATGCCATCAATGTTAATTAACTATTCATGGTAAAGAAAGAACTCCAACTTGGACATTATTATCAAGTACAGCATCAGTTGGAGCAACTCAAATTACAGTAGATGATGCAGTAGACTGGTAAGTTGGAGAATAAATTGTTATTACTTCCAGTGAAGTTGAACACATGCAAAGTGAAAAAAGATACATTACAGCAGTTAGTGCTGATAAAAAGACTTTAACTCTTGATTAACCACTTACTTATCAACATTATTCAGATGTTGAAACTTTTGAAACCGATTCATTCCCTATGAAAGTTGAAGTTGGTTTATTGACTAGAAATATTGTTATTCAAGGTGAATAATCAGAATTGAAATATGGTTATCATTTGATGATTCATGGAAGAGCTGAGAAAGGAGCCGTTGGTAAAATATCATATGCAGAATTCAGATATGGTGGTTAACCAAGAATTATTGGTAGATATCCAGTTCATTTCCACTTGAATGGAGAAGTAGATGAATCATATGTTGTTGGTAATGCTATTCATGATTGTTATGCTCGTTGTTTGACTATTCATGGTGTTCATTATTTGAAAGTTTAGAAGAATGTATGCTATAATACTTTTGGACATGCCATATTCTTTGAAGATGGTATTGAAACAAACAATGTCGTTGAAGATAATCTTGTTGCAAGCACCAAATAAAGTTGGATCATGTTATAAACTGATATTACAGTGGCTACTTTTTGGGTTACAAATCCATAGAATATTGTAAGAAGAAATAGATCAGGAGGTTCAGAATGGTATGGATTTTGGTATGAAATTAAAACCAATCCAGATGGTCCATCAGCTACTTCAGATATTTGTCCTCCAGGATTAAATATACTTGAGTTTAAGGACAATTTTTCACATTCAAATGGTAGATTTGGTCTTCGTATCTTCTAATTGGCCCCAAGAAAGTTCCCTTGTAACGATCCAGCTAATTGGTCAAATGATTAGCCATACTTAGATAACCCAAGTATTTAAGCAGTTTTCGAAAAATTCTATACATGGAAAAATAATGAATGTGGTGTTTTAGGAGAAGAATTGGGTAACATCTACTTCAAGGACATTATGATTGCTGATTCCAAATTTGCAGGTTTCTAGGCTCATAAAGGTAACTTCTCAACTGAAGGAGCAGTCTTGGATAATGCAGTAATCATTGGTAAATCAAATCATAATGCAAATCCAGATGATACTTACTATGATGGATCAAGAGCAATGGTAGTTCCAAGAACAAATGGATTTTTAGCTAAAAATATCAGAATTTATAATTATGGAAGTAATACCTGCTTTAATTGAATCATGCTCTGTATGTTGGAATATGAAATTATGGGTATAGGGAGGTAAGAATACCTAATTCTTTAATGTCAAAGCATATCATTCTGATACAGCTAATCGTATCTTTTGGTAGAAACATAGAAGAGAAATCTTCTGGGATTAAGATGGTTCAATTTCAGGAGTGTCAGGAGGTGCCTATATTATCCCATATAAGAAGCATATTGATGGAATTCCAGGATGTGTTAACCATCCAGAAGATTTTTGGGATAATTCTATCATTTGTGCTATGAATTAAGTCACAATAAGAGATGTTTTGGTTAATAATCCTACCCCAGATTAAGATTTCTCAGGAGTTGATATGAAATTATATAGATTGGACAGTACTAATATTGCACTCAAAATGGATGCTAATATTGACGAGAGCAAATACATAGAAGGAGAAACAATGAAAATTATAAAGAAGAGTAAAGACGTTAAATTCTCTTTTGCAAGTGTATTTGCAACTGGTTTCACTTATAATGTCCATTTCAAATTTGGAGCAAGTGATCCATTAAGCATGGGTATCTTTGGATCTCCATACTTCAATTAAAATGATGATGCTGTTATTCTTAGATTTAACTACTCTGCCAATAGGGAAACATTTGATATCATGAGAAACATTGGAGGATAATTCCCAGTAAATTACACAAAATTGGAATAGATTCCAAATACTAAGACTTGTAATTAAGGTGATTGGTTTAATGATAGAACAAACAAATTGTTCTTCCTTTGTTTGTCTGGTAAGAATAAGAAGTAATATGAATATGTTGAAGTCAGAGGAGTTATTTGCAGAGAAGAATGCGATAGTTTAGGAGATGTACCATAAGAAGATGGATATAGATATTGGAGTGATCCTGCTACTTGGATAGATAATAAAGTACCAGTTGAAGGAGATAGTCCCATTGTATAAGGAGCATATCAAGTTATCTTGGATGTAGATCCTCCTAAACTTGTTAATTTAACTATTTTGGGATCTTTAATTTTTGATGAGAGAAGAGCATCAACTAAATTGGAAGCAGAGAGAATCTGGGTTAGATCAGGAAAATTATTGGCTGGTAATTCAACTAATCCATTCCCTGGAAAGATTAACATTGTATTGAATGGAGAATTTGGAGATAATCCATTAGTAATTGATGCTAATCTAGATGTTGGTAATAAAGTACTTGCTGTCACAAGAGCTATGGAATTATACTCAAAGCCACCTGGAACAGTATGGACTAGATTAGCTGCATATGCTGATGCTGGTGCAACCACTATTACTGTAGCTGAATGTGCTGATTGGGCTGTTGGTGATGAAATAGTATTTGGTCCATCAGGTAGTGACCCTGAATAAAGAGAAAAGAGATCAATAGCAGCCATTTCTGGATGTGTTATAACATTAAATCAAGCCCTTGAATTTGATCACTATGGAGCTCCATCAGTAACTATTGATAAACCTGGAATTGGACAATTAGATATGAGAGCAGTTGTTGGACATTTAACTAGAAAGATTAAGATTGAAGGAGGACCTAGTGTTCATGGTTTAGGATGTAGAGTCTTGATTTATCAATTCGAAGAACCTGAAGCTAATTTAGGATTCCCAAGAAGAGGATACACTGTTTTACATGGTGTAGAATTTAACAATTGTGGTCAATATGATACATAAAGAAGTGGGTTAGATTTTAGAAATCTTAATAGTGAGATCATTAAGACTCCAAGTGAAGTTATTGGTTGCTCATTCCATGATACTACAGGTATGTTGATGACAATCTAAAATTCTTAATACATTACAATCAAGAATAACATATTCTTTACTGGTATCAAGGCTTTGGTTTAGATTAATAACAGTTAATATGTGAAATTCTAAAATAATGCATTGATCTATGTTAAAAAGAGAATATTAAACGAAGGTGGCCTTGCTAATTGGGCAGTATTTGGTAACTTTGTTTACATGGATGAATTATCACCAACTTAAATGACAAGAGATATTGTTGATGTATCTGGAAATGTCGGATAAGGATCATAAGATACAGGTTTCTTCGTGATGGCAAGTAAATGTTCAGATGCATATTAATCATCCTTCTATAATAATCATTGTTCAGGAACAATACTAGCTTGCTTTGGTGTCAGATAAGACCCAGAAGGAAAGTGCACATACATATAAGGATTATACGCTCATCACAGTGAAGTTGGTATTATGTATGCAGTTGTCAGTGAATAGATTTAACTTGAGAAATCAATTGTGGTGGAGAATGACAGAGGAATAGCTTTGAAGCCTGCTCCTAACAGCATATAAGAGAATAAGATGAAGCTAAATAATATATTCATTTCAGCCTTGGCTAGACCCGATTGTGTCAAATGCTATTCAGCTTCTCTTAATCCTAACTGCTAGGGAAGTATGGGTATTCAAATGGGTTCTCTATCTTCATCAGCTTTCCCTCCTATTTCAGGTAAACCATCTTCAGCATTTGATACAATTTGTACAGTCTAAAGAGTTGATCTCAAGGTTTACTTAACAAATGTTGAATTCCATAACTTTAGATTAACCTATGATAACATCCCAAGATGCTAGAATAATGCTGCATTCAGATAACACCATGCTGCACATGATATGACAGGACAACATTACTTAGTAAACTCTCCATGCACTAATTGTGAATTTAATGCTCTATTGTACAAATCTAGAAATCCAGATGCAGGTAAATTAGGATGGTTTGGAGGGTGTGGATCATTTTTATGCACAGGATAAATCAACTTTTTGATAGAAGATTAAACTGGCCACTTCTTTGGATAAATCGGACAAGGTATTGGTAATAACACATACTTTGGACCAAATGTCACTTATTGTTCAAGACAAGAATCTTGGAATGGATATTGGTGTCCAGGCAGATAGGCTACTATTTTGATGTTTATGAGTACTGCTGCAGACTATAACAAGAGATTGTATTCACCAATCAAATTGACCGACGGATTGTTCTTTAATGAAATTAACAGTTTTGCAGAGTGGAATTGGGATGGTCCTGAACCATTAAACTTGAGGGAATCCAAATTTGTCAGTTTAGTGTCAGTGAATACAGTGATCAATATGACAAATGCTGGTATGAACCCAACCACTTCTGAGTATTGGTTATCAAAGAGATCAGAGGCAGGTAGTCCAGAAGATTGGGTCATCTTGAAATGGCAATTCTCTGTTCCATAAATTATCTAAGTCATGGTCAATAATAAAGTTGTGTAACCTGGACTTACAACTAATAATAAGCATCATGATCTCATGACAATGACTAATCAATGTGGAGCCAATAATTACTTCTTTGAAAATAGAACTATTCATTTTGTGTTGACAGGCAAATTGGATTGCAAGATTAGAATAGCATTGAAGAATACTCTTTAAGTTTCAACAAGACTTGAAATAACAACATCAGAATTCTTTGGAGATAAGTTCCTATAATATGCAAGAGCACAATTGGGAGGAGATCCTTACAACTATTTCATCATTGGAACCAAGAAATACAGAAGAAGATTTTTAGACGAATCCACAACTTCATCGGTTGTTATTGATTGGGGTATTGCAGATTCTGCTGATATTGGTACTACTGATGGCAAATAATCCTAATCAAGACTTGCTGAAATGGCTAGCAAATTAGAATCCTTGGGAGTTTCAGAAGAGTTGTAACAATTAGGAGTTGTTGGTCTCAAACATGAATCCTCTAGTATTTCTTCAATTTCAGAACTTAATTTCAAGAGCACTGAATAAACATCAGGTAATATTATAATTCATATCTTTTAGAAATCATTTTAGTTCCAGGAGGCAATACAAACAATAACAATGGATAAGGAAGCAATAGTGGTAATAACAATAACAATAACAATAATGGCAATAATAACAATAACAATAACAATGGTAATGGTAACTCCTCAAATAATGACGATGATATTGTACTAGTTACTGACGAAGGAGTAAATCAACAAGATACCTCAAATAATGGAAATAACAATTCTACCAATCCAGGAACTATCTAGAAATCTATCAAGAGATCTGAAAATAGTTCTGCAACAGTCACCATCGTTGTAGCTGTTGTTTGTTCTGTTGTCGGAGTTTCATTGATAATTGCCGCCCTCCTTTATTATAAGAAACTTAAATTGGCTAAGCTTATGGCTGCTAGAAATCAAAAAGTAGACAACGAGTTCTTTAAAGCAAACATTACAGATTAATAACCCATCGAGGCCCCACAAGATTGATTAAATTTAGAGAATAAAATATTAATATAATTTCATAATTTTTATTTTATAAGGATTATACTTCAATCCACTTTCTTAAGAGTATAAAAAAATAATGCAAATTCTATACAAGCACATCGTTTATTCATTTATATAATGTTATTTTTGTGAAATTTGATTAAGAAAAATATATAAAATATTGAATAATTATTATCTCAGATGAATCTTAAAGAAATCTTACTTAAAATGCTAAGCTCTTGAAATATCTAATAATTTGCAAATGAGAATGAAATTTAATTGAAAAGATGATTGTCATATTTGAATGATGGTTTTATAATAAATTACAAAATATATTAAATAAAAAAAATTCTAATAAATTATGTTGATTTTTTCACTTTATATTTTGATCTCAACTCAGAAAGATAAAGATCTTTAATTTTTTAAATATATATCAACTTTTAGAATTAAAATAAACACTATTTGAGTATCTTAATAATTCATCAAATCCTAATTAAAATAAAACATGATATAAGTTAATTTTCAACCTTCAACTGTTGGTCTATTTTTTCCATGCACAAAATCTTGCTAGCTGTCATTCAATTGAATGTCTTGTGATAAATCTGTGTTTTAATTATGCTTCAATCGTTGTAGATATTAAGATTCTTACTCTGACTCACTTTTTCTTTTTTCTTTATTCAATTCTACCCATGGATATATATTTTAAATTTAGATTCTATTAAATTCATTTCGACAGAACGGACAATTTCGCTACTTCTGCAACCAAGAACTTAGACATTAAAAATGAAATATATGAAAACATGGAGTAACCGAACAAAGCTTCATTTCTAAGCTAATGCCATTTTTTAAAGTTTCTAGACAAATCACACAATCTTCAAATTATGAAAGCCCAGGATAAGATTTCATTACCTCTTAAACATTAATGGGATCAAAATAATCCTTAATAAACTGCTTAGTAAAACCTTAATAGAATTATCTAATACCTGAAGGAGATTTAAATGCAATTTATTATATCTCTAAATTCTATTCAATATTTTCTTCATGTTATGCATTTTAATTCATTCTTTAGTTATTGAAAATACTTAAAAAAAAAGACAATAATAAAAGGACTCCAACAACCGATCCCACTATAATAAGGATCAATTTATTTCTTTAAACTTCATCATCATCATCTGACGAAGTTGTTACAACACTTAAATTAAATTTAACTTGAATGCTATTGTTATTGTATAATCCTATATATAATATAGTTTCGGTAGTTTCTTCACTAATTAAATCTTATAGGGTATCAGATAATGATGAACAATTAGTTAAAAAGTAACTAAATTTTCTATTCGGAATCGAGATCCACGGATGTTGTCTTAAAGTTAAACTATATACTTTATTAATAAAACTATTTTTACTTATATTTTGGTCACTCTAATCAAGGTTGGACTGAAGTTCAATATTAGTATTTCTTATTTAATAATAGAAATATTTCCATTGATATGAATCTAAGTTTACTCGGACCCAATTACTATTTATTAAATATGATGAATCAAGTTAACAAAATTCTCCTAATTTATCTAGTGAACATTCACAATAATTATTTAAACAATAGGAACTATTTCCATTCCGTGTATCATTATAACCCTTACAATTATTTATGCAAAATGGATTCAAATAATCTTCTAGGTATGTTAATTCATAATCAATAATGATATTCTAATCGGATTAGCAAAGTAAATAAATCATCGAATAGTAAGGATATTGAACTAATTATGTGTCACTATTTGATTATATGCTGTGAACATCGTAATCTATATTAGAATTGACTTTTAACTAAAGTTAATCTAATTCAAAGGTATATAGTGTTAAATTTTCGAATGATACAAAGCAACCAACAATTTATTAATTTTATCTAGCTATTGGCAAAAAAAACTTAATTATAATACTAGGAGCTTAATCAGTAAAATTTAACGCTAAGTTTAAAGTAGTATTTGTTTGCAAACTTCCTTTATGATGAAATGCATTACAAATGACGAATAGTATTAGTAAATACATATTAAATAATTATTATTAAAAACATCTCATTAATTAAGTTCATTTTAGAAATATAGTTTCCTTAGCTTCTTATGATAATTACAATTCAGTTTTATATCAATTAAGAAAAGTATTCAGAGAATTTGAGTAACAAAATTTAAATTAAATGTTTATTTTAGGTATAAAGTGGTTGTTTTAATAATTAAATGTTTAACGTGAATTTTTAGGATAATTATATCATATAAACTAATCATTTTTTGCTATGGACTGAAATAGAGATTTAAATTTAATCATTCCCCAATTGTTTCCATCATTTTTGTTTGGGAATTCCTAATTGATGTAAAATTGATACTGATGGTTTTGTATAAAATTTAAAAGCAGAATCTTTAGTGTTTTTTGGAGTTTTGCGTTGATATGTTTTTTTTTTTTATTTTTCTTTTTTTTTCTTTTCTTCTTCTGGTTAATAAGGCAGCTTATTCTCTCTTAACTAAATCTGAAATTATAGGAACTCTGATATTTAAGACATTCTTTATGTAAAAATTAATAAAATTAATATTTTAAGTTTCATTAATAATTCATGAATATACAATTTGTTTATCTCCTAAACCTAGTTTTTTAATTCATTATCAAAAGAATCAACTTTAACAAGAGATGTTATGGAGTTGATAATTCTTATGGATTAATCATCACAAAATTAATAATTTCTGACATAATTATATATTGTTTCATAATTTAAATAGAGGATGTATTTATACAAATGTTGAAAATTACATGTAAAATTTATTTATGCATAAAATGACTCAAAGATTTATAATAGAAATACCAGAACATGAATACATGGATGGAAAGGTGTTCTATTTGATAAGAACAACAAATATTGAAAACAATTGTACAAAAGAAGTGAGAAAGAGATATTCAGAATTAGAGCTGATTCATTTGAGAATACTAGATTGGATTAATATTTTCAAAATACAAATCCCCTTACTCTAATTTCCTAAAAAAAAAATTCTATTCTCCACCAACATATCAGAGGAAAGCGTAATCAAAAGGGTATTTAAAATTTGCTATTTTAGAGATTGGAATTATAAATATACTTAAATGAGATATTCTAACATCAGGATCTCTATGGACTTGGAGCTCTTTAAGAATTTTTACCTATAGTTAAGAATCCAAATATATAGGAATCAAAAAATGCGAAATCTAATATAAATTGGTAGGAAATTGAAGAGCTAAAAAAATCATATTTAGCCAAACATGAAAGTGAAGTCATTTCTTTGACTTAGTCAAAATTATTCAATTAAAACAAGTAATGATAATATTTAAATTGTAGATAATAATATACGTTTAAATTTGAAGATCACAAAATTCAAGATCATTCTGCAATCTATATGATATCAATTAATGATCAATTAACAGGCAAGAACTGGAAATTTAGTTAAAGATATAAAGATTTAAGAGAATATCATCATTAGTTAAAGAAGCTGAAATTACAGTTTGAACTACCGGAATTTCCTGAGAAGAAATTCATAAAATTAGACGATGATTCTGATTTATCTGATAGAAAGAGAGATTTGGAGAATTATTTAAATTAAATTTTTAAGTATAACATTTTTCAATATTTAGATATCCAGAATTAGTTTAAAGTGATGTTATGGTGTTCTTTATTGCCAAAAGTTAATTATATTGCAATGAAATTGGATGCAGATCTAATGACTAAGCAAAAAATACATTATAATTTTCAAGAATCAAAAGTAAATCCAACATAACATCTCCGAATGTTGAATAAGAATCGAAAGTTCCTCGAAAAATAACCTGTTGAATACTTAAACTTATTTGTATATAACTTTTATACTTTATTTATCTAATAATTACACTTTTTTTTCACTTAATAATTAAGATTAACTTTCATAAATTCATAATTATAATTAAAATAATTTGTTTATGAGAAGAACAATGGAAGTGGAAGAATAAAATTTTGAAGCTGAAGAATGGGGGATTGCCCAGTAAATGCAAAGAATCCTGGGAGAAATTCACTACCTTATGTAGGAGCAAATTCTAGCCATTGAATATTATTCAAGCTAGCGCAAAATTTATTATCAAGTCAAAGATAATTTAGAAAAGAAAGAAGATAGCATAAATACAAGACTGGAAAATTATAAATAACTTCACCAATAATATATTGGAGTGAAATAAATTTATCATTAAATATTGCTCTTTACTAAAGATAAAAAAATGCTTAACTAGAGAATCTAAAAAGTAGGATATAAAGAGTAGCATTTTTCATTAGATAATCCATAAAATTATGAAATTGAGGAAGTGAAAGATCCCAAATATTTAAAGGATAAAGAAAATTAGATAATATATTTAAGGAGAATTGATTACAAATGGTTTTTTATTCGCATAATCAAGAATTATGAATTTACCAAATACTTGAACGCAACTAACATCTTGGATATTGAAGCATTTTTATGTGATGGATCTTAGAAAATGGAAAAGTAGGATCATTAACATGAACTTGAAATTATGAAATCAGTCAATTTATGGTTTAAATAATTGATATTTAATGTCTAAAATAGAAAGGTATACAAAAAATCATTAACAGAAATAATTCAATATATTGAAGAAACCATTAAGATATTGTTTAAAGGACTTAAATGTTCGTCTTGTAACTAAGTATTCATTTAGACCGAAGAAGGTAAATTTGTTCAGCCTTGTGTAAAATTAAATGAGACCGATAATTTGCATCATTATTCTTGTTTATTTAATTGATTTATAATTATTATATCACAATTTCACAACATTTCTGTATTTATTATTCATCAGATTGTTTAACTTTATTATTATAATTATTTATAAAATTAGAATTTCATTCGGATTTTGAAATATGTTAGATTTTAAATACAGTATTAATTGTTTATATAGATGATATACGTCTATAGAGATGATAAATAATATGAAGAATAATATTATTTAAATATTATATTTATAATTTATTTTTGTATTGTAAAAATGCATTTCATTATCGAAGCCAAGGATGAAAGAACATGATTTGAGAAGATGGCCTCTCAAGTGGATCCCATTTTAGCGCAAAGAGAATAAAATCTTCTAACTTCTGCGCTTCATTTTTGTCAAAATTGTATTCTTTAATTAATGTACTACTTAGATTGACCTTTTGCAATTCCTTTTCTTAATTATACAAATACTTTGATTCTTTTTAAATTCCCATCAGATTCAAAATATAACGAACTTCTTTAGCCTTTATTCAAGAAACTTTAAGAAGGAATTCCAATCAACTCTATCATCATAGCTAAGAGATCATCCATTTCTTCTTCTTCAGTGTCTCCTTCTGGTTGAAATAAGTAATTGTTTGTCAAGATTTCAAAAATTACACATGCTAATGACCAAATATCTGTATTTGTTTAATATTTAGCTTAAATAATAGATTCAGGAGATTTATATTCCTTAGTTTGAATTTCCTCAAATTATTAATTAGTTTGACAAGCATTTCCAAAATCAACTAATTTAAATTTAAGGTCAGTGTTTACATTAATTATCACATTCTCATTCCATACAAAAGTATCGCCAACATTTATATTATTCAATTTAACTCTCTAAATATTTTCTCTTATTACTTTTTTATCTACTCTTCAGACTCATTTTCATTAATTAACTACTTTAATTATTGTTCATTTAACTCAATCATGATGTTTTCTGGTTTTATGTCAGTGTGAATAATTTAGCATGCATCATGAGAATAAATCAATCCAATCAATATTTATTTGGTTATCTCCTTCCCTAATTAGATGCTTATGCTAGAATGCTAATCATAAGAATGTCTAATACTTTCTTTTCGTAAAATCTGATTAAATCCAATAGAGTTGGTCCCAATATTTCCATCACTACACAATAATACAGGGTTTCATCAGCAACATGAACAAAAGAATCAATCATTTTTACACAATGCGTTGATGGTTAATTCCCAATGAAATTCTTTTAAATGTTAATCCATTAAGGTGAATTTTCATTTTAATTCAAAATTCTAAATCAGAATCAAAAATACTTTAAAATTTCTATTTCTTCCATGGCTGCATCGGAATATTATGAACTTTATATCTTGAGAGCATAATGAACCGAACTTAATAAATCTTTCGCTAACCACACCTTTGAGAATGTTCCATCTCCTAACCATTTGATTATTTAATATTAATTGTTTTTCAGTTTCTCCCCTATTTTAGCTTCATACTAGCCTTCATTAATGCTATATTGATATGAGGATGAATCAGTCATAAAAATCCAATTATGATTAATATTAATAATGTTAAAATTATAATTATTTGGTTGATTTTTTGTGAATTATGAAATATCTAATAGGATTATAGATATTTGATATTAATATTAATTCAAAAAAATGTGAAATACAAACTCATTTTAGTAATGCAATACTCACTTTTAACATTAATATAGAGTGCTTTATGCAAAGGATGAATTCACGTCATCAGGTTATTCTTGGATTTCTAAAGGAATGTTAAGTAGAATATTTTACCACTCATATTTAGATTCGGATGTTGTTCAGCATATTATGAGGCTTCCTTTAGTTGTAATTGCATAGATGAAAAGAGCTATTAAAGATCATTTCTTCCAGAAGTCATTGTGAAATCAGTAAAGCATTTAGGTTGGCTGCCTTAGAGTTATGACTGTGATTATGATTGAGTCATATTAATTTATTTTGGATTGAAAGGTTATTTCTTTTGGATTTATTGAATTTAAAGTGGTTGTCTTGGCTGTGAAATAATAATATGTGATTGTGTTTATTAGATTATGGGTTGGGTGGGTCTCTTTTAATCAAATGGTAATTGTTAAACTTGTTGCTTTGGTATTTATTTTAATTTCTCATGTGAGATTTGCCTTCTTTTCTTGCTATATTAAAATATTTACATTTTCGAAATCTGATTAAGTCACTATAAGTTCGATCTAATTCTTCCATGTAAATTATTTATCATTTTGCCCAGGACTTGTTAGGGTACCTGGCTTTTCAATTGATTTTTAAATTACTTTTTTCTCTCCTGTTTAGATTTGACTAGGCACTATGGAACTTTTTATTGAAATTTGCGATGACGTAGTCTATTTAGGCATTATAAGTTTCTTATCGAATTGCAATGGAGGTTTGTTAGCTTTTGGTGGACTCACCTTTGAAATTGATAATAAAATATTCTTACTACTCCTTATAATTGAGATTAAGTAACTGATGGGGTTAATTGTTATTTCTGTTAACTATTGCTTGATTTGATTATACGATGCTGTTGATTTACGTTTTCTGAGGGAGGTATAATACTTCTTAACTTCCCAGAATAAACTGGTTTTCTGGGAGGTAACGGAGAAGTTATTGTTGATAGAGGTTAACCTGATCCAGGTCTCTTCTTTTCTTGCTATTCAAGTGCATTTTTATAGTAATCAGCATCAAATTTTAATTTTGAACCTGACAATTATCTTTTCCCTAATGACATTATTTATTTTTAATTATCAAAATAAATGCAGAATAAGTAAGTGAGACTCCAAGACTTCGAGATACTCTAAACTCTAGGTACTGGTTCGTTTGGCAGAGTAAGATTAGCAAAGTAGAAATCAAATTCAAAGCATGTCGCTTTAAAGATGTTAAAGAAATGTGAAATTCTTCGATTAAAATAGGTTGATCATATCAATTCTGAATTTAAAATACTTCATTAGATTTAACATCCTTTTATAGTACTTCTAAAATTAATTATTTAGATTGAATTGTTAGGTTACACTTAAGATGAAAGATATTTATATTTTGTTCTAGAGTATATTCAAGGTGGAGAGTTATTCACTTATTTAAGGAATGCAGGCACAATAGAAAATGATGAAGCATAGTAAAAATGGAATAATATCTAGATTTTACTCTGCTTAAATTGTATTAATGTTTGAGTATTTACATTCAAAGACTATTGTATACAGAGATCTAAAACCAGAAAATCTACTTATTTAATAAAATGGATATTTGAAGTTAACTGATTTCGGATTTGCTAAAGTTGTTGAAGATCATACATACACTCTATGTGGAACACCTGAGTATCTTGCTCCTGAAATTCTTCTCAATAAAGGACATGGCAGACCTGTTGATTGGTGGTGTTTAGGTATCATTATTTATGAAATGTTGGCTGGTAAATGCATTCATTTATAGATTTAGGGATTGATCCATTTAATGATGAAGATCCTATGGCTATTTATTAAAAAATATTAAAGGGAAAAGTTAAGTTTCCTAAAAATTTTGATAACGATGCTAAAGAATTAATTAAAAATCTTCTTGTTTCTGATGTTTCAAAAAGATTAGGAAATCTGAAAAACGGAGCCAATGATATTAAATAACATAAATGGTATTAAACACTGAATTGGGAAAGTTTAATAAAGAAATAAATTAGACCCAAGTACCTGCCATCAGTAAGGTAACTTTAACATTTTATTATCTCTAGAACTGATGATGACACTTCTAATTTTGCTGTTTATCCAGATAGTACTGAATTGCCAGATCCAATTAAATAAAATGACGATCCATTCAGAGATTGGTGAATTTATTAGTGAATATCACTTTGATTGTTTATGCTTTGCAACAACAGCAATTATTTTTTTAATATATCTTAAACCTTTGATAATATTATTCTTAAATTTATACTTGATGTCTCAATCTACTCAATCAAACTTGTTAGTAAAAAATAATAAAATATGAAAATTTTTAAGTCAATATTCTAAAATAAGAAGGAAGAAGCTAATCTGGAACTTAAAGGTGAATACTCTTCTATTTATGATGCCAATTCCTAAACTGTCAAGTTAGAAGACATCAAGGGTGTCATTTAAAATGAAAGAAAGCGGAAGCTGCTTTTCACCAGATAAACCACTTCTATACTCGAAGAATTGAAAGTCTTGTACACCATTCATATGATGCTAATTGCAGACTAAATTAATGATTTTGATTAAGTAACATAAGGCTTTCAGCAAGGAAAGGTACAGAATATACGCTAAAGAAGATAATTTTTGGAAAGTCTTAAGATCAGCGAAACCTAAAAACTTGTTAGGCTAATCACACTGTAACCCACTAAACTCAACAATAGCAATAAACAATTATGTATTTGAATTCTTCAGAAGTATTATCTAATATGATGTCTAGTTTCCCTCATAATTTGATGATTTTGAAAAAGAATTGACCAAACTTTATTATTCATATTTGCAAAGAGCTGTGAATAATTGTGATATTTATTACTCTTCCTAAAGAATGTAATATCCATACTAGGATGAATACAATAATAGAAGAGTACAATATTTGTGGTTATTCAAATTATTAAATTTACTCAATTTTAAATTGGCTATGATTCCATTCATTTAAAAGATTATTTCCAAATAATTAATAATATCTGTATGACTAATAAATTATAAGTAGAATATAGTGAAAGATATTACAATCCTAATTTATAAGGATTGCGTTAATGAGTATTTGTTTTTCAAGAAGGAATTAGAAGAATAACTAGAGTTTTATTCATAATTTAGTGTTAAAGATGGTAGTTTATGATTAATATTCCATAGCGATTAGTTTTTATGAGTTATTTACTCAATTGAAATTTGTTACAGATAGACTAAAATTGTTTCATAATTTAAGATAATTATTTATTAAGCACGAAAAAATTAGAGAATTTACTTGGTTTGTTTTAGATAAGCAATTAGAAAAAGATATAGAAACCTATATACAGAAAGCAAAACTAATTAATACAACATAATTCAAAAACAGCTTATAAGTTCCAAACTAAAAAGCCGCATATGAGCATCTTTCAAAATAATTACAATAGCCTAAACCTTAAAAAGTAACATAGCAACCTACTTTAAAAGGACATCTATTAAAAGCAAGTATTATCTCCAGAAAATCCAAAGAAAAAGTAGCCGTCCAAACAAAATAGTTAGAGACTTTATTACCAATATTGATAACAATTAGGATCTCAAATATTTTTATTTTTTATTACAAAACCACAAAAAGTATTATTATATATATTTAAGATGATTATTTTATTATAAATCATAATTTAAGGTTGCTTATCACATTAGTTTTCATTTTTTATAATTAAATATTGTTTTTGTCTATGTTATATTCAGATTAGAATGATTACAATTAGTTTAGCCAAGTAGTCGATATATCATTAAACAGTGTTGATTAAAGTTAAAGTCAGTATGAGAAATTCTAAGGCAATGCAGAGAACGACTTAGAGGAATAAAAGGATGTGATCTCTATTTAATCTATTAGAATTCCATTTAATAAAGTAGACTTTATTTAATAACCAATAATGGCGAAAAGGTTTCTTGAATGTTTATATTGATAGGATCATGCCGGCATACATTAAAAAGATAGATAATTCCTATGCGTTCTATATTTTTGATCTATTGCTAATGGAGGCAACAAAATTGGGATTATTTAATTAAAAATTCATTATTAACTCTGAAAGTAAAACACTTGTTGGAAAAATAAAAATAATTGATGGGGGAAAACTTTATGTTTTTTAAGATGGTGGAATGAGTCCAAAGAAATGTACAAATTAAGCATTTTACAGGAAATATTTAGGTAGTATTTGCAAATAAAATGAATTAAAAGTAATATTAAATTCATACTATAGTGTCACATTCCAAAAATAAATTAATAAAATAATTAAATTTATTCTTATTCTCCTGTCTATTTCAAGAAAAACAAAGAAATCATATAGTAAAATAATTAATTTTTCGAATTTTACAACATCTTTAAGTTTTCAAAATAAAATTTATGGTCAATTCTATACAAAAAAGAACTCACATCAGATCATTTCTTGATAAAAATACAAAAAATGGATGAAAACGCATTTGAAGTACTATATACAGCACCCATAAATCATTTGTAAGCGTTCTAGATTAGTATTTCTATAATACAAATTATTTCTTGATTATTTAATTTGCATAGAAAGTATTTAATATAAATTAAAAAATTTTGATTAAGATAGAATATGAATTGATGCCCCTACTATGTTTTATTGACACAAAATAGCATAGATGATAATAATCACAATACTATCGCATAAACCAGGGAATTTTAATTTTTGAGTATACTCAAATTAATTGAGACATACCAATTCTTGATTCATCCTATCACCTCATAATTGAATACATATGAATATTTAATAAAGGAAGCCACAAAAAAGTAATAATTTTAAATCCAAAACTGTAATTTAAGTTTAAGAATATGTTCAGATAGCTAATTCTGTAGTTGTTTGATTAATTCATAAAATGGGTCTGGATTGAACCTCGACCAAGTGACAGTTAATAATTTGCGTAAAGAATACGTAAAGATGAAAGTCTGAGATTATTTGAATTAAACGTCGGTTTTTTCATTAATTTTTGCAATATTATATAATTATAATAATAGGACAGATGAATAATAAAATAAATAAAAATTGCTAAGTCACTAAAAATGTAAAACAAACCTTGCGATTGGATTTGTTCTGAATGCAGAAACTTAAATTATTCATTTCGAAAAGTTTGCAACAGATGTCAATAATGCACAAGAGATGCACCTGGGACAAGATTTATTCCTAATAAAGTCGATTAAGGACTCTAAATCTTCTAAACTATCAAACTTCAAGAATAAGACTTAGGTGGAAGCAATCATAGTTCAGTAGAAAGCAATGATGATGAAGATGTTGTTTTTTCTTAAGCACTTTTTCTTGAGGATTTATCAAAAAAAACAGAAAACTTGAATAAATCGTTCTCTTTCTAAAAGAAATGCTCAATTTGTTCATCCTAGAATTATTTTTACTAATAAAAATGCGGCCAATGTGGGTTCTCTTAATTTATATGATAAAGTCATTTGAAAATTGATTTTGAGTCTATTTTTATATTGAAAATTATTTCAACTACTTCCATTCCAAACTCTTTCACAATATAGGTTTATTGCCTAAGAAACATAAAAATGTCTTTCAAAATTTATATAATATGTAAATAAACTGAAATGTTTTTTAATTTTATTAAAACTAATAAATAATGTCCTAAAGTCAGAATTTTTAATTTTCTCCTAATTAAGTGAATCAAATTGATCTTCTTGACTTCCAATCGAATAATATTCTAATAAACTTTGGGGGGACAGCATTGTTTCGTTTTAAGAAAGACAGTTTCCCAAATACATGACAACATAAATTTCATATATTAATTAAGGGATATTCGATGTTGCTAAGCCTTATCTAAATCGATTTACAACATTTGGAACATAAGGAAGTTTTCGAAGCAATAATTATTTTTTTGAATTAAGTTGACTTAGAAATTTTCAAAATACAGCATTTTCTAATATCCACCTTTAAGGATCTTTACATTAGACTACCTATAATAACATAATAAGGAGAAATATCTCAATATCTGATAAGGTTGCGGCTAATTCTTAATTATTTAGATAATATAATTTATTTTTAAATAATATATTAAAATGTTGTTGAGTTCTAATCTAAATAGGCATCTCATATTTTTGCTTGTAAATTAACTGTTAAAGTATTAAATAGGTTTTTATCTATTTTAATTATTTTTATTTAAGTATTTCTTAAAATAGTAACTAATATATTATAATTCTTTTGTGTGCTAAAATAAATACGAATAGATAGATGTTCTTTCTATAATGCAATAACTGAATTTAGTATAATAATGGAAAAGAATATTGATTAAAATTGAGGTATCATTCCCTTCATTAAATTGATCTTAAATTATTTATTACAAAAAGGTAATGAGCAAATACAGGTAAAGACTGCCTTAATTTTTCAAGTTAAAATTAATATTGAAATTTATCCCGCAAATTACTATGTTTGATGTCCATAAATTATTAGAAAGATTTTTTATCAATTATGTGCACAATTTTTAATAACTGTTAAGGGTGATTTAAAGAATTCAGATTAAGATCGCATAGATTGAATAATATTGGATGGGATGAATAGTTTTAAAGTGATTCTCTAATTTATTTGTAAGAAATCTTGCATTTATTAATAAGGGTAGTTACTAAATAATGATGCTGAATTAATCAGAACAAGAACGAAAATTTTATTAATAAAATATGATTTTGCCAATCAAATTTGATGATTATAAAGAATTTGATGTAAATCGTTAATTGCAAGATCAAGCAAGAGATTTCAGATTGGTGTAATAGGAGCTTCTTAAATAGTAACTCTATGACCAGTAGTTGGAAATGGAGAAGAGAAAGAGATCGATAACAACTCAAAAGTAGAAGGAAGAACTGTTATACTTGGAGAATTTGAGGAGAGAGAAAGAAATGCAAAATTTAATGGAAGGTCAAAACAAATAGTATATCAAGAAGGATTTATCAAAATGGTATGAAAATTCACTAACTAATTAAAGAATCATCCAAGAATAGATAGTAATGTTATCTATATTGATAGAGATAAGAAAGATAATAGGTTGAATAGTAGATTGTTGACACTGCAAAGCAAGGACAAACAATGGCAGACTTCTTTGAAAAATAAAAAAAAGATTATTATAGAAAGGTTTAGGATCAATAATATGGTCAGGCACAGATTAAAAAGCTAAATGAATTGAATTATAAAAAGTTTGATCAAGCAGTTTATTAAGAATAAGTACATTAAGAGAATACGAAAATATAAAGGAAGTTAGATAATTACAAATAAGTACATGATTAATGATATATTGAAAGTATTATCAGAATGTTTAAAACAGGTAGCAATAATTATAGGCAATGTACTTAGAGAATTACAGAGATCCAAAATAAGGATTGGATGACATCATTTTAAAGAATGTAGTACAAAAGTAATAGCAAGATGAGAAACAGTACAGATATTAGAAAGAATTGGAAGACATTTCAAAGGAGAAATACAATTCGATTCTTTCGATTCAGTTGCAAGAGTAACAGTAGAAGCGTAAACAGAATAGGTATGAGGCTAAATCGAATGGCTATCAACATGCCAATTCTGTTTATTGGTAAAATTCTGATAGACAATATAATGTATGAAAATTTGCGAGATTTTAGGTTTCAACTCCTGCTAGAAGTGTAGCTTCAGATCAAAATCAATTATATAATCCACTTACTAATCCTAATCCGAATCAGACACAGAATCCTTACATACTGAAATAATTGGGAATGAATCTGAACGATTTGCCTACTCCAGCCTATACTAAATCGAAGTTAGCTTCAATGGGAAAGTTTTGCATAAATTGATATAAATTAAATGCGTTATTATATTTTATTAAATGAATTAAGGCTGCTCATATAAATATTGTATCAACACTAGTAATGCAGGTGCAATATACTCTTGTTAGTACTGTTAGAACACTAAATATTGTTCCCAGAAGTGCAGAGATACTGATTGGTAAATTAAGATTTCATTATTGAATAGGACATTATCTCATAAGAATAATTGTCGTCCAATAAGTAGGAAGAGTCAAACTGAGCTGAATGATACTGCGTCCACTTTGAAATCCATTCGTAGATAGGCAGAAGACTTCGAAATAATAATCAAGGATAATAAAGTGGAATTGGGAAAAGGTAGTTATGGTTGTGTCAAATTGGTCAAGGACAAATAGAATGGCCAGATGTATGCAATGAAAGTGGTAACCCTATTAATTGAAGCTAGATGAACAAGAAATAAATATTTGAGTATTGTTCTGTTGAAAATCTAAAGAGAGAAATTAAAATTTAAAGAAAATTATAACATCCACATATCACCAAACTATTTCATTATTTTGAGGACAAAGAAAATGTATTTCTTATATTAGAATTAGCAGGTATCATAACATCCTATATATTTAAGAGAACGGAAGTCTGTTTAGTTATATAAGGAAGAGACGAAGACTCCCAGAAAATGAAGCTTTTGTCTATTTCTTCTAAACTTGTTTGGGAATAGACTACCTACATAAAAGAAATATAATACATAGAGATCTTAAACCAGAAAATCTACTACTTGATAAGTAAGGTAACGTCAAGGTTTGCGATTTTGGTTGGTCAGCTGAAACCACTTAAAATGGAGTCAGAAGAACTTTTTGTGGCACTCTCGATTATATGGCTCCAGAAATGCTGACCAATCAACCCTATAGTTTCACACTGGATATTTGGTGTTTGGGAGTATTGCTATTTGAATTAATCCATGGCTTTGCTCCATTCAAGGGGAAAACTGAAAATGAAAAGTGCAATAATATTATTAAGATGACTCCAATCGAGTATGATCCATCTTTATCACTCGAAGCTAAACAAATAATATAAGGAATACTCAAGTTTAATCCTATTGATAGACTATCAATGAATCAGATCTTCGAGCATCCTTGGATGAAGAAATTCTATAAAAGTTATGGAATTGATCTTAGATCTTATATAAATAAACAGGATAAACACAACGATTTATCGAATCGATCGATATCTCCATAAAATGATGATATTATTACGAGATCATTTATTAAAGGACCAACATAAAATAGTAATAACGATTTAAAACCCTTATCTAAATCTTCTAATTATATCTCTCAAAATAACAGCAATAATGGAAAATCAACTGCTTCTTCAAATTACAACTAAGAGGAAGAATTTAAGGCCAGAGTAAGTAGACTATCTTAAAGACAATAAATGGTTTAAGGATTAAAGGAAATTCAAGGATAACCATAGAAATAAGAGGAACTTGGTTTTATGGATAAAGTATTTTCGGCATTTGGGTGTTTGAGTAGAGATAAATAATCAACATAGTCTCATAATTATTGAATTTATATTAAGTTATATTATGATATATTTATATTACTTACATATTCTTATCTAGATGGTAATATAAATAATTAATTATAATAATAATAAAAAATTATTTTTAAAAATAATTTATGAATAACTTAATCCTATGATATTTTTTATTTATATATGGCCTGAAAATAGTAGTTAAACATTATAGTCTAATTATGAATTATTTATATGAATTTAAATTAATAAAAAAAACACTAAGAAATAAATGTATAATCTATGTTATATTCAATTATGATTATTGGAACCGATTTAATGTTATTACACATTCAGCAATAATAGATGAGAAGATCAATGAGTTTTTATATTCAATTTTTCTAATCAATATATATAATTATGTAATATGAAATGGAAGCAATAACAATAATAAACACTTTTATTATTAATGTGATGATTATACTCAAGCCTATCTATGCATGCCTATTGTTGTAAAAACTATTAGAATCACTGACAATGATCCAAATCCCAAAGGAACTTAGTGATATCCCAATTACACAATTAAGGACAGAATAGTCACACAGCCAGAGAGTGCCCAGATGTACATAGTTGATAACTATTAATTGACCAATTCATTAATTGCCAAATATGCAAACATTTAGAGAATACACATGATTAGGATTTCGCTAGATAGATAAATATGATTACATGAAGTAGGTCATATCGAAAACATTCTACACACCTCCACTAAAGAGACTCAGTAAAATGTAGAGTGGCAATCCTATAAGATTGGTGTATAATTGCAATGAAAATTGTTGTATTTGCTTGGTCATCAAATATTTAAGAGTCTAAATAAATGCTAGACTTAATGGTTGTAAGAGACAAATCAGTATATACAAGATGTTCCCTGAAAATAAAATGGTTGAAATAGTTTGAATCAAGGATAGCAATAGGTTTACATTATTAGTTGGTTGGATGAGGAAGTGCTGCAAAACTAGGATATACCCCGCAGTTAATTGATGGAATGTGCATACTTCTGAAAACACGAAGGTTTACATTGCAAGTAACCCCATCAGAGATGCTAGTACTTATGCAGCACTCATTAAACCAAATACCTTTATGTAGCCTTGATCAAACTAAAATTAGGAGTTGTCGAAAAATTAGATATACAGCAATGTTAATATGATAGTGATTATGCATCTTTAAGTGGCAATTGTAATAATATCTATTTGCTAAACTAATGAGAATCCAATCATTAATTAAAGCAATTAACTTACTACATAAATCACAAAGATGAGGTTCTAATTGACTTTCTGCAGAATCTATGGTCTCATCCCTTCAAGTGGGTCGTGATTATGAAAACTTGCAGTTGATTGATAACCTCCCAAAAACTTCTCAGAGATATCCCTATACATATTTTCAAATTATATATTAATATAATTAAATCACACATTTGCCACTAAATATGAAAAATCTTTGGCCATTCTAATCAAGCATTTGATCATTTTTTAATCCATTTCCATCTATTACAATTATTACCAATGTTATTTGGGCACATTCAGCAAATGGAGAAGATAATAGCTCACTAAACAAAACAGTGAGTTTGAATCCTAAGATGAATAAACAAAACTCTTACCCTAGGAGTATATAGTATGTACTCTTGCTTAACCTTTTTGATCTCTTTCTCTTTCGTCAAAGCCTTGACTATGCAATCGCTATAATAGTGAAATTGAGGTTCAGAAACATATTATTCTAACTTTTGATTGATAATTAGATTTCTAATTTTAATTGTACAGATTACCTGATCTACTCGATTTGTTTTTGTGGTTGATTAGCATTTTAAGTATCATTTTAATTAGCCTACCCATTCTGATTGGCGAGTTCCTTTCTACTTGGCTGATTCAGGTTCAGTGTTTCCTAAACTCTCAAGTCCGATTAAGCTGACTTCGATAGATTTCCATGCATTTAGATTGAGCTCACTACTCTCCTTATTGTACTTCTGCTTTTCATATCTGACACATTTCAGGAGAACATTTATGAAAACAGTGAATAGTAACTGAATATAAATAGGGATGTTTACTTCATAATCGCTAATCATTTTCTCATTCAAACCATCTGTGAGATATTAGGGTTTAGAACTGTTTTCTGAAAAATCAATTAGTTTGGTTAGGAATAGTTTTTTGTCATTTACTATTTTTCTGTTGATGAGAGTCACATCTAAAATATTGGAAAATAGTTCCAAGAGATCACATTCCTTAATGAATTCTGCCTTTTCCTTATTGAATTTCTCAACATTAGTAGGTGCTCTTACTGGTTCTCTGGATCTACTCTTAATTTAGTTCTTGAGAAAGAAACACATCCTCCATGGTGATACTTTTGAATCCAATTGATTTCTCATGTTTATTGGAATTAATATCGTAGGGCTTGTTTGCGAAAAAGATGTCAATTTCTATTATCTTCTGTTGGAAATGCTCTTTCATCATTCTGTTCACATTTACGAGATGATCCTAAAATTCTTTTACAAATGTTGGTATAAATGACTTCATAAATAACTCCTCTGCTTTTTGATGAGCATCACTCATTTTTTTAATTAGTTTGGATAAAATGACCTCTGAATTCTTGCTCTTCTATTGAATTTCATAATCTGGAGTACCATATTATTATTTATTACTATAGCTGCTCCTCCCCAAAGTCTGAACTTACTAATAAGACGTAGTTTAAGCCAAACTATATTAAGATCGAGTGTCGTCCACAAAGAATTGTCGATTCGACCCATTTTTGTATGGCATTTACCACTCCCCATTGTCACATTCTTCCTAAAAATCTGATTTCATAACGATCAAATATCTTACGCATCTTCATGTTATTCTTTCTCTACTCCTTACTCAAGATTCTTTCCCTCTCTTTTGGAAATTGTCTCTCCATAGACTCAGTTTGAGTATGAACCATCTCCGATTATTACACTTAATCATAGGATTCATAAATAATACCACGATATTCTGGCTATTGAATGAACTCTTGATTTCCTCTCGAAAGCATTAAAGTTTATTTGTTTATAAGGTGATTTTATAATGACTTGTTTCTCATTCTTCTTTTTGCACAATCCTTCATAAGCCTTCACTACAAACACTATTACCAAAAGCAACTTCAATATTGTGATGTGAATTTAGCTTTATATACTTAACTCTTACTTGCTCGAGACTGTAATTCCAAACAGCGAGAAAATGACGAAACCTCCTAAAGTTATATTCGTAAATGTGGTTGGAGCGCTCATTTTTTTATATTTAATTTAATTAGACCTCTAAATCATTCAGTTCAAATTCATATATTTAAATTATTATTTATATGTACACTCACATCATGTTCAATCTATTATTCATTTTATAGTGAACATTAGATTAACCATCAAAATTCCTCTCCACTCAAATGCCAATCCAGTGATCTGACTCTCCGCTTCTCTCTTTACAATATTCTATTACATTCATATTATAATCTCGAATCTCAATATTATCAATGGTCTTCCATAAATGAATATCACTTAATTTGGATTTATGTAATACTCTTCGTCACTCATATTAATTATAGATTTATCAATTATAACCATTTATGAATTAATAACTAATAAGGTAAATCAAAGAATATCAAATAAAAATAGGCTGAAAATATTTGAGTTACTGGAATCATATAATGTATTTTCTTTGAGGAATCATATAATCCTAATTCTTTACTATAGTATCTAAGAAATTACCTAATTTAATAAATTATTATTTACTATTATTATTATTATTACATTAATTATGCAACAATATAAAAAGACACAATATAAATTGATTTTAGTATTGGTTGGATTGCCAGCCAGAGGGAAAACTCACATCACTTACAAATTAAATAGATATTTGAATTGGATTGGATATAAAAGTGAAATCTTCTCTATTAAGGGAGCATAATAAAACAATGACTAATTAGATCAAAATATCGATTATGAATTAGAAATAGATCCAAATAATCCGTAAGTAAGATTTGATTTAATATTTAGTTTGCAGAAGTTAGACAGCATCTATCGACTACAGCTGCTCAACAATTGGTGGCATTTTTATAAAGTGACGGAGACATTGCATTATACAATGGCTTAACAAGCACTAAGGCTGACAGACAAAAATTGAAGTCTTTTTTTAAAGAGACCCTGAAATTGGAATATCAAACCTTTTGGATAGAATCGATTTGTGATGATCCTCAAGTAATTCTTAATAATATTAATGAATCAAAATTAAGTAGATTTAAAGATAAAACAATTGAACAATTTATGAATCATATAGATGTATTGGCTTAAAATTACGAGAGTCTGGAAAATAAAGAGAATCTATCATACATCAAACTAATTAATATTGGTAAACTAGTGAAAGTACATATGCTGGAGGGTTATTTGTGTTCTAAAATAGTGTCCTTTCTTCTGAACCTACATGCAAACAATAGATAGATATATTTGGTAAGATCCTGTTAAACTGAATATCATTTGCTTGATAAAATAGGAGGAGATCCAGAGTTATCTGCAACTGGAAAATAGAATAGTCAATAATTAGGTGACTATTTTATTGAAGAATTAAAAGGAAATAAAAATGTAAGTACATTCCTAAACATCTTTAGGTAACCTTATTTACATCTCAAATGAAAAGAGGAATCTAGACACAGCAGAGATCGATAGGGGAAAAACTAGGAATAAAAGCATTGAAGACAAAAAATTTGGATGAGATTGATTATGGAATATGTGATGGATTGACAGTTAAAGAAATAGCAGCAAAATATCCAAAGTAGATCAAAGAAAGAAAAGCCAATCCTCTTGAATTCAAATATCCTCGTGGTGAATCATTTTTAGATGTAATACATAGAGTAGAACCTATAATTTATGAAATTGAAAGATCTAGAGATCCTGTTCTGATTATTGCACATGTTGCCGTTTTAAAGTATTTAGTTCATTAATCTCATTTAGGTGTTTGTACGCTTATTACCATTGTAATTAAATAAGTGAAATACCGAATATTGATATTCCTATCAATTGTGTTATTAAGTTAGTACCCATACCCTACCATTGTCTTGAAAGTAGAGTAAATATTAAGTGACAATATTATTATATAAGTATTCAATATAATTATAGATATTATTTATAATTTATTTCTATTCAAATTACTGTAAAGTTAAAATATCAAGCATTTTCAAGGACATTGCAAATCCAGACTTCCCATTCATCTTCTGGAATTTATTGTCTTTAACTTTGATTAAACATTTCAGATATTAGTACATTTTGAGAGGGATGATTCACTGGGAATTTGTCTTTACATTTGCAAGCTTGTAGGAAGAACTTCTTCTTTAATTATTCATTCTCATTAGAGAACTTGCCTTTTACATTGGAAATATAGGTTTAGATTTTGGAGATAACAGTAGGTTCAGACTCCTTGATGTTCTCTTAACGATGTTGTTCAGTGTGAACTTTAGTTAGATTCTTTGAATTTGATAATTGGATATAGGATCTCTTTTTGGAGGAATCGTAATTATTACCAAACTCAATTCCATTTTTGTAATTAGGAACCTCCTATTTGACAGGCGATTTGTTCTAAATTTGGGCTTGAGAGATTGGTTTTGTATTTAAATTGGAGATTTTGACTAATTGCTTAGGCATGTTTTAGAATGATGGTGATTCAAACAGTCTTTTTCTCGTGGTAGTATTAGTCGCATAACTAATAACTGTTTAACGTCTAACAATATTTGCTATGCATGATACTCAATTAATTGTTCCTATTACTAGAAACTGATTTTATTCTGATGTAGAATTGTTGATGGTTCTTTGACTTCTAAGTGCTTCTCTTACTATGAAACCATGACTTGCATCTTTCTATTTGCAATTTCTTATATCTTTTATGCCACTGTCAACACATGATAAGCTTTGGCTAGACTTAATATAAGATTCTTATTTACTATTTTAAGTTAATTGGGTTTTCAAGACGTATAAATCTTCAACTATTTGAGATAGCTAATATTGATCTGTTACTTCAAGAATTTATTAAGTGCAGTTATACAGTAGTTCAATCAATTGTTTGACATTGTCATCAGTGCTTGCTTCGAATCTCAAACTTAAGAGTTTCTTGTAGTTCTCTAATTTTAATTGCAGTTTTTAATCCTCTCCATTGCCATTAGAGATTTATTTACACTCGTTCATATGAAAATTAACTATATCTATGGGAATGAATTCTTCGCATATCAAGCAAAACACATCTTTCACAGGTTGCACAGGTAATTAAGATTATTGAGTTTTCACTTATGACAATTGCGATTGAGTTTCTAATCTTAGATTTGATTTGGCCTTCGATCTATAAGAGCATTACGACCCAGCCCATTTTGGTTTTCCTGGACTATATTTAGATTGTTGCTTCTGTTATTCATATTTCTGTTTTCTTTTATTCACTTAATACTCTTTATCGGATGAAGAGGAGGAGGAAGAGGATTTCTTCTATGAAACTATTGTAACTCTCTTCTATTAAGAATTGTTTTGCTTTTTTGGAATGGACATGCTGAATTTCTTTGGGACTTCACATGGCTATTCATTCTCCACTATAAATCGACCTGTCTGTCTTAATTGATCTTTAAAAGAATTATCGCTTTTGTGACTTTCATTCTGATCTCCCATTCTATTGATCAGAGCATCGATCTCCTTCAATAGAATGTTCACACTGCTATCATCAAAATTATGTGACATTAACGGTGTTAAAAATATTTATTAATGTTATATGAGTATAATACAACAATAAAGTTGTTTGATTTACAAGATTTATGTAATAAAGCCATAATATAGTTTATGTGTTTGATTAACTAACTTTTATCAATTTAAATTAATTGTTTAAGAAATTTATTAATTTATAATTATACAAGTGTGATGAAGTTATACATTCTTATTCTCATTGCTTGTTTGGTGATTAGTTAAGCTTAGGAAGACATCAAATAAGCAGAAACTACTTAGTAGGAATCTGAAATTCCAAAGGATGACAATGCCAGCGACACTCCCACAGAAGGGAAATTTAAATCAAGAACCAAGGAGGAAATCATCAAAGAAAGAGACACTCTATAAACCTTATTGAAAACTCTGAATTACTCTTGCATTGTTTTGGCTAGAATGTAATTGTCAAGATATAAGTCGGAGTTAATGAAAGTTATTGAAAGGTAATACACATCTATCACTTTAGTCATCAAACCAAACAGGAATAAAGCATTGTATGGAAGAAAATATATACCTCATATGTTAATTAATGTCAAAAAAGCATCACATATGATGATAGTGTCAAAGTAATATTATGGGATCTTATGATTTTAGATCTTCTCCTAAATTTAATCCAAAGAATTCAAATTTGATGATTACAGATTCATTTATGAAAACATGACCTTAGACGATTATAGTAGTGATAAAGTTGATATGCATATCACATAAGCAGAAGAAAGAATTTGGTCATACATTTAAGACTTTGAAAAGGCTATGGATTCCAAAGATGATGAAGATGATGATTCACAATTCAAAAGAAACTTTGATTTGGAACCTAAAATATTTGGATTTTCCCTTAAATCAGTAAAATCTTTACAATACATCATGTTCGTTTTATTTGTTTCCTTCATTTTGTTCTTGGGTTACATAGCATTTAAAAAATTACCCAAGCAATACGAAGATCAAAAAAAGAAAAGAAGAAACTGATATCTAATGTTTTTAATTTATTTAATTCTAAAATTTAGAATATATGTATTTATTTGTTTAATTTTAATCCTCTAATGTTATTGATGATATAATTGATTGAGATAATTAATTGATAATGTAATGTCAATTTAAAGTAATCATAATTTAATATTATTTCTATATCGTATTTTGAGTCATTCATATGATTTTATAAAATATATAGTAAAATGTTGACGTAGTAATTTCAATTAAAGAAAGATCATAAATTTGTAATAAATCTATAAGATTTTTAACCAATCAATGTATACAAATATTTTATTAAGAATAAATAAATAGAAAATTAACAAAGATAGTGCAAATCTAATAATAAATGATGTTAATAATCGCTTGTTTTAATGCAACCATTCATATATTATAGCATGTTGTTATGTCTTCAATTTTAGATCCTTAGATAATTCAGATAGGAAATTCTAAAATCGAATTTGATAAAAAACCAATTAAGAACTCATTAAAATTTCTATAAATTTCAATATCGATATTTGAAATCAATAGATTATATACCCATTTATCTTTTATTCATTATTAATTAATTAGTGAATACCTAATTATGTGAAAATATGACAATAATTGAAATCAACTGTTTATTAGTTCAATTACTGATGAATTTTAAAGTGAATTTAGGAAGGTATAAATAAGTTTGGAGTTTAAGATTGATTTATTCAATTTCAAGGTTGGAAATTCATGAAATTGATAAAAGTTACAAAATGAGTTAGGATCAATATGATATGTTAAAATTAAGATTATCATTGTTCTAGATGGCTTTTTTTAGAGGATTCGAGTTTCTCTCTTACCTTAGGGAATCTTCTCAGTTGTTATTCATAAGTGTCTTAGACATATTTGTCAAGTGGGACCTCTCTTCCATGATGCAATTTGTGCATTCTGAGGATTTGTTAACTTGTTTTCTTGATTGTTTCATCGTCATCTTCTTTGGTGAATAGATATTTGATGCCCTTCTTGGAGACTTTTATTTATTGTTCCTCAATAGGTTAAGGAGGTTCAAAATTATAGGTCTTTTTCAGATACTCATAGAATTATTTTTCATCTTTCTACATGTATAAACAGTATATACCTGTCCGACTTTTTAGACTAGGAGGAAATGAAGGAAGTTTCTTTTACTCATTTCACTAAGTTGTCTTTTAATTTTGGGGTCAACTCTAATTAAATTGGGTTGAAACATGGAATTTGTTTAATTAGCTTAGGTTTTGGGTGAATTGATTTTGGGGATGCCATTGATTGCTCCAAAGAAATGTTTCTCTTGTCTTGCTGATTATTGAGCATTCTGCTTTCTGACTTACCTTGCCATTTCTCTGGATTGAATTTGTCTCTCTAGAGATTGACTCCAAGAATGCAAAGTGCCACGGGTATTATGGATAATATTATGCTCTGAACCGTGTTGAGAGAATTAACTAAGAGTGTTTCCGAAGGGAGATTGCAAATCATTCGAGGGCTGAGGAGTGAACCATCCCATTTAGGCTCGATTATTCATTTGGTTCATGAGAGTGAAGGTGGCCCTCTGTTGCTGATTCTTTTTATGAATATCCTACAGACTTTTCATTATATTTATTATTAATGAGTGAAACCAAATCAAAGGACAGCTATCAAAAATAGAATTTGATCGTCGTTGGCCAACATTACGTATTGAAAACCTGCATTTACAGAGGCAAGAAACATAACTGGTATTTGGGTACTCTTTATATACTTATACTTTTATATTCGCAGCCCTCAATCAGGCTCAGCCAGGTAACTACTTCATCGTGAGATTGGTAATGTAAATAATTCTTTAAATTCTATTGTTAGTTCATTTACCTGATAGGCAAACACAAACATCGACAGTTTACAAGAGGAAGAAAAACTCCTTAAGAAGTTGGCAAATGGTGAGTTTTTAACTAATATTGTTTTCAGTTCCCTACATGCCGACTCTTCAGATTTCAGGAGATGTTCGTCTGCAGAATACCAACTATTATTACTAAGTATTTGACAGATATGGACCAAGTCTCAAACTTTGTTTCTAATTTGTCAATTATGAATTCACATTACCAACCATTTGTATGATTGCTATACAAATTGTAAATTGCAAATCCCATATTTAGTTAAACATTCTCGAAAAACTCCATAATCAATCAATTGTTCATTGCAATCTCAGACCCAAAAAAATATTAACTCAACTTGGCAAAAATGATTTGGTACTCATTGATTTCTAACATTCAACCAAATACAAACACAAGAATGGCAAATTCATAGGATATGCATCCAAATTTTCCAATCTCAACAAATTAACCAAATACTCTAGTCTAAATCAGCATTTAGGTTTAAGTATGCACATCCCTTTTGATCTATAGCTGCCTCCCCAAAAGATGATCTGGAATCCCTAGGATTTATATTGATGTATTTCCTCAAGAAGGGAGACTTGTTCAAAGTCAAAGAGCATGGATCCAAAATTAAGAAAATGGAAGAGCAAAAACTGAGAATGATTCCAGAAAAATATTGCAAAGACATGCCAATAGAAATACTCCAATACTTTTAGTTTATCAGAATGACCAATGTGTAATAGTATCCCTTGGGTGATTACGAATTCCTAAAGAAACTATTTAGAAATTTACTTCAGTAATTGAGTGTCAATGAAAAAGATTTTTAATACGATTGGGTAACATTGTAAATTTAAAATATCCTAGATCAAAAAGATGAATTCATAACAAACAAGTTAACAACAAATGCAGCAAACCCAAAAAGACTCCACTAATCAAAACCAAACTTAAACTAAAATTGTTATTCATCAACCTCAAAATCTGGAAGGGATTCAAGAAGTGCAAACTGAATTGGAGAGATCTTCAATAAAACGAGAATTCTATAGATAAATCTCATCCTTATGTATTTCTGACGAAGAAGACAAATAATTTGAGAGTGTTAGCACAAAAATGCTTCAACTCCCAAATATGTTTGATTTAATAAAACTAAAAAGTTGACCATCATCAATTTTGTATCTATCTATATATTTTTAAATTCTATCTATTTGTAATAATATCATAATTACTATGCCTTTCAATTAATAATTATTCTATGCATTGATATTATGATATTTTATCATCTTTTCAGTATGTAAATAGATGGATAACCCAATTACTAATATTAGGATTAATTTTAACATAAATTTATTAATATTATGTAATAATCTGAAGACATATAATAACACGAATAATAAGAAGATTAGGAACAAATAAGTTTCTCATTTCTTGAAATTAAATTGCCAAGTGCAGTATTAAGTCAAAGCTAAGCCATAATCATTGCTTAATATGGTCCTGCATCTATCTATATAGATTAGCATCTTTAAAAGTCTTAGGAAGTAGGATAGATTGTCCAAACAACATCCAATCCACTCAAATTGGCAAGCATCAAATAGATTGATTAATTGCTGGTCATTTCATTTAAGAAAGACACACGCTATTACTATTTCTAAGAATACAATCTACTTAAACAATTGGAGAGTCTTGGCTTGAAGCAATAGCACATTTATGTACTCATGAATGTCCCATCCTCTACTTTAGCGAGATATTCAGATGAAAATTCTTAATTGCGCCAATTAAATCACAACATTGAAAGCAGTGTGAAATAATTGGAAGATCCAGAAGAATTGGAAGGATACTTTGGCGATTTGTTTTACTCTCTGAAACATCTAAAATCAATTGCTTACATTCTAGTGCAAACCAATTATGATATTTCACTTGAATTAATTCAGAAATATGATGAAATTAGAAAGCATTTGCCACAGATTCCAAATAGTGTTAACAAAGAATTCATAAAAGAGGAATTGAAAAAGTATGCCAAGAGTTAAAACAGAGATAATGTCCACATTTGAATTGAGTTTAAATTATTACAACACATACATGTTTTTCTTTATTTTTTAATCTTTGATGGATGTTTATATATAATTTACAATATATAATCATGCATTTTAAGAGAGAGTAGTTTACATGTTTGGACTTTATTACTTATTCAATTATTAAACATTTGATCTTAATTCCAAATTTTAAGGATCTATAATCATTCTTGGTTTTCGTATCTTATCGCTTTATAAAATATGTTAGAAAGGGCGGACAGGGGCTGTTTGGATTAAATTTTGTTTTAAAAACTGTTTATATTTTGGATGCAAATAGGGCTGCTTATTCTAATCTTAAACTAATTTAATAAAGTACTTAAATACGAGACTGCATTATAAAGAGTAAGAGAAGTAATAACATTGTGATAGTCGTGGTCTTTTTCTGGTTTCTTGTTTTTATCTACCTTAGGCATACTGATCTTGGGTGATTAATCCGGTTTGAAATACACAAATAAGTCACAAAACTGCTCGAACTCTATATCTTTTTATTTCATCTAGTAGTACAAGTAAGTCAACAAAGTTTCTAACTTAATATGCAAGGGCAACAGTTATCTCTATAAGAGAGTGTAATTATCAGCCGCATCAGTGATAGGTGCAGCACTAATCCTTTCAGCTATCCGTCCTAATGCTTCAACAAATTCAATAAAAGTCATTCTTATGTTTCTATCTAATGTCAATTCATCGACTTGAGTCATCATTGAGAAATTATAGATGATGACCTATTGTTTCTCTGATAGATATTCATGAAGATTGAATTATCTGCAGAACTCCTTGAATTCTCTGATTGAAATCCATTTTAATTTAAAATACCACTTTCTATTAGCAATATCAGTGACATAATCATAGAGCTTTTTAACAAAGGGCATTTTAATTTATAACAGATGATCGCATTCTCGTGTCCACAGTCTTTAAGTTCTCCAATCTTATATTTAGTCAAAGTACTCATATTATTCCTTGAATTCCTTGAGTAATCTAAAGAGAGCATCAGCATAGCTCTTATAAATATCATTTCTGACATATTTGTCATTGGCAATTCTGAAGAACATTTCCAAAAACTGATATCTTACCAATGCTTTTTCAGGATTGTAAATATACTTAGGATCGATATTGTTTTTTAATGAAACTATGTCGATATCAACATCTTACGATTTCAACAAATCCCCATCAATGATGGCTAATTTATTGATTAGTTTCATGTATTAGGGAATTTAAATGCAAAAAACATCAAAGTTGGGAGGTTGATAGCCCAAACTCGAATAAAATTTGTAGACATCTTTCAGAAGTTAATAGCTAGATCTGAAATATTCTTTAAGTTTTATTCTTTCATACTCGCTTTTAACAAATCTACTGATTTTACTACTATTCCAGTCATATTCGAAGCACTCATTTAACAATTCTTCAGTGTCTCCTATGAATGGTCTGAAAATGGAATCTTCCTTATTCCACTTAATGAGATGAGCCTGTTTTCTGACTAAGCAATTGGCAAATCTCCTCAGTACATATTTCTTCTATGATGATCTGGGGAAGACTTTAATCAAGGGCTTATAATTGTCCTTGTCATCAATTATGTATTCCTATCTTGAATAGATGTAATTAACATATTGGATCTTCTTAAAAGCCAATTTGGTTCCATCTTGGAATATGTGAATAGAGTGCTTTGGGTCTTTGCCTTGGAGTATTAAGTTGTCCAATGGGGCTGGCATGGTCATCACTCTGGGATCAATAAAGTATTCTTCTCGAATAGGATTAGAAAAGAAATACAGTATCTTCTTCTTTGGAGGACACATTTGATATGTGGTATAATAAAACCTACTTAATTCTTGTATCATTTATTTTGTAATTTCTTCACTCTTCTTACTGGTTTCCTCAGTGTATGCTTCTGTGATTGCAGCCAAAGTTATCCTCTTTTCATTATTGACCAGCTATTTCAGTTGATGTATAATTTCACCCGTGGTAAGATCTAGGTAACTGCTTTTTCTCTTTGATGCTTCAATCAATTATTGTCTTAATTCGTAACTCGAGGTCATAGGAATTGGCTAGTAACTAATAGTTAATCATACTATTACTCTAGAAAATCAAGATGGATGAATATTGGATCCTGATTGCTATCATTCTCTGGATTGTATTGGAATCGATACTCCATCCATCCTTAGCAAATCCAACAACAATCATTCCCAAATAAACTATCCCCCTAGATTGGAATGTAGTTTACTCCATCTATAACATTTTTTTTTTATTATACTACTTTAAATTCTTCGGCATCACTTATAAATTGAATGAATCCATAAGGATCCACCTTGGCTGAACACTTATTGCCTTCAATATGCAAGCCATACAAGCTGTTATTTTTAAGCAAGGCCTAACTGAATTACCTTAACTGTTTTTCACTCAATTAGTTATACGAGATATCCAAATGGACTAACGAGAATTATGAGTTGGTAATAGTTTCACACCAACATTGGATACAATTGCTTCTTTCATTCTACCCCAAATGATTGTAACTTAGATCTAAGACTTTTACTGACCTATTTTATTGTAAACCTTTGGCTATCATAGTTCCAGTGGTAGGTCCCAATTAATTCCAATTCAACACTAGAATTTCAATAAAATTATTCTACAACAAAAACTGATAAAAGACCGTAGAACATGAATCAGTAATTTAATTTTCTGACAAATTTAGTTTGATGATAGTCATATTCCTCTGAATGCTGCTAAGCAATAGCGTCACGCCTTTATCTCCTAGTAAGTTATTTTGGAGATTTAATGATTTTAAGTTCAGAAATTTGGAGATGTGACTTACAATTATGCCTGCTCCTCTTCTGCCCAATACATTGTTGCCCAAGTTGACTTCCTTTAATGCAATGGGAAATCCCTCAATCAAATACAATAGGGACTTATCATCCAATTGATTATTACATAAGAACAGTTGTTTTACTGCTTTACTTTTAACAGATTGCAATAGATTTTTTATCAATGGAAAGTACTTCTCCGTCAACCCTAGATCTGAAAAGTGCATTTCCTTATTGTTGATCAAACAATTCGATAGATCTATTCGTTTCGGAAATATGTTATCATTGAGACAATAGAAATTAATAGGATCCACATTTTTTTTGTTGAAATTGATGGCCAAATCTCTTAATCTATCCTATCTTTTGATGAAGTAGAAATAAGATTAATCTATTTCTTGATCTATTTATAAAAATATATTCTTTACGTAGTTTATGCTATATTTTCTTGATTTCTTATTGTAACTCAACTCCATCAAACCTTTTTGGCTCGTCACTACTGCTCTCTTCACTCAACAAATCATAGTCTTGATCCTCGTTTTGGCTTAATTCCTATTAAAATGACAAACTCTCCATCCCGTTCTAATCCTTCGTATCTTGATCCCTGAATTACTCTGCTTCAGTCTCTGTTTTAATTTATTTTAAAAGCGAAGAACTGTGTTACAAGAGACCCAAAGGGAAATTCTTCTTTTTATATTCTCCTTAACCTGGCTTTAATGTAGTGCTCTCTATCATCTATCTCATGCCAATCAATTTCTCGCTGCTTTTTATGTAATATGCCATCACACCATGATCATCGGAAAATTCATCATTATACAGCAATTTCTATGTTTTTAGTTTGCTTTGAATAATCTTATTTTCTGATATGCTTCGATTGGATCGAAAAAAGGATTTAAGTTTTTCTGCTTTCTCCTTTGAGTAATCTTTTAATCGAGGCAATGAACATTTAGATCTTTCAAGACTATTTTTCATAAGTTTATAAATTATTAATTAACATATCAAAATGACAATCACAGTAATTATAATGTAGCCTTCAACTTCAACAGTTTCTACTTTTGAGTCATCTATCTTTCCACCACATTTCTCTTTTGTTTCTAAGCTTAAACGAATTGGAAAGGTATTTCTAAGAATTACTTATAATTCGGATGCAGATACGGGGTCTTAAACATTTCTAATCGTATAAATTAAAGTGTTACTCAAATAGGATAGAGTATTATAAATCCTCAACTCTTGGGTTGTGCATTCATATTAATCTGATTGGACCTAATTGCCCCTTGGCAAAATCGGATACAGATTCGGATTCTAGCTAAAGTATATACTAAAACTTTCGAAGTTATTCACTCTTTATATGTAAATGTAAATACTTAAGAGTCCTCAACGTATCAAAAATATGTGTTAACACGTTTTCTAATTTGATATGCAATGGAAGCACCAACCTACTGGTCGTAGCACTATTCATTTCGCCTTCATTCGGACTAATATATTCTGCAATTCTAGCTAAAGCTTCTGTGAACTCAACAGTAGACATCCTTAAATGTCTATCTTGAGTCAATTCATCCTAATGAGTCTACATTGCCAAATTGTAAATGATTTTTAATTGAGTTTCACTGAGGAATTACTGAAATCCCATTAAACTGCAAAATTCTAGGAACTCGGTCAATGCTATCCACTTTAATTTGAAAGTCCATTTCTTATTTTGAATGCATGCCACATAATCATGTAATCTCTGAATAAAACCTTATTTTATATAAATTAGATTGCCACACTCTTTTGTCCACAAACGTTCTTCTCTCCATTACTATTGGTTATCAAATGCTGCAAATCTTTCTGCTAATACTTGGAAAACTCGATAAACTTCATCCACAATCAGTCTAGGTTTCCATTTTTACTTAGTCACTAGAAATGCTATTCTAAATAGGAATTCCATAAACTAATATCTAACGAAGCCATTCTCTGGATTATAAATAAATTTTGAATCGCAATTGTATTTAATTTAATTCACCTAAGATTATACCTCCTCAATTTATATGCCTTGAGGTAACAATTCTTGGGTGAGATCATAAATCAAATCAAGAGGAATATTAAATGTTTCTACTTGATAACCATTCTGCTGTTTATTAGCATTGTACCCAAAGCTTGAATAATACTTGTAGATGTTCTTTATCTATGCATAATGGAATCTCATAATCTCAACTACTCCTTCTAATTCCTATTAACTTTTTAGAAAATGCTAAATGCCCATACAATTCCAATCAAATTGAAAGCACTCATCCAAGACATCCTCAGTGTCTCCTTAATATGATTTAAAGGCTGATTAATCCTTTTACCAATAAATCAAATTTGATTTTTGTTTGGATGCATCAACCGCAAATCTTTTTAAAAAGTATTTATTCTCTAAACATCTAGGAATTACCTTTACCAGAGGCTTGAACTAATTCTTCTAATCAATAACAAACATTTATTTAGTTTGAAAATAATTCACTTAATCTACCTGAGATAATGAGATCTGAGATCCATCTGGGTAGAAGAATACTTTCTCTTTATCCATAGTCAATTCAATATTCTCTGCAGATCGTAATGATATTATTGGAAATCTTGGATTTATAAATATCCCCTTTCCAGTGGGATTCGAAAAAAAATAAAGTATTTTTTGATTGGGAGGACACATTTGATATGAAGTGAAAAAGAACTTTGAATTCAACTCTGATAATATCGATTTCATATCATCCTTAGTCTTAATATCTTCAGTGTAGGCATCATTTATGGCAGTCATTGTAATAATCTTACCAGCACTAAAAGTATGCTTTAACTAATGAATTATCTCTCCTGTTGTTAGATCTTCCAAAACAGTAGTACTGTTGAATTTACTACTTAGTTATTTCCATAATTCCTTACTTGTAGTCATCGATATGGGTTTGAAACTAATATACTCATAAGTATTTACTCTAAAAAATCTAAGTGCAAGTATATAGAATCAGTTTGAGATTCTTCAGGTTCAGGCTCATAAACAAAATGATACTCCATCCACCCTTGGCATATCCAACAACAGTCAGATCCATTTTCATTCTCATTTAACATTGGAATGAAGTTAACTCCATCAATATTTTAATGTTTAGGTTGCATACTCTATTTTCCTTTGATTTACTAAGGAAATTGTATGAATCCCAAAGGATCAACATGAGCCAAACATTTATTTCCTTCAACATGTAATCCATACAAACGTGAATTCTTTAGAATTGAATAATTAATTAATTAGAGCTATTTCTAATTAAACTAATTATAAGACAGATCCAGATGAATCAATTCAGTATAGGTGTTACTCAGCAATGAACACCATTCTTTGATACAATCATAATTATTATCACTCTATCCAATTTTATTATAGCTCAAATCTACTACCTTAATTGATTTATTGTAATTCAACCCCTTTGCAATATGCAATCCAGCAATAGGTCCCAATTAATTCCAGTTTAGACTTAAGACTTGTAAGGCCTAGTTTTTTAGAATAAATTCTTTTAATTCATTGCAAATCAAATCAGAAATTGCATTGTCTGATAAATTTAATTTTTTGATTTTCAAACTTGGTTTTAATGCCTCTAAAATTGTTGCAGTTCCTATATCCCCTATTTGATTTCCTTTTAAATTCAAGTTCCTCAGACTGAGTAATAATTGTATTATACTTTTCAAATTTATTCAAATGTTCAGACAGAAGTACTGCTCCTCGACGGTTTAATTAATTAAGAGATAAATTAATGGTTTTGACTTTTAAGGGGAATACATCAATTAACAACTTTAATGACCATTCATTAATTTTGTTTTGACTGATATCCACTGATTTGATATTTTTGTCTCGTTTTTAACTTAATAAATTTCTAATCAATGGAATATATTTTGGGGTTAATCCTAAATCTGATAAATTGATTTCTTTCACATCTTGCTTACTCAGTTCGATTCTTTTAGGAAATATGCTTTCATTTAAGCAATAATAATGAATGGGACTCAAATTATCCTTTTGCTGAAAATTTAGAATCAAATCTTTCATCTTTTCTGATTTTTTGATAAAATGATAAAATGAGTTGTTCAACTCTTGATCTGAATAAATGATAACATACAATTACTTATTTTATGACTTATCTATTTCAAGGCCTTCCCAGTCTCCCCTTCAAGTTTTAAATCAATTTTGTTTTCATTCTTCTCCTCATTTTCATCATTAGACTAACTAAAAGATGATTCCTTATCTTTGAAGTAAGGAGTGTCTGTTTCAATTTGTGTATCTGTTAACAAAGGCTTATTTTTGTTTAGAATAGGCTGATTAAGGATTTTCTTTCGTTGATGCAATCTTGATTTTCTCTAAAACCGAGCAGATCTGCTAACTTCATCATCAAATGAATAAAGTTCTGAATTTCTTTCAGAATCCATTTGCTTAGTCAGATCTCTCTATGTCTTGATAGTCTGCTTATTAGGACTAATTGAAGAACATTTCTCTTAGAGGAAATAAGTCTTTAATTTTTATTTTTTCCTTGCACTGTAATCACAATACAGACTTGGAAGGAGACATTATTGTTTCGGAAATATCACTTGTTTTTCTAATTTAGAATTGGTCTAATTCATCAGGTAATTGTCACTTTTAGAGAATTTTATTATAATTGTAAATAATTCATCGGAGCTTCTATAATTACTGTAAAATTTGAATAATTATTTAAGAAAACACTCTAGAACTGAAATACTGTACACATGAAAATGACATTTTTATTTTTTTAATATAATTTTCTCATCAGATTGATTCTCTATAATCATAAATATCAAATTTTAATTACTTTACTGATCAGTGTGAATAAAATTAATCAACTAAAACAAATAGTAATATTCTAATATTCAACAAAAAATTGAGCAATTTAATCGAAGGAGATTAAGGTATACAAAGAATACAGTATAAAATCTTACTTATGATTTTTCAGACTATCAATGATTAAATCAAAGTAAGTCTACAGAAAGGAATGCTCATATATAGAAATGTCTATATATCTAGAAGGATGTAGAATATTGTGCAATAATATCATTAAACTTCAAATTATAAATCATACACAGTTTCATTGTGTTGCCTATTTGAATGAAATGACATCAATGATTGAAATTGCACATCGTTGTCGTTGGCATTGAGTTTGCTCTTTTACATGATCCTTTCTATCTATTAACTTCGATATTTGAGTTCTTTCTTCCATTATAAAGCAAAATCTTTGACGTCATGTATCAATTGGCATCTACGTAGACAAAATTTGTACCTCATCTATAAACTTCCAATAATATCCTCTTTCTCTTTGAGTCTAATGGTTTTCTCATTTATAATCTGCTCCTTCAATTCCTCAAAAGTAAAGGTGATACTGTGACCTACTGATTTAGACTCTTTAGATCCAACTTTGTTAAGCTGTTTGATTTATAGTTTAAATTGATTATTCAAACTGGTATCATCTAAATTAAACATGATGACTTCATTCCATTCCATGTATTTGGAACTCTTTTGAACACTTGTCTATTATTCTTTGACTTGATTGTTTCCCAATGATATGACAACATAGTAATAAGTTTCGCTTCCTTGATTCCTAAAATTGCCTGTCTGAACATCAATAATAAGACAAGGTTTGAAATCTGTATTAAATTCTTCAGGAAGATTTTCAATTTTCCTGATCAAAATTATTGATATTTTACAATACCTCTTAATCCTCCATAATGGCATCCATCAATTGGATATATTTTTAGAATTTATTTTTGTGATCATTAAGTTCATTCTCATATTGTGACCATTCTGCTATTTTCGAATGAACAATCTCGTTCAACTTTTTTGTCAATGTAGAATAATACGGGTAACCTTTAATATTATATTGTTAGCACCTAAGAATTTCAATTCATTCTGCATGTTGAATGCACTTGAGTCCAGCTTTATTGAAATATCCTAACTAATCTCACTTTCCTGATTAACTAATTATTTCTTGCCAAAGAGACAACCCATTAAATAAATTAATATATATAATTGATAAATAAAATATAAAATTTAAATCTCAAATGAAAAATTTGTAAAAGTAGAAAAAAAAGAGTAAAAAAATTAAATCAATAATCTTATACTCTTTTAAAGTACTTTTCAAAATTTTCCTGGGAGACAAACAAATTGTAATCCAAAGTTTCCAAAAAGTAACTCTCGATATAAATAAGCTATTCTTTTTTGAGTCCACTAGCCAATTTGAACTTCTCAATATTTCTTGGCTGGTCATTCAGAACCTTATCAGCTATTATAATTGCTCCAATCAGTAATCCAGTACTATTTTCTAAGTTAAGAAATATTCTTAGCTTTTTGGTGATCTAGTCAACAAAATAAAAAGCCAAGATGAGAGTTTCATCGTCTAGATTCATCTGATAAAGGTTCTTAAGTGTTTTGCATAATTTCTATAATTAAATTAAATTTCTTACTTAATTTGACTTTGGGATTTCTATTGTGGTTTCTAATCTTAACTTATCATATAACTAAAATATTCTAGTCATAATTTTAGTTATTTTATGTAAGGCACAATGAGCAGCAAAGTTTGGTGGTGTAAACATTTAATTTTTCAAATTATTATTAATTCTTCATTCCCTTTTTTTTCAAACCTTTAAAGGAGGGTAAATTATATTTAATTTTTAAACAACTATATTAAAAATTAAAATTTATATAATGTTAAACATCTACAACCAATGATTAGGCTATATACTCATCAAATCCCCTTGAATCAAAGCAAATGGTAGTAAAACAGAGCATAATAAATTAAAAATTTCATTAAAACTTCAAATACTAAATAATTCCCTTTTTAAGTAATATTATAATTATATTCATAATTATCATCAGAAACTGACTAGAAATCATTTAGGTTTTTTGTTTGATGGCCTTTTAGAAAAATAAGTGTTTTTGAAGCAGACATCATTCTCATTTAGCATATCAATATTGCTTTTTTAGAATAAAATGTATATTTAAAAGACTTAGCCAGGTTTCTTGAGTAGGAGTGTTTATCCTTGCAGTGTTATTAGTTTATAATCTCTCTTGGAGTGAATTATTAGAAGTTCATTCTACAAGCAATCTTATGAATAGTTGAGTATTAGATGTTCTTTGTGAAAAACTCAACACACATCACAGCTCTTATTTAGATATCTTCCAATAGCTCCTACTTTAGATTATAAGACAAATTTTCAAGAATAGAATGGTTAAAATTCATCAGAATATCTTGATGAGCCTAAACTAATAATAATTTCATATAGCACTTATACTGATTAATCTTGCTGATTCCTATAGATCCATCAATATTAATTTCAATTTATTACTCAAAAATTAAAATCAATTAACAATTTTTTTTAAACGAATACAGAATAATCTTATATGTTTGAAATAATGTGTGAGATTTCTATCCCAATATTAATTTAATTTAAATGCACAAAATGGATAGATAAATACAAAAAGCATTTTTAAAACTTAAAATTTTCATATAATTTCTAAATAATCCTTATTACAATAGATTATCCTTTATAGTTATTTGTTATTATTTCTGTTAATAATTTCGAGTGCAAATATCTTATTTATAATATTATTAAAAAATGTCATATGTTTTCATAAATAATTCACGATTTTATTTAATAATTTAATGTTTGTCTCATATTCATCGATTACAATTTCATCTTGTGGATCCTTTTAATTTTGCACTACTTATTTCTCTTGAACTTCCTGGTTGTTTTGTGTCGCTTTAGATTTATTGAAATCTTTTTCACCTATTTAATAATTCTCATATGATTTATTTATGCAAATGAATTGCATATTATCTTTGATTGCCTCTAAAATTTCCTCTCCTTTAAGATCAAAAATAGTATTTAAGTAAATTAATTTAAAAGTTTAAATTCTAATCTTCTCAACAATATCATCAGTTTATTTATGATTAGTTGGCATCTCCTCAGGATTATTACCTTCAATAGTATATTCAGTAATATGTTCTTGCTTTATTTTCAATTTTAATTTATCAACTTTCTTCTTATGTTATTTCTTTTTTTTCCATTTCTTCGATATGATGGAAGTTAATTCATTATGAGTGGCGTAAGGATTTTTCTATTTGTTCTAAATTAATTCTTTATTGTAAAACTCTTTCCAAAGTAATTAACCTCTTTTAATCTTCTTACCAATTTAGCAAGATTATTAATTTAATTACGGAACAATATCTTCATTTTCAGTCTTCCTTTTTGTTTATAGTTCATCATCCTCTCTAATATAAATAACTAACGATTTATTATCCATAATTATTTATATGATAACGACGATAAGTATATACTCATAAACAGAAGATAAACTTTAGAAGGATTTTTTTCAATTTATATCCCTTATACATTTAATTCTCTAATAAAATTTATATTAAGATGATTTCCTTCCTTAAATAGAGTTTTTAAATAACTTATGTTTGGCGAAATTAATATACCAAAATAAATGAATTTTTAAATGAATTTATCATGAATTTTCTAATGTTACTTCAAATAATTAATTATTATTAATTTTTAGAAATTTAAATAAATAAAAATTTATATATAATAGAATTAAATAGTGCCAAAATACTAATACTTATCATTTGGATAATAGACCAGATCTTACCAAATCTACTCTCATAGTCTTCACTTAATTCATGGTTTCGTTCAGCATGAAATATCTGTAATATTTTTTGCTGAAATTAAAGTCTTGTTATAGCTTAGTAAATAAGAAATATTCCAATAAACAAAAGTATAGAATGAAGATCACAACAAGTTACGTAATACTTAAATAATGAGATAGCTTACTAGCAAATTAGACTTAAATCTGATGAACTCTTTAATATATTCTCAGCATCTGAAGCCCAAATCTGAAAATTATTCTGATATATTTCATAAATAATCTAAAATGATATCTAATATTGGGCAAGATCTTCTAAAGTAAAACTTTCATATCTTTAATCATCTGGATTTAATGCTTTTATTACCACCTATGATAATAATATGTTAAATTGTTTTAATCCTCTTTTTAATGCCCCATCCAATATAACATCACAGAACTAATTGTAATAAATATAAGTTCCAGTTTCATCTAATTGTTATACTTATAAACCATACCGAATGATTAATCACACAATGTTTCATCAAAAACACGTTAAATCTCATTTATGGATGTTTAATACAGATTAGGCTAAAATAGTGAAACGTCGTTAAGAAACTACTGGAATCTAAAGTTCGTGATATTGGGGTAATAAGAGGAGTTTAAATAGTTTTCATAAATGAATTTCTAATATTTGATGATAAATTTACTTCCTTAAGCAATGTAATTAGCCAAAAATAGTTTGTTTGAACTAAGAAATTGTTATCCAAAAAGAATTACTTCACTTGTGTTTGATTATCCAAAATGAAATAATACACAAGTATGAATAAAACAGTTATAATTGTTAAATAACACATAAGAGCAAAAACAGTCTAGAAAACAATAAAATTGTATTAGTACATTGAATGAATATTTTGGTGGCTTTTGAATTTTGGCTTTATCTCTTTTTTAATTGATTTTTTCGACTTCATTTATTTCAAAGTCTTGCTATCTATGACTAATGATTATATTTACATAACTGTATCCCCATTCAAAATATGCAAAGATTATTTTTTGTATCCATATTCTAAATGATATAATAGATGTAAAATTACATTCTTCTTCAAAAAGGGAATTTAATTATGCAAATAATATTTGATATTGTCTCATGGCTTTAATTTTGTCATCTTTGGGCAAGTTAGTAACAATTTAGTATATAGTATTTATATCATTGCGAAACTTAAATTTAATCAGCAAAGAAAAAATTGAGTTGATTAGCATTAAGGTCAATTGGAGTATCATAAAGAGAATGAGATTATCAATAGACGAGGATTAATATTGAATAGCATCATTAATTCTTGAAGCAACAGAATCCTACATTAATTCTTGCCCATAAGGTACCATGTAATCTCTAAAATGGGATAGTATAGTATTATTTTATATTATTGAAGACTTGTCAGAGCGATTAAATTATAATAAGTTAACTTTAAACTAATCCAAAATATCCAGTCCACTGACATTCTCATCATCCCCATAAAATCCAGAATAAACCATCGACACAAAATCTTAATTAGCATAGATGTAGGAAACATAAGTATTATAATCTCCAATCTCCAAACTGACAAAATCATAAAACTACCTCGTTGTATTAAATTTTGTTGCTGGATTTGTAATTAATAAGCTTGACAATTTTTACTCATTCATTAGAGCTACATCAATGATATAATTATATGATGATACGGTTAACAACTATATTTTATAAAGATGGCCGAATAAAATCACTGAATTGTGTAGAGTAATAGGGTTGTAGTAGAATGAGCAAAAAAAGTAAGTAAAGGAAATAAACACCAGTTACAAAAAAAATGAAAATCTGTTTAAAACAACTAGCAAGGTCAATTTTTAATTCTTCTTTGATAGTTTATTTATCTCTTCCTTTATAAAAGGATTTTTCTATTCATTTAAACTATATATTGCATTTGATCCTTAAACTAAAAAATCTTCCCTGAGGGTGTAATCAATTAAAAAAGGCTTTTAAGAGTATTCTCTATTCGTAATCAATTCCATATCTAAACTATAGAAGTATATAGATTACCTGAATACATATTTCCACTTTGACTTTTTAAGTTATATGACTAAGATTGAGATGCTATTATAACTTCTTTAGCCAAAGCCGAAGTGTATGGTCTAAATGAATTGGTGTTGATAAATTCATTCTCCTGCTTATCATTGCTATTTGTGTTTTCATCATAAAGTTCTAAACGATTAATCTTCAAAATATGAAAGGATGTTTTATTTAGAGTCTTATAGAATTTGATATTAGCATCAACTTTTAACACTTTTTCAAGTACCTTTTCTGAACAAAAATGTTCAAACAGATTTTCTATTTTAATTTAAATGCTTACTAATTTTTTAATAGATAAACTTCATTCTCTATTATTTAACCCATCTATATCTTTAAAGGAATTCAAATTTATCTACTCTTAAATTGCCATTGTCATTTCTGATAATCAACCTCTTCCTGCTTTCCCCATCATAAAAAATGGTCTACATCTAAGCATCATACCTATTGTAATCTTCTTGAAATTCAGCTTTGTACATAGGTACTCTAATATTTAATTTAATATGATTCAATCTGGTTAATTTTGCAGTTTTCTCAATGTCATTGTCCTCCTCAAGAATTTATTAAAACAATTAAATCACATTCTACTTTTGCTTCTCCTCCAACTCTCTTTTAAAAACTAAGCTTGTTAATTCATTGATAGATTTATTACTAAATGTTTAATCATTTTATCTTCTGAATGTAAATTTCTTATCTTAGATTCTCTCTCTGCTACCATAAGAACATATTTTCAGACTCAAAATTTTCATATCAAAATTTGTAAGAAATTGAGCGTATTCAGTATATGAAATGGCTTTAGGACATAAGGATAGAAAAGGGAGTTTGTAATCTCCGAATATTTAATAAAGGTATTCGCTTGAAGAATCAATTTCCCACCTTGAATTCAAAACTATATACTAAGAGCGACTCGACACTTACCTCAACATGCTCAAATACTCAAACCTATCTTACTCCAAATTAAAAATGTATTTCAAATATTTTTGTGCTTTAAAACAATGTCCTTTGCTATGTTTGACCAAAATGGATCTTCTCTTAAATAGATTTTCAGATTGTCCAGTCTTATAGAATTACTTTAAAAAATCATTATGATTCTCTTTGATTACGTCTGGCATTAGTGTTTCAACTCTAATTCCTCTGTATTCATTTTAAGATCGACCTAAAATTTTAAGTGTTGATTGACTAGCTGCTATAATTTCTCCAAATTTATCAACTCGAAAAAAAAGGTTGTTAGATGAAATGATACAATTTGTTAGGTAATAACTTTTGGTTTAAGCCTCATCTTCACTTGAGGATCTTTCATCTACTTTTTCATCTTAAAAGATTTATTAGGATTTAAGATTTTGATCAGGTAGTTCTTTGATTTCTTATACTTTTAATTTCTTATGAAGAATATACAGTTTAAAGTAGAGGTAGAAGAATTTCCATCTGAATCTTATCAACATTTGTTATTCATCAATTGGATTAGTGACATGAATGTTTTTCCATTGTTTCTGACAAATCTAAATCTCTTACAGTATTGACTAACATATTTTAAGTAATTCAGGAATTGAAATAACTTGTTGAAGTTAATTCTTCCAAAAATACACTTGCAATTCAGCTATTTTTTGAAAGGCCTAGAAGAACTCTTTCATTTGTTCTTCGCATTTCAACACGTTTTCAAAGGGAAGTTTTGAACGATAACTTAATTGATTGTTCTCCTTCAATTTATTGTGAATTGATAGTTTTAATTATTTAATTCTCATTTTTTAGTTAAAATTGATGTTGTTCTTGATTTTGGATAAGTGTTTGAATGATTGGTTGATTAGATTGAATTTATAGAATAAGATTTCTGAGTAGAGCAACCGTATTTCATCAGAATTGGGTTACACTTTTAATTAAGTTTCAAGTAGACATTTGATGAGGAACTTCACAAACAATCCTTTGTATTTTTCGATGTTGTGTTTCTTGGTTGTTATGTAGGTGTATTTGGCAAACTTCTTACCACTGTAATAGATGGCACTGTGTCTTAGGAAGCATTTCCTATTATTTGGGTGATTATAATGTTTAGTGATCATTCCCATGTAATATATATTTGAGCATTCGAGTTCTCTGAACCAATTTAAAAGCATAACTCGGGTTGAAACATCTTTGGAATTAGTGAATTGATACTCAAAATGCCACTTTCTAAAACCAACATGAACGGCAACACAAGCAATTATTATCAATATAGTTATGAGAGTGTAAGGATCATCGATGTTAATGAAATATTAGATCAGCAATCCAAAGCTTTACCCAAAATAAATCACATTAACTAAATGAAAGATGTAATCTATATCATATTTTCCAAAAATTACCATAAAATACTCTAGTTAAATGTAATTTATAAACGACAATCCAAAACTAACAAGTAAATAAACCATCTAAAATTATTATTTATTATTTGTACATGGGAATTTTGGTTTACATAATAATAACTTGAGTAAGAGCATTACACTAATTTAATCCAACTGCTAAACACATAGGGCCAAGATTGTGCGACGTTCAGAAAGTCTTGTTTATTAAAATTGTCGTTAAGCAATGCAAAGTCGTGAAAAAAAGTAAAGAGCACGACAAAGAGGATTGTGAATATTGAAAAATATTGGCTCATCGAATTGTCAAGCAAGGTGTTATAGATCGACACTAAGAGGAAGGGATAACACAGAATCCAGTACAATATTCTTACGGATCTTATAAAAATCTATATAAACTAAATGAGTACATTTCCGAGACTCCTAAACTATATTTGTTGAGCCTGATTGTTGTTTTTTTATAAAAGTAGCAGAATTCCAAGCAGGGTGATAAGTAATGACAAAGCGAATTCGATTATTGATACAATAAGTGTAAATTGTGAATTATCGAAAACGATATTGCTAACATCTAATTAATTGAGTAATGCTGAGAGATTAGAATTGTTTGAATCTCTAGTCTACGCTATAATCATATAACTAAATAATAAAAATTCTGCTTTGATTACTTATTATAATGGTTGACAAGGATGATAAAATAATGTATTATTACATAAGCAATGCTATTCACATATTTAGAAACTATCTCTTGTCTAATTTCGAAAGTAAATAGAAAAAAGGGGTTCATGATTTTAATAATCTCTAATTGATATAATATTTAAATAATTTCAACATAAACCCATACATTAATTATCACTATCAGCAGCATTAATAATTTAATATTCCTAATTCGTGCCTTATTGTTAATGATGTTTTTTTGTAATTTAAGACTCAAGAATTCTTACTGAAAATTAACGAAAGGATTATTGTAATCAACATCAATACTCTCCCATGAGAACACCCTATTCTTAACTTTAAACAGACAAATATGGAGAATCAGTAATGAAAAGAAATCCCCAACATTAGTATGTAGAATAGCTAGAATTTTTGAGTATTGCTATAGATCTTCTTATGTGAATAAACTAATTTTATAAAACTGAGTTATAATAATAATAGCTATCTGTAGTTCCTATAATATTAATTATCAAATAATTGGGCTAATTAATATAAACTTATATATAATTTGTAAATATTTTAACTATTAATGATAAACGAGGCCCTTTTAGATATTTTATTTGCCCAGTTTGAGGATGTTAATGAAATGAATTAAAGAGATAAAAGCAGTTTAGATTTAAACTTTGCAATGCGACACTTCAAAGACATTTTAGACTGCGATGCATTATTTGCAGGATTCAAACCCCAAGATTAAAATGATGATACAAGCGATGACGAAGAGGAAGAGGAGGGAGCCAGTGACGTAGAGCAAAAGAGGATTACTCAAAGATAGAATCTGAAGATCAATGAGCCTAATTTGTAGAATATGAAATTGGCTCCCGATTAGGATTAAAATGAATATTTGAGAAGCAACCCCTAATTGAGAACCTTTTTACGTCAAATGGAATTAAGAAGCAATTAGTCATCAGCATAAACCAACAATACTCGTTAATCCTAAAATGTTAAATATCCAGTCTATGCATTTTCTGATTTTTATTATGCCGCCAGTGAGGATGTTAGAATGATCTACGACAAAGTGATTAACATCATTCTGTACAAGTATAAGAAAACTAAGTCCTTTGATGCTGATTACTATGACTCCTTGATGCAATTTTTCTCTGTTTTGACTGATCAATAAATCAAGGAACACTTACAGTAGAATAAGGATTCAGAAATCATCTTGAATTCCTTCAAAAAGCAGAAATGCTTGAAGAGTCTAGACAAAAGACTGTCCCTCTATACTAAGTTATAAAATGAGAGCAAGGACAACTATACAATCTTATGCTAAGAGGAAGTAGTTGAAAACCCTTATGGAATGATGCAAAGTTCATATAATCCACTATTAACGCCTAAATTCTATCAGGAATTAAATGATATGATCAACAAAAAACATAAAAAGATAAAGTTGGAGGAGGGCATAAATTACAAGAGAGAAATTTAGGAGAGAATGAAGAATGGGAATGAGATTAATGTGCAGTAACCAGAAGAGAATGAGGAGTACTAGTAATAAATCTAAGTGGATTAGGATCCAAAAAAGAATCAAATGGAAATAGAAGCCTAGATTAGATAGAAAGACAGTGAGAATTTGAAACGGTTTTTTGCTGATAAATTCAAATTATTTGAATAATAAAAGGATGATTTCAAAGCAGAAGTTGAATCTCAAAAACATGAAAGGATTATTAACAAAGAATCCTTTTTGTATCAATGTCCATAGTAAGATTTTACTTCTTTAAAATGCCAAGCATAAACTGATGAGGCAGGAATGGGATTATTGCAGCGTATTTAGTAACAATTAGAAGACGAAAAGAAATTGAATGAGTAATAGAATTAATAAAATTAACAACCAGATGAAAGCTATAAATAAGTTGAAATCGATAAAAAGGAATAGGAATTTCAGAACGCTTTGGATAATTATTCATATTACAACAAAGAGATTGTCGAATTTTGTATGGGTCACAAGGATAACTTCTTATCAAGATCGTTTCAAACTTATAATAGAGTTGAAGTTGATCTCTAGAATCGACAATTCTTTAGTGAGAAATTGGAGGTGTTATTGCACTAAAAGAAGTTTCCAGAGAAAGTAGGGACATAATAATAATTGGCTAATAGATTGGCTGCTCCATCAATAGTGTCAAGACAAAAGGATAATAGAAGTGCTGTATCTCATGTGAATTTACTAAGTGTAGAGGATTAGTAGGAGTCTTAGGATTTGTCATAGTTTGAAGATGGAATACAACAACAACAGGATTTCAATTAGTAATTTGGCAATGAGGATGTGGGGAATAAGGAATTATTGAATTTAATTGAATCTAAAATGAAGGCGTTTTAAACTACACCATTTTATATACATTCTTTGGTGGCTGAGTCATTTCTCTTAAATGATTTTTCTTAGGTGTTGTCGAAACATGCAAAATACCATAGGAATAATATTGTAGACAATTTATATGAAGAGAAAAGAGAACTTCTTGGATTGGAAAGAGAGCAAGTCAAATATTTTGATCCATGGCCGACTGAATTGGTTCCCTTGGTGAATTTAAAGGAACAAAAGAAGGACAATAGGGAAGTATTACTTGAAGAATCAACCGAGAAATAGAATAGTCATGAGTATTATAAATAGATCGACAATCTATCCTTGTCGAAGGGTAACTTTATATTGATGGAGTATATTGAATAGAGGCCATTATTATTGAACAATACTGGAATGTGCTCTAAAGTGACTAGGTATGTCTATTCTAGTAGGGCACTACAACAATTTAATTAGAAAAGAATTAAGGATGAAGGTGATAATTACAATAACTTTTAAGAGAATAGTGTCTAAGCTAATTACAGAAGCACCTATGGATAAATGGGATAGATTACGAATGAGGAGATGGCTCTTTGGGAATTCAAAAATATGTTGGTTGAACAATTGGGTAATATAGGTTAGATTAGATTTCTCGATAAGAATTAAGCAATACCACTTTAGGGTCAACTTACAGATGAACGATTTATAGGGATAGCAGTTATAGAGAATGATCTTTACAGGGCTCCAATTTTCAAATAGAAATTGCCAGTCACTGATTTTCTATTGGTGAGAACAAGAGTTGATAATTGCCATTATAAGTATACACTTAGGCCTATAGATTGTATATACTTAGTTGGTTAAATTGAGCCTAAAGTAGAAATCTTTACTCCTCAGTCTAGACCTTTGGGAACATTCTTAAAGAATTGTCTAAAGACCTATATAAAGAAATAGTTTAAGATGGGTTTGGAAGTCAAATAAGACGAATTGGAATTAATATTTTAAAAATAAAATCAAAAACAAAGTCAGAAACAGAGTCACGCCTACATTAGATCAGCTCTGAAAGAATGTAAAGGGATACAGGATTCTTCTAATCAAAAAACTTGGAGATATCAGAAAGGAGGCAATGATGACATCCAGATTCTTAAGTATGACATAACTGCCAATCAAGTGTGCTTGTATGAGTCTATGTTGCATTCCTCTTATCTATTATAAGAGTTTGGGTTGAGAGAACTCAAGAACAGTGATAAGATGAAGAAAACTCTCTAGGAATACTTGTCAAGAAACCCTTAGGATTTTAATAGTTGGGTTATTGCAAGGAGGGTTGAAGATGAACTAAATATGACTGCATGGTCCTTGTCTCAGTCCTTTTTGAATTCAGCCAATTAAACAGGAAGGATGCTATTGTATGGAATTGGAGATCCCACATCAGGACATGGAGGTTTAAATTACATTAAGAAACCACTTAAGGCTAGAGGGGAGAAAGGCTAGAATGCTATCCAAGAGAAGAAGCCTTCGGTAATGGGTACTGAGAACGATTTACGTAAGTTGCATGTAGAAGACATTCAAAATATATCTAGTAAATTAGGATTGACGGTAAATAATTTATTAAAATTAAGACTGAGCCGAATCTGAAGAGATGGAAGATGATTAACAAGTTGACTGCGTTTCTATAGTAATCGTAGAATCCTGATGATAAAGATAGTAGGGATGCTGTGATGTTTAGGAAGAATTTGGAGTTGTTGGATGAGAAGTAGAGAAAGCAATTGAATGTCATTGAGAAGTTTGCTAAGAATTAGAGATAGACAACTAAAAAGTAAAAAGAATAATATCAGAAAGAATTAGATAAACAATTAGCACAACTGATATAGAATCTTACAATCAAGGTGCAAGGAAAGTACTTTGAGAATTTTGAAGAAGTTAAGAAGAAGAGAACTAAGAGGGATTTGGATAAGGATGATAAGAATAAGGATTTGGAATATAATGATGAGGATGTTAAGCCATATTTAATAGTGGATCAGGAGAATTATAAGTTGAGGATTGAGGCATTTTAGAAGAAGGAGAAGAAGATTTGGTTGGAGAAGAAGAAGAAGAAGGGATTGTCTTGAATTCTCATTTTTATTCATTATGCTTTATAAATTTTTAATATTATTAATTAATAATGTAAATTGACGAAGTTGTGTGGTAGGTGATAAATCGAGGTCATTGTTCATTTAAGATAAAGTAAGAATAAAAGTACTATGACTAGAACAATCTCCTAGAATTTCTGTAGAAATGAATATAATGTGACAGGGTTGTGTTCTAAATAATCCTGTCCATTGGCAAATTCATAATATGCCACAATTAAAGAAGAAAAGGGATTATGTTATCTTTATGTAAAAACAGCAGAAAGAGCATAAAAACCAAAAGAATTATGGGAGAAGATACTATTATCGAAGAACTATGAATAAGTAAACTTACAAAAAATATCAATTATAGGCATTGGCTTAAATAGATGAATAGTTAAAATATTGGAGTAACTTCATGATTCACAAAAATAAGCAAAGATTGACTAAGCTAAGACAGATGTTGATAAGAATAAGGAAGATGCGATTGAAGGGATTGTATGAAACAATAATATATAATAGCAAGGAATTGATTCCGATTAAAAAGAAGGCAGAAAGAAGAGATAAGATCAGAGAATAGAAAGCATTGGTGGCTGCCAATTTGGAGAATGCCATAGAATAGGAATTGATAGACAGATTGAAAAATGGAGTATACAATGAGATTATGAATTACAATACTAAGGCTTTTGAGAAATTCGTTGGTTAGAATTAAGTGGAGGATGAAGAAGAAGTAAATTCTAATGAATAATTATTTCTATAGAGAGAACAATAGGAATAGGAAGAGGAGGAGGAAGATTACTCAGATGAGGAATTGATATTTGATCCAAATGATTTAGAAGAAGATGATGAAGAAGATTAAGAGCAAGATGATGAAGAGGATGATAAAAGATTGTTTTAGAAATAGACATTTAATTAATTAAGGAGAGATGGTAAGCATTAATAATAATCTTAGATGATGAAGTGAAGGATGTTAAGAAGAAGAAACCAAGAGTGAAATTGTAGTACGAGGAAGAAGAAGAATTGGAAGATAGAAAGAAATAATAAATTGCATTTTGATTTGTTTATAATATAATTTATTAGTATAAATCTAATATCAAAATACTTTTTCTAGCACATCTTTGAATGATTGTACATTTTGTTTAAATAATGACGACTATCTTTTGATGTTCGTTTTCTTTGGATTAGCATTAGCTTATTCTAAAGAGTTAATAATGAATTACTTTGATTTTCAAGAAAACTTGACGGAGATCTTTGAACAGTGGTATCTTATGGTGACGATTTGCTTATGGGTTCTAATATAATGCAATGTTAGTAATATTGATATGATTTAGTTTCCTTGTAAATATTCAAATGTCCATAATTCCTTTGCACTCTAAGATCATCCAAGTCTATCGTCTAAGTTAATCTATTTTAAGATGCCCTTGAAACTGAGGCTCCGATATTCATTGACAATTTCAGATCATTTCCTGACGAACTGGTTTGTTCTGTGTATTCATCAAGATTTTTTGTTTTCTCTATGAGTTTCAAAGTGTAAGCTTCCCATGTCTTAAGAGCAATCAACACATTTAAATATTCTGAAAGGATGTTGAAGTTTTAATGCTTGGAACTGTATTCATCCTAAAAATATTCTTAATCTTATTATTATTCTGATTTCATGTTATTTTCTTTCATTTTCCTTTTCATAGCTAAGTCAAATTATTTCATTTGTGATCTACCTATCAATGATCCTGATTTGAATACACTTTCTTTAAAAGCAAATCGAATTGTCTCATAAAGTAATTCATTAAAATACACATAACCTTGCTTATTTGCTCTTATTCTGAAATTAGAAGCACTCTTAGCTGCATCCCATACATTATCTCCTTCCAGTGCTCCTAAGGGTTCATGTAAATCTAACAAAAAGCGCGCGATAAAACGAGTATGCATTTTGGTTCCTTTAGTTTCATATGTGTATTTACACCAAACATTACAGAAATGATCTACATTCTCCACAAACGTCTGGATGGCATTAGTTGAAGCATTAAAAAAATCTAAGACATAATGATGTTTGAATACTTTCAAATTAATCCACTAAGGCTAGCACAAATAGGTTCATAATGATGATATTCGAAAACAAATAGTATGAAAGAAAAAATGGCAAGGACCATGATGATCCACACTAATTATGATCACTCTTGCAATAATAGTTTTAAGTAGAGCAATCAATTAACAGAGCTCTCCAATCGTCACCTGTAGTGCATTTGAACATCAATAATGCAGAATTAATAAAGTTCTTAAAATTGGCATATTTGTCATCAATTACTGATCCATTGGTTATGTGCGAAAATAATTCCTTCCCTATTAGAGCATATGTAGTTTATGCTATGACTTGAATGTATAAGATCTTTAACAATAGGGGCATTGAAAACCAAAGCACTCTCAGCAATCTCAATAGTCCCTTGAACTCCTAAATTATCAGCAATATACGGATGTCTCGTAAACAAAACAAAATCCTATAGAATGTGAAGTATTAGTCAGATTAATTAGCACTTAAGAAAGTAGTAAACCATCCCCAATAACTATCATAGATAAAATCAGCAACAGCAATAAACGAAAGGGACAATTCAATAACTCTCCAATTAGTTGCTTTAGATAGTAACACTATAAATACCAAAATATCGAGTTGGACCATAGGCCAACAACTTGATAATCGTATCAAGAGCAAACACTCCTGTCAACACTTAATAAGTCTTATTAAGATTTGACATGTATTCATAAGATGCATCTGAATAGAATAAGCACAACACAATAGTATTGACACATAACACAACTATGAAATACTTATGGTATAATTGACTAAACACAATTCTATAACACAATCTTCTAAGGGGTGTCTTTGGAGGATTACTATATCCAGGACTTTATTCCAAGATCAATTCTGAGATTTTCAGAAATTATGATTGATCACTAGTCAAAAACTTATTTTCTAACTTTTTAGTATACTTTTAGAATTCAGTGAAGAGTACGCCTGTAAGGAATCCCATAAAAAACATGGCTCCAATGAAAATAAACAAAATAAAGAATAAGTAGGTAGCCCATTAGGTTTTTAGAGGAGTAGGACCGTATTTAGAATCATTTGCATTAAAGCATACTTACATAATTTCTCCCCATCCATCCAAAGATGCAACCAAGAATAATGTCAACAATCCATTTAAAATATTTTCGAAATTGTAAGGGTGAATGATCCAATTCTTATTTTGTTGCAAACATAGATCATTATTTACATGGAAATTCATTAGATCTTCACAATAACCCATTTTGTTTTAATACAAATGCATTCCTATTACATCAAATATCAAGAAGACTAACAAAATTACTCCTATAATATTTAGAATTTGAACTAGACTCAAACTCATCGCATTTTTAATACCTGAAATGCTTTGAAACATGTTGATCATCATCAAAGGGCGTAAATAGACTAAAATATATACATTATTACTTAGATAAAGTGAAAATTTCAAAAATGGAGACTGAGTCATAAAGGACAAATAATAACTAATCAAATACAAGATATCTATAAATCTCCAAATATCTCTACAGAATGCTCCTTAATCCAATAACATCCCTTGAGAAATGATCTCCAGAATATAAGTTATTGCAATGATTAGATTCACAGCTAATAAATGATATTCATAAAATGTGTTTAAGTTATTTGTATGCAAAGATGGCAAACTATCATCAAATGATATAATGATCATCGTAGCTACAGAAGAGCAAATTGAACTATTCAATATAAATTTGAAGATGAAAGATTTAGTTGTTCTAAAACAAAACTTCCTAAATTTATTATTGAAATGGAATATGAATAGGGAATATTCGCATTCGATATCTTTATAATACTATATTTCTAATGACTTCTACTTACTGAATATGTGCTTCACTGTTTCAGGCACTTATTGATAAATGCTCTTCTTGCTATTAAGTGTCTATCGTTTGATAAACTATTATTATTAAATTTTTATATCATTAAGGATATCCTCATTTTCATCCTTCTCATTCTTATACGAAGATAACGTATCTAACTGAGTCTCATTCTGATTAATATTCTCTTGTATTCCTAATTTCTGCAGTATTCTCTCTCTCTTCTCCTCAAACTGATTCCCCTTTTCTAATTCTGATGAGAATGCATCCAATAATACTGCACTCACCAAACCATATATTAAATAGTTCAACCCAAATACCATTGTGATATAAAACAGCAATCCGATCCAAGTATCAGTGTATTAGGTAGCTACTTTTAACATTCCAACTGCATCGTCGTTTGTAATTGTATTAAATACAGTCATCCATGATTTTCCTATGCTATTAAATGAATGCAACTAAGCCAATCTCTAAGTTTCATCAAACTTATTCACAAAAAACTACAATCCCATTATGGCATACATAAAAATAATATAGAACATTAAAAATGTGATATTTATATATGACTTCATTGTCAATTAAGCAATCTTCATTATTCTTACAATAAATTTGTTATATTTAATCACTCTATAGAGCATAAATGCTTTTGATGCTCTTAATACTTTAATTTCACTGCTATATTGTACCAACCAAAAGGGTTCAGTGATTGAAATAAAGTATTATATCAAACACAAAACAATAACAAAAGCATCCAGGTTATTGCTAGACTTTTTACTAAAATCTTGAATTCCATATCCAATAATCTTCAAAGTTATTTCCCCCAATAATAAGAATGTCATAACTGAATTGATTGAATCAACTAAATCAGAACTTAAATAGCCATCTGAACAAAGAATAAAGAAATTAACCATGGTGTACAAGTCAAAAATAATTGAGACAGTCTTTTCTTCCAATAATTAATGTAATTTAAATTAAAGAACTATCCAATAACCATAAAATCCTTATATCCAAATGTTATACTAATGCTTATTGAGCTATTTAAGTATTGCGATCAATTTGTTTTTGGTTACATTTTACAAGATATTCAGGATTGAAATATTATGTCTCCTTATATATCCTTGTTCTAATTCTTTTTTCTATTAAGAATAATACAAAATATATTACTCTAATTTTAACAAAGTGTTCATAATTTTGATCCATCCAATCCAAATCTAAAATCTGGTCATCCTCCAAATACTGCTGATCATCCAGATCATTAATCTTTCTATGAATCAAAATTGAACAGGCTTCATGATTCCACTTTATACCATTTATTGTGATATACGATTGCCCCTCTTGCCATTCTGGAAATTCCATAAAGCCATCAGTAGTTCCTCTTACCATTTTAGTTTGAGATCTCTAAAAGAATAATCTCTGTTTTCTTATATGATCAAAATACGATTTACGGGTCATTGTTGATTTGTTACTAGGCATTTCATTTTTTGAATTATCCAAATCCAATTCAGAAGTAAACATCCTTCGACTCAATTTAATCGGAAATTTCTATTTGATTTTTGAAGCAGTACTTTATTCTCTACTTCTAGTATTAATTTCAAGCTTAATGCTGTAGAGCCTTTGAATAGATGGAGGTCCATTATCTGAAGATTTCAACTGTTCTTATGTTACTTTATCCTTTTGCTTATCATAAATGTCTAACATATAGTACTATTTCAAATTTTGTCTTTTGACCTTTTCATACTGCTCTTTCAATTTCTTTTCTTTCTCTAAAATCTCTTTGAGTTCACTTATTACATCTCTTTTTGATGTAGAATGATATTGAGAATACTTCAAATCCAATTTCCATGCCAACACATCATTGTATTTTAAACTCATTAAGATCTTCTTACCCTTAACATCTCCTTACACTGCCTATTCATATTTTGATTATTCAATATTAAAATTTCTTTGTGGTTACAGAATAGCCTTCAAATTACATTTATCAAAAATGCTTTGCTCATTGCTATTAATTATGCCCATCTCTTCATTCTCTCTCTTTTAGAGTAATCTCTGTTGTCTAGCAGATAGGATCAACCTTAATTATTTTTTCTTCTCTTTAACTGTTTTAGCTCTCCTGACCATTTTCTACAATTTGTTTATTTATCCAAACCCATTCGTGAATTGGGTCTTGATTTTTGATTTCTGTAACAATTGATTTCCTTTTGGTGAAAATATTAAATTATCAATTGACTTAATTTATGAAACGTTTGATTGAGAAAATCGTTTACGCACCTTTTATAATGTTTTAATCTAATGATACAATCCAATATTTTTGATAAACCTTAAGTTTAATGGTTCGATGTAAGATTGTTTATTTGACAACTCTTCTTTATCTTCTTAATAATTGGATACAATTTATGAATAATATGTCTTCAAAACAGCAATAATTAGATTAAATGCGAAAAAGCCTACCAAAATATTGCAAATTCATACCTACAATAAAAATGACCAAAACAAAGTAGACCCATGTCATTGGACTGAGAGTGTACATAGTATAATACATAACATCAGTCCAATTATCCATGGTAATTATACGAATGATTTGAGCAAATGCAAAAAAGAAATTATCAAAATTAGTAGCAGTATCCACATTATTCAAGGACTTAAAACATTTCATATTATTTGGACAATTCACCCACCCACATATATTCTATTGGATATCTTAGATCCCCTCTTCAATTATGAAACATCTATTCAATAATAATTAACTGAAAAGATGAACACCAACGTTGGCAAAGAATATACAAAATATCAACACCACCAAGGATGCTTCCATCATATATTTCAAAGATTCAGTCAAAGCTTTCAATGTCTTTTACAATTACGAAGAGATCTTTGCTAATTGAATCAATATCCTCATTGCTCTTAAGGGAGAGAAGTCAAATGTTAAACTGCCATAAATGTACAACCCAAAGAGAATAAGCTAAATACTTTTTCAATATCTTACATTGACGAGATCATAGCAATTCCAGAATACCTTTAAGAACTCAACTAATCCTAATCCAACTATCTTTATACCATGCTCTACAACATAAATCCAAAAGAAGACTAATGTAAAATTATATATTATTACTTAACGACCAACCATCAAATAATGATTTGTATGTGATGTAAACATCATCATAAAATTTGGTTATGTACAATACCATATTTATTGAAACTAATAATAGCATTATAAAGTTCGATACTATGTTGGTTGTAATTTTATAACAAATTAATGAAATTGAATTAAAAAATGTTACAATTAGCTTTCTCAACCATAGCAAAATATAAGTATCTTTATAAAATTGATGGTTCAGCCAAATTTCTTCCCAACCTTCTACATGTACTAATTATAGATTGTAATTATCATTGTGAGGATCAGATTCATACAACTTTGTAAATTCGTCTATAATATCTGGGATTTATAAATTCTTTTAAAATATTAACTCATCAGGAGCCAATTTTTGATTTTGTCTCACTAAAGGAGTTGGAGTTTGCTCTAGAACATCTTCTTTCTCTTCGTCAATCAACTCCTCATCCATGTATTATTGGAGAGTTTTATAAATTTACCAGTGCTTGGCTCTGAATGTTTTTCTTCTATCAGGACTGATCTCAGTTTGCATGCCTCTAAACATTGCTTTTTTATCAATTTCTATCTCCTCATTGATATCCATTTCATAACTCTCATCAGAAGCCATTTAAATTCGAATTATGTCATCTTAAACATTTTCAAACTTGAAAGTACTCTTTTTCCTGACTCTTTCACTAATCAATATTTAATCACTACTTTTTCTATTGTATATTTGCTCTCGGACTTTTTTAATCATTTTGCCATAAATTCCTTGTACTTCGATTCCTATTCATTTCACCTTAATAGTTTCTCAAATTCTAAGCATTTAAATCACTAAAAACTAAATATTACAAAGCAATGTACCCCAATGGAAGCATTAATGATATTAAATTAAAAATAATTAATATACTTGTTCCAAATTATTTTTTATATATTCTCATTTAATTTCATTACTTAATCTAATGATCTCACTGTGTATATAATATTCACTCATCGTCTAATCCAGTTGTTGAACATAATATAAAAGGACTTTGATTACAAAATCAACTCGAAACCATGCTTTTTCAATAACATAATATCTTATTTTGTTAGATCTTAATATTAATCAAATTAAATTTTTAAATCTTCAGAAACCTTATTTAAAAGAATAAAGCATTAGTTCATTAAATCCTCTCTCTTTCTAACTTCATCATTACTTCCTCAATCTATTTTTATAATCTTCCCATAAAACTTTTAGATTAAATTTTACTTGATTCAATTAAATTATAGATTTAGACTATTTTGATTCCTGCAATAATATTAATCTCAAATATATCTTCATTTTTCTCAATATTTTTCAAAGAGGACTCGCTTCAAGCATATTCAACTTCATTATTCTTTTAAAGTTGCAATTACCCTATTTTTATTAAGAGGCCAACTAATATGAAATTATTATCTAAGCTTGAAGATATATTAATATTCTAAATTTTCACAGTTAATCTATTCGATCCAAATTTCAATTTTAACATTTTTCTAATTCTCTCATCTTTGAATTAAGATTTGTAATGATCTGTATTCATAAACTATTAATTAGGTTTTTATTAATAGATATAAAAGCACTTTAAATTGAATTTTGTTTCAATAAATTATGAATTTATTGTTCTATGATTATAAGTCTAAATTCTTCTTTTATTAATAATTAATTTAACAGGAGTTTGTACTTGAATTATAGAATTCATTTATAATTGAAATATTTATGTTCAATAGTTCGACTTATGGTTTCATTTTAATGGTTGATTCATCCAAAAGCAACCGATAAGCAAGCAAATTTTTAGCATTATTTATTGAGTGATAATTCAAATTCTTTATTTCAGATTAATTTTATAATGTGTTCTAACCTTTAATTAAAAATTTATCTGTTTTTTTCAAAAATTTCATCTTTTCCAATTCTTCAACTATGCATTGTACTTGTTGGGCCATAACATAAATGTTTTCTTCTTTAACAGTCACTTCAAAAGAGCAATTTTATTTTTCTCTTTGTGTTCATTGCTTATAGATTTCTATTATTATGTAATTCTTTAATCTTTATCAATTTATTTATTACTAATTTGTAATATGTGGTCTGCTTGAAGGTAAGGGTATTATATTTTATTAGAATTTTTACTTTTTCTAATCCTCCCTCATTCGCCATTAATTATAATTTTCTATAGAATGTTGAAAATTATTTGCATTATTCGATTAATCAGAACATTTTATATTGTTTTGAGGTCTTAACTCTACTTGAAAAGATAGAAGTGGTGAAAGTTGAAGATGCACAATAATGTTTGTGAAATAAATGAAATTTGATATAAAATGAATTTGTTTAACTTTTATTTAATAAGGTCAGAATGCACCCTTGAGTTATGATTTAACATAATCGGTGAATCTTGGTTAATTTAATAAATCCAAGGCTTGGTGAGCAGCATTCAATTCTTTGTTGTATTCAGCAACTGTGGCATTATAAACGTCGGTAGCGAAAGCAAAGTCGTCTTTTTCAGCTTACAATTATCCATTCAATGTATCCAAATCAGCATGTAATTCATCAATCAAATCAAGTGTTTATTCGATTTTGGCTAAATTTAATTAATTTAGATACTGGCATTAGCTTCGATTTCAGCTGTTTTAACAACAACAGCTCTTTAGAATTCAGCATGTTCTTAGTTCAATTGAATAACTCTTGCTTCGAAATCTTTTTATGCTTCAGCTTCATCGGCTGTGATTGTGTTAAGTGAATCAACTAATTAAACTCTCAAATTGTTGAATGCAACGAGGATCTTTAATAAATCTTAATCATTAATTACATCTTTAAGAGCTCCTTAATCGGCAAAGTTGGCTTCGACAGCGATTTCTATAAGAGTCTTGATGAATGTTTAGAAAGTGCTGTGTCTTTTGAGGGTTTATTAGATTTTTGACAAATTCTTCTAAACCTTTTAGATTTAAACTAGTGAAGGTGCTGATAATTGACTGAGTAAACCAAGTGATTCATCGATAGCGCTGATGGCTTCATTGTGTTCAGAAACCTTAGCTTCAAAATCAGCATGATCATTGGCTCTTTAGACTGTAGCCTCATTAAGGGTTCTTCTGTTTTAAGAAATGTTTTCTTATAATTATTCGAGTTGGGCAGCAAATCTATCTCTTTATGGGATAAGGACATTATCATAGAAATCGTGAGCGTTAAACACCTCTAATGATGATTTTATAGATATAATTACCTCTTTCTTTATCTTAAATTTCTTATTCAAGTCTTCCTACTTCTCTATTGTGGACATCTGTTCTTCTTGCATATTAATGATGGACTTCTGCTAATTCCTCATCCAATTCATCAATCTAAATAAATACATTATCATACAAGTTTGGCAATTTCTGTGTTGAGTTCTGAAAGGATACCACCTGTTGATAAATGGAGCTCACCAAAATTCAAGATAAAGTTTCCCCATCCTGATTATTTGATTTGAGCAAACATTTTTTAGTCGTGACTTGTCCAAACTGAAGCTTAGATATCAATTGCTGTAATGCTAAGAACGAGCAAGGTGCAGACTGCTACTTTTAACATATATTATTATTATTATTACAAAAGTCAAAAACGAATACTTCATTTTATATACTGATTAATTTAAATTTTGAAATTGACAGGCCCCTCATTTATTTACTAAAAATTATCAATTCAAAAATCCTTCTCTGAAAGAACTAAAATTCCTAAAACTTAAGAATTTATAAATCAATTTAATTTATATATTATATCTCTTAATATTTTTGAAAGTAATTAGTTTCAAGTCAATCTTACCGATCTTCTTATCCAAACTCCTTCCCCTAGTCTTTAGACTCATCCCAATTAATTTAAAATCAACTTATAATTATTTTTCAAATATGTAAGCTATTAAAAAAGATACCTCATTCTATACATAACATCTCAACTAAATACAAATATCATCCTAATCCTTTTTTTTAAGTGCAAACAAACTAATGCCAATTATTAATAACTGCTACTAATTAATTTATGAATTTATTAACTTCCTCAAAGGCTAATCATAGAATCATAGTAATAAAGAATAATTGCTAAATTAAAAAAAAAATGAAATTCAAAGCAAGTGAAGGCAGATATTTTAGAAGCCAAATCAAAGCATAAGATGATGAATAGTATCTAAATAGAATAATTACATTAAAAGCAGAAAGTGATTTAGCTTACAATGATTCAAAGCGATAAGAGATTAGTTAATTATTGCTAACTAAATATCAAAATATAGGTTGATGAATAGATTTATAAGGAGTTAAACTTTATAAAACATCAGATTGAGAATGTTAAAAATGAATTAAAAAGTATAGACTTTATTTATTTTTAGCTATGTGATAGTGTAAGTTCGGGCAAAAATAGAATAGATAATCCTTTGATTAAAAGTTCCAAAAATCTAGAAAATATGTATTAAAAATTGTCTCATTTGTAAACAAATAATTCTGTGAAACATACTTCAAAAATTAGGAATGCCAGCACTTAAGCTGTTGAAAAATAACAAAATCGGAGCCCAATATCTTAAAAGAATCATAAAATAACCAATTCATTCATTAAATGGAAAAAATGCTCAATAATAAAAAAAAAGGGAAATTACCAAAAATAATATATTTATTAGGGCTCATCTAATGATTGTCCATTCTGCTTATTCTCAAGATTAATTAATTCTTCAATGTCAAAAATTAATTGGTAAGAATAAAATTTGAGTAAATCAGGAGGTTAAACACAGAAATAATTTACCTCTAAAATTTATATGTTCAAAATAATCTCATGACTAAATTGAATGAAATAATAGATTATTTTTTATAATGAAAATAGAATTTCTGATTATTGGAGGTAAAAGCACTTCTAAAAAGAAAATATTAGATGAATAAATTAAATCTATGATCTTGCAACTCTAATCAAATGTACTATCAATTAAAATATCATATGCTATCACGGTTCAATAAACAATCCTGATGTTTTTAGATAATTACCATGCCATTTGAAAAGTTAGGAATTTTCTTTGTATTAAAAGGAGTTTCACATACAAACTCCAGAAGTGATCTTTAATCAATTTTAGTTATTAATTTAGCAATCATTCACAGATCCTTATTATAATATTAAATATTTTTTCATAATTAACTTTAGATTACTTAAAATCCTCAAAAAATAAAAAATTGATAGACTCAGGATATCGATTGTATCAGGGGCTATAATATACAGATATCAACATATAACGAAAAGCTTTCATATTTTATTCTTACAATTAACGATTTAATTTCTAATAATAATTAATTAATCTTTCCAAATTATAATTTTAGACTACTTTAAAAAAAACAAGGTCATAATTTTATATTAGGATGTTTAGAGTAAATAAATAATGATGAAACTGTTAGATAATTTGCATAAATCCTTAAGATATAGAATTAAAGATTCCTTACAACTATTAAAATTGATGATGAAATGAGATAGAATTATTAACCTGGATTATTAGAATTAAACCATCATGCTACTAATAATCTATTTTATTTTTATAATCATTCTTAAAGAATCTATATATGTATTTCCTTAATAAATTAGTAGTTCTATAGGTTTAATCAATATTTCTACATTTGTGGTGGTGTTGGTATATGATAGACTTTAATTGAAATAATTATTTCTTTGATGATGAAATTAGGATGAAATATTTTGATAAACTTAACAAATTTAAAAGAGATAATCCATAGACTAAAATAATATGTCAACAATTATCAAAGATTTTTCTTTAGAGAAAACTCTTTCTCTCTTATTTAGATTTGATATTAACTTCCTTTTCAATTCTATTCATTTAATGTCCTTAAATATGAGAGATTAAATTATTCTATAGATAATTATGACTTGAGTTCGAATTAATATTTAATTTATTTTTTATAAAATAAGCCAAATATATTTTATTTCAGGTTTTGTCAAAGGAAAATATTTTTTGAAGATTCATATGAATTAAATTCAAATAACAACTTGATGAAACAAATTTTCATATATCTCTTTCTCTTGAAGGATGTTGATGAAGTCAATTATCTTACTTAATCTTAAAAGTTGAATATCAAATTGCTAATAGAATTTACTCTCAAATAAATAAAAATTTTTGAGAATATAACTAATATTCGTATTTTCAGAAGTTAACAATTATCTAATTTCTTCAAATTTAGCAGTGGTATCGGCAACTGCATGTAAGGAGTATTTCCATAAGTTAGGAGCTTTGGTTCAAAAGAAAGGGAGGGGAATAATTAAGAGTAGAATAATTAGTTAACGTTTCTATTATTCAAAAAGGCCTGTTTTCTGCTTCAAAATCTCTCAAAATGATGTATGTTGACTAAACTGTATTGTTTCCTCTTGTTCCTGACTGCAATGAGACAGAAATTTTTTGTATATACAGCAAGTAGGGTAACTTAAGCTAAAAACAAATTAACAGCCCTTTCTTTTTGCTCAATTTTATACAACTTGTTAATTCTATTATTAATATTATATATCAAATCATCTAATCGTATGGAAAGCCTTCCGGATGATGAGGTCCATATTCATTTGCAGAAATGGCTAAGGGCATCATTTTATCTTTCGAAGAGTCATGTGCAGAGGGGAATATCACCTCCTTTTTAGTACAATGTAGATCTACAAAGCCATGAAATAAAACCTATAATATATCTTTTGTAAATTCCTTTATTTCTATTAAAGATAAACTTTGAATGTTATTTTTATTTCTAATTGCATATATTTTAATTTTAATAGAAAAAGGAATGAAATATCACTAATTGTCAAATAGCTATGTAGAAGCTAAAACAAAAGAATATCAGAATAGGAGATTTCTGCTATAGTAACATCTTGGTTCTGGCTCAGAAGGTGCAGCTTATCTTGCTAATGCCGAGAATTGGGGCAATAATCCTTAATAAGTTGTAATTAAAATACAAAAGAACATGAAAGCTAATGAGAGAGATTTTCTAATAAAACTAATATAATACTAAAACTAGTACGAGAATGGAAACAATTTGCAATATTAACCAAGCCAACTAATAAAAATATATGACTTTTTTGAATGGAAAGAAAATCAATGCATTATAATGGAAGTTGGGTAAGAAAATTTATATGAATACATTGGTAATAAAATGGATTTATCAATGGAATAAAGAGTAAAAATTTGTTTTTAAGTAATATTTTATAAATATAATTATAGATCTGTCAACCAATATATTTTTTACATTCATAGAAATTAGTCCATCGGGATATTAAACCTGAAAATTACATTAAGGTAGGAGACATTTTTAAACTTATTGACTTCGGCTTGATTAGGGGTTCCATATCTGACAACAAAACATAATAAGTTGGTAGTGCCATTTTTCAAGCACCAGAAATTTTAGAAAATAGTAGTTCATATACAGAAAAAGTTGACATCTGGTCTTTGGGCTGCGTTTTTTATGAAATATTATCAACTTAACCATTATTTGATGGTATTAATAAATTAAAATTATAGGATAAACTATCCAGTAAGTTCTGACTAGTATAAGGAATCATAAAAATTAGCCATTTATTACTAATAATAAAATCAAAAACTTAAAAATTTCATCAGATGTTAAGGAAATTTTAATTAAAATGATCTAGTATCAAGATCATGCTCGACCTACAATAGAATGGGTTTATTTACAATTCCAACAATATTACAAAAATAACGTCCAGAATTCAGCTCTTAATCAATAACAAATAGGTACACCTGTTCCTCAAATTTAATGTAATCCTTAACCTTCAAACTAAATACTACCTTCATCGTAAATTTCAATATAAAATTCCCTTCCAAATTAACCTCCATAAGATAACCAGAAAATAACATTAGAATAAATATTTTCTAAACTAAATTTATTAGAAAATCAAGTAAAAGAAAAAGATAACCAAATTTAAGCCTTAAGCTAAAATCTAGAAAATATTGTATATTTATAATAAGTGGAGAAAGACAATTAAAAATAATAATTATAGAGGAATTTAGATGAATAAAATAAATAGAATTTGAATCAAATAGACTCCCTAAAATAATAAGTAAACTAAGAGAAACTTAATTAGAACATTATCTTAGAAGAGAAATTAAAATAATTTGAATAACAAATAACTGCATAATAGACTAAAATTTAAGAGATTGATAAAAGATCTCTCAGCAAGTCGGATTTGAATTTTTAAAACCAAAAAGTAGTTACAGAATAACAAAATTTAAAAAGCAAATAAGAAGATAAATATAAATTAGAATTAACAAAAGCAATTTCAGAATAAGAAACTAAATATAAAGTAGAATTAAAAACAGTAATTTAAGAATAAGAAGATAAATATAAAGAAGCATTAAAAAAAGAAATCTCCATATATGAAGAGAAATATAAAGTAGAATTAATAAAAGTAATTTCCGAATAAGAAGAAAAATACAATGTTGGATTAAAAAAAGAAATTTCAGAATAAGAAAAAAAATATAATGTAGAACTGACAAAAGCAATTTCAGAATAAGAAGATAAATATAAAGATACATTAAAAAAAGAAATTTCTGAATAAATTTCTTAAATGTAAAAAATATTTTAAAATCAACTTGTTGAAATCAAGTAAAATTTCATAGAATAATTAAGCAAGCTTAATTAAAATTAAATGAGTTAAATTATACCTTAGATTAAAATTGAATAAGAAAATAACAACGCAATTATCGAAATTAAAACTATTGTTGATGAAAGGGAGTACTACAAAACATAAGTTAATTCTTTTTTAAAGAAGATTCAAGAAGATTAATATCGTCATGATTAATGGATCTAATATTTGCATTACATGTTGTTTAATAAATTTAAATATATTAATCAAACATATTAAAATAAAGCATAAATTGAAAAATAATAGGAAAAGAGTATTAATAATTAAGAATAATCTTAAATTAATTAAAATGAAACTAAGAATTAAATTTATTAGGAATCAAATAATAGTAATCAATGCTACCCTTTAAATAATTAAAATGAAAATTAGAATGAAGGATAATAGGAATAAATTATTAATGATTC